GGCGCATCTGCATCTGTACGTTACTGAGTGGCTCCGCAATTTTTATTCTTTCACTGACATTGGTCTAGACATTTAGATAAAGGGGGCCGAGGGGACAATGCCTGGCCGCTCTGGGGCCTGGTCATGCGGTTAGTTCAAGCGGTAAGCACAACTGCTCCAAGTGAAGTTCACCACTGATGGATAATCTATATGTCTAGATGGGTATGCATCGAGACGGCGCCCGCTGGAATCTTCCGCCGGATGTGATTGAGGAAAGACGCAAGGTGTTCTGGGAGTTGAATGCCGCCGACACCTTCCAGGCACATTGCTTCTCGAGGCCGTATGGGTTCCCCGTTCAGGTCTTATGATATGTCTAATCTCAGGCAGATGCGCCATGAATCCGGAGCATTGCGATGTCGCATTCCCTTCCGAGCCGGAGAACGCAACCGGTGAAAAGAGCTATTCGATCCTTCGATTTGAGCTCTCGCAGCTTTCGTCCGAGTGTGTTTTTCTCTTGTCGTCCCGAGGATGCCTCACATCTAACCAGCCCGCAGAATTCTCCATATGGCGATGAAGGTGCACAAACCACCGTACTCGGCTGTGACCGACCTCGACATTAGACTGTATGTGCCCCACCGCCACAGTCTGACTTGAAAACTGACGCTCTGTAGCGGCGAATTTGAGCGCAATCTGCCGTTTTCCCTTCGTTGTCGAGCCGCGTTTCTGTCCATGCCCTCTCGCTACCCTCACGTCGAAGCGGCAATCGAGGCATCGCCCGAACCCTCCCGGAGATCAATGACCATTTCTTTTCAAGTTCGTCCTTTTCCCATGGCAAGTTGGATTGTCTGACTAAGTACTCGGTAGCAAATGAATCTAGCGCTCAACATTTCGGAGACGATCATCAACCTCCATCGACCATATTATGCGAAAGCACTGTACGATATCAACGACCGGATGAGATCCGTCTACGCGCCTTCATTTTTGACCGTGATAGAGCGTTGCGCCGTGAGCCTTCCATCTTCGCTCGTCCAACATGCAAGACGCTCCAGCTGACACTCTCAGATCATCATCGCAATTGTCGACGACATTCACACCCGTTTCCCCGCGGTCAGCACCAGACAATGGAACTTCTGGGTAGGCGCATCCCCCCCATTCTCTTCGGGCCAGAACATCTCTCCCAACCACCTTTCTATTCTAGTACCATGTCTTCGGCTCCGCTCTCTGCCTGGGAACCCTCGTGCTGCGCGACCCCAGCAATCCCATGGCCGCCTTCGCTCTGACCCAGCTCGACGCCGCAATCAACCTCTTCACCTCGCTGATCCAACACGGCGCCAACACCCCACGCTACGGCCGGAACCTGCAGTGGCTGGCGAGGCTGCGCGCGCGGGCGTCGGCCAAGATCGCCTCCGCGTCGACGCAGCCGGCTGCTGCGCAGGATGATGTGGGCCGGCGGGGTGACCGAGACCGCGAGGACAGCGAGGACGTCGAGCTGCTGGGCTGGCGGACGCGACTGATCGAGCGGGCGGGCCAGGGCCGGCAGACGATCCGGACGACGATCCAGCTGGCGGATGAAACGCCCACCGACTCGCCGCATGGCATTGACGTGGGCTCGAACCCGTCGCCGAATGACCTCCATCATCATCCTTTCGGGGTGCTGCAGGGTGATCCTTCGATGATTGTGGCGGGCTCGTCGTTGCCGGTGGTGACGCCGGATTCGACGAATGAGCTGGTGGGATCCTCCTGTCTTGTCCTCTATCTGCTTGGGTGTGCGATGGCTAACGTGTTCCGTATCGGGGTAGTTGCAAGACTTTTGGGATCCGATGCTTCTTCAGGATCTGTTGGGAAGTATACCGCTGGGCTAGGCGGATGGATCGCATTAGACTCTGGCGGTGGAGTGGTTTGTTTTGTGTAGCTACTAATGATTCGTTTATACCTCTTACTAGCAGCCTGTAGATATGGTGAGGTGCATTTTTGCCGGATTTCCGAGCTTATCATTATACGTTGTAATGAAATAGCATATATGTATATAAATTCTACGTATGGCCAGTCAATCACTCGATCTGTGTTTCTTGTGGACCTATGGGGAAAACACCTACATGACATGCTGGATTCAAGTGTGTCGGTGAACGGAGAAGATGAGGCATTAGTTTATTCTAGGGATTCATTGATAGGAGAAGAGTGAGTGAAATGCGAGGCGTAAGCGAACGGCATCACATTCCAGTATCGACAAGAAACACACTTGTATTTTCGCGTGTTTCTCCCTGGTCTTGAAAATGTTTCGCCCGGTCCAAAGAATTGGTCAAAAGATTTAAGATTATAACAAAGGATTTTTAAATAAGTGAAAGATCTGGCCACGTGCAAGCAAATCCAGCCTTGAGTAACGCCATGTTGTTCTGAGATATGTTGACTCTAGTACTAGAAAGATCAAGCCTAAAGTGTCGATTCTACGAATTCTAGGTGCCTCGAACCGAGAGAAAATGTCATGCACATATTTTTGATTCGTAATCCCCAGTTCTATGCGTCCACCACTCATAACAAAAACAAAAATGCAAAACGCTACTCTGACCAACCCAAGCCACCACGTCCCAGATGCTCAAATCATGCCTTCCTGCCCGCATCCAGAATCGCCAACCCATTCTCGTCAAAGTACACGGGCACGCCGTGGCGGAAGGAGAACTGCAGCGCCGTGGCGATCTTGGCGGCCTCGTACGCGTCCTCGGGCGCGCACGTCAAGGGCGCCCCGTCGAGGCAGGCGGTGGCGAACTCCTCCAGGTCCTTGAGGAAGGACTTGTCGTACAGCACGAAGGCGTCCGGGGTGGTGGCGGTGCGCACGCCGTGGGCGTCGCGCACCTCGACGCGGTTGATGGTCGAGTTGGCGTTGATCACCGAGTGCGCCTTGGTGCCGCACACGCGCGTCATCCCCTCGAACCCGTTGGTCAGCGTCCGCCCGAGGTGGAAGGTCAGGATCTTGCCGTTGGCGAACTCCACCAGCCCCCAGCCGTTGTCGGCGTCGCCGTACTTCGAGAGCTCGCCGTACACGGCCTGTTGGCCCACCGCGACGACCCGGTTGACTTGCTTTTTGGGGTTGGTGAGGCCGGATTTGACGTCCAGGTAGTACCGGCCGATGTCGATCTGCAGGATTATGGTTAGCATGGGGGAGTGTAGGTGGAAGTACAGGGAAAGGGGACGGACATCGTGAACACCCATGTCGACGAAGATACCTCCGGATTGCTCGGAGAAGCGCACGAAGAAGCCTAGGGGCATGGTGGATTAGGTGGACGGGCTCACAGGTACGAACTGACAAGGAGAGGTGAAAACTTACCTGTAGGGTCCTGCTGGTCAAGACAAGAGCTCTCGACTGCGTGGACGTCTCCGAGTGCGCCAGCCTCGACCATCTGCTTCACCTGACGGTACGACTCATCATCTAGCGCGGGTCAGCTCACCCCTAAACACTAGTTGCCACAGCACAGGGGGCTGAAGTCCACTCACATCGTCGACAGAAGGGAACCAGGAATTTGAGGTGGGGCTTGGACGCAGCCTTGGCGAGGACCTCCTCGGTGGTGATCACGTCGACCGAGATCGGCTTCTCGCACATGACATGCTGGACGGAGTGTGTCAGTCCGCAACCCAGTTCTGAGACTGACAAAGGGCAGTAGAACTCACCAGACCCAGGTCAAGGCCTTTGATAATCAAAGGCGCGTGGGTAGCGGTTGCTGTCGAGATCAGGACGGCCTCGGCACCGCTGTTCTTCATGCAGTCCTCTGGATCGGCGAAAAACTTCACGGAGGCAGGCAGATTGGCCGCCGCCCATTCGTCAGCCCCGGGTTTCGTGTCACAGGCGGCGACAAGCTCGATACGAGGCTGCCTGAAGGCCAGGATTTCGGCGCGGATGGCTCCCAGACGGCCGAGGCCGATCAGGGCGAGTTTGAGGCGCGGTTGCGTGGTCATGTTGATGATTGTGTGTGTTGTGGTTTGTCTGGAGGAAGGAGTGATGGATTGTGTGGGAGGTCTTTCATTTTATCTCCATTTCTGAAAGATCGCTTCCCCAGAGATGTTGCGGGGAGCCCTACCTCAGGACCGACGATGCGGATGCTGCACGCGGGGTGGATGGCAGATGTCCGATCTCCGATCTCCGATGCTTTGGTCCGACGTCGGGTGCGTGCCGGGAGACCAGCTCAAGTCCGACCCTTATTTGGGCCGATCGGACCTCGCACGGGTAGAAGGCGGTCGGATTCAGTTCACAACCAGAGTAGAATTACCTTTGGCAAGAAGCGACTGCTATTTTACATGTTTAATGGTTGTTTTAGTTGTATACAGGTTACCTGGCATCTACTCGTTAAGGTAGCCCACAGTGCTTCATCAATTTGATAAAATGTTACCTCATCCATAGAATCCGGTGAGTACTGTACAGTACTTATATCGGCGTGTGCGTGTAACGCCTCGCTTCAACGAGTCACATGATTTCAAATTGAACTGGATGTATGTAAACACCATGAAATCTGTGGATAATTCCTCCTTCCTTAATAATCCAACGATTCTTGACGCATCAAGCTTTTCTCTTTGAGCAAGTAAATGCATCATTATTACGTTCGTGATCAACAACTTATATATTCTCAGGTGTAGACTAGTCAATAATATCAAATACCTAGAAAGATTCTCCAAACTCTCATTACAATCCCAAGGTCCACTATTTATGACCTTACAGATGTCATACAGAATTGCATATAGAGTCACCAAAAAGTATGTTCACAAGAACAGAAATTAAGAGACGGCTAGCATGTAAGCTACCCAAGAACTGTAGTATACCACCACCCACAGAGCAAACATATCAAGCATCACCCTTAATTGAATCACTGTACCATCTCCCCGGTATACACGTATATGATATACACCCCCGACCCAATCCCAGCAAAGGACCCAAACCCAACATATAGCATCAAACTTAAACATAACACCACCCCTTCACCCCCAACCCACCCCAGCTCGCTCCTAACACCCCCAGAACCAACACAATCAACACCCTAAAAGAAAGCAATCGGATTCCCCCCCTCCCCCTTAGAACCAACCGCCTGCTCTACATCCCAATGCTCCACCATACACGTCCCGACCATGCGGATAATATCCACGAGCGCCGACTCCCCTCCCTCCGCCCCATCCTCCTTCGGATTCGGGATCACCCGCGTATGCGCCACGCCAAACGCATTGCCCGCTGCGTCCCACCCCACGAACGCCCGCTGCAGCTGCGAGGTCACGTCCGGCACGAGGTTCGTCAGCTCCGCGGCCGTCTCGGTCACGCCTGTGCCGGCCACCAGCGGTGAGTGGTTGATGTATTTCCCGGCGACGTAGTGGCTCAGTGCGTCGGTGAGGCGGTGCTCGGTGTACATCAGGTTGGTGAAGGTGGTCCACGCGGCGAGTTGCTCGGCGGGGGTCGCGGTGGGGGTTGTGGTGTTGGGGCAGTTGAGTTGGGTGAATTCGTCGGCGTTCGGGGATGGGGTGGTTGATGTTGCGTGGGTGCTGGTGAGGAGGAGGAGGGGGAGGAGGAGGGTGGTGGTTGTTAGGGATTGGAGGTACATCTTGAATCGAGTGCTGGAGTGGATGGGAGGTAGGTGCATACGTGGAGAACGCGGTGGGTTCTGTTGTCTTATGTATCGTCAGAGTTGAACATATCGGGGTGGTTGGAAGGAATGTTGAGTGGAATGTGTCGGTTGTTGGGTTCGGGGCTGCTCGAATATGGGTCTGAGTCTAGGCCCATTGAAGGGGATATAGGCAATGCGGTGAGTGGTGTACTGTGTTTATTTGAAGAGGAGGTAGGAAATACTGATTAGCCGAAGAGACGGTGAGACCTAAGTTGAAAGAGAAAGTGTAAAATTCTTGGTTATCGAAAATAAACTCTGAGATATTAATACGTGATGCGATATACCAAGCATTGGGAAAACAAGAAACCTTCATTGCAGCACTCATGCATGTCTATACTCTATCATCATTGACCCATTAAATCGGCTCATCCCGGGGCTCGATCAACACCTCATTAACAGAAACATGTGCGGGCTGGCGCAGCGCATACACAATCGAATTGGCGATATCCTCCGGAGCCAAAACCTCCGCCCCCGACGGCTCGCCATACTTCTTAAGCGCTTCCGCGTCTGTACTCATCCCCAATAGATCCGTGGCAACGTTGCCAGGCTGCACACTCGTCACGCGCAGTCCCGTTCCGGCGGTCTCCAGACGCAAAGACTGCAGAGTAGCCTCCACGAAAAACTTGCTAGCGGAGTACACGCCCAGACCCGGGAACACCTTCCGACCGGCATCAGAGGAAATGGCCACGATGTGTCCGGCGCCGCGGGACAGCATGCCCGGGACCGTAGCCGACAGGCAGTGCAGGAGACCCTTACAGTTCACATCCACCGTTTGCTCCCATTCATCCGTCTGCACATTGGCCATCATGGTGAAGTACATTACACCCGCACAGGAGACGAGGATGTCGATAGGGCCGAGTTCCTGGGTGGCATCGTGGAACAAGGCGTCCACCTGTGCCTTGTTCGTGACATCTGTCCTTTTAGCAATAATCTTGCCTCCGTGGGCTTCCAGCTGCTTCTGCAACGACTCGAGAGCTTCCACACGACGAGCGGCAAGAGCAACATGGCAACCTTCGCGTGCAAGAGCGGTAGCCACTGCTGCACCAATGCCGGATGACGCGCCGGTGACAACAGCCACACGGCCGCTAAGCGGACCTTTGACCAGCTGCGCAGTTCCGTTCAGCGCCTGCTGGCGCACAGGAGGCTTTGACAGCCATCCTCTGGCAAACCAGTGACGGGTGTAGGTCTCGAGCAGCGCCTTGTCCACCTTCGGCCGTTCCACGCATGCCCGGAACGGTCGGGTGGCCGCGTTATCTAGCACGACAATGTCCCGCAGGAATTCCACAGTCGGCATACCACTGCGGAGGATATCCACGGTGAACCCACCGTCACCACCCTTGACGTTACTGCGCTTCTCGTTCCACAGGGTAACCCATTCATCCCAGCCAAGAGGCTTTGTGGGGTAGCCCAGCTCGTTCAGAGCAGCAAACACATCGCGCGTATCAACGGGTTTGGGGTCACCCAAATGGAAAATGGTCTGCTCAGCATGGGTCTGAGTGGCTAGATGGACGATGGCCTTGCTTACGAAGTCCACCGGAGTCATCTCCGCGCGCCAACCTTGAACTTCAGGGGCGTAGCCCAACTTGATCGATTCCACAATCAAAGCGGAGAGAAGATCCCATGCGTTGGCAGCACCGGTAGTACTATGTCCACTGATCGTGCCGGCACGATGGACCTTCACGGGCAGACCGCGACGGCCGGCCTCGAGAACGAGCTGCTCCGCGACCCACTTAGTTTGTCCGTATCCATCGAGCAGCTTGGTCGGAACATCCTCCACATCCAACAACGTGTCCTCCGGCCAGCCTTTCTCGCCCGAGGCGGGCAGGACCCCGTTCGTGGAGACGTACTGCACTGTGGCGCCACTCTTGCTCGCCAACCGGAGAATCTCACGCGTACCACCCACGTTGGGCCCGCGCAGGGCGGCATAGGGGTACACGAGGTTAACGGTAGCCGCAGCATGCACAATCACATCGACACGAGCAGCCAGCTCATCGAACGCCTTCGCTGAAAGACCGAACCGTGTGCGAGAAAGGTTTCCTGGCAAAATCTCTACACGCTCCATCACGGAATCGCGCCACAAGCCGAGATCAAGAAGGTTCCGGCGAATGCGTGCCACGCCCCCGGGCTGATCATCATTCGCAGGCTCATTAAACCGCACCAGACAAATGATCTGGGCGGAGGTGTTTTCCAGCAGATCGTGGAGCAGAAAAGCGCCGAGGAAACCAGTCACGCCCGTCAGAAGGACAGTGTTGGCTTTGTCAATGGAGCAAATCGTGGCAGGGTTCGCAGGTCGGATGTCATCGTCGAGAGTAGCGTCCGCACGCAGAACAGCTGGAAGATCAGCTTGCACTGCGGCTGTGTGTCCATCACGAATCGCACGGACGGTCTCCAAGTGGCCAGCCAGGGTTGTGGTCTCCGCCAGCCGAGCAATGGGGACCCGGAAGCCAAAGTGCCGGGACAGGCGTGAAGAAAGGTCAGCAAGCGACAAAGAGTGACCCCCTAGGTCGAAGAAGTCATCCGTAGCAGTAAGAAGAGTCTTGGATGTCTTGAGAGCTGCAGCCCAGCAGGCTGCGACCTGGTCCAAAATGATCGGGTCTTGATCCGCCGCTTTGCTGTTACCGTTGGTGTGAACATCAGTCTTGGGGGGAGGCAAGCGCTTGAGGTCGACCTTGCCCGTCACATCATGAGTGGGGAGTTCCGGCAGTTCTACCCACAAAGCGGGAATCATATAGTGCGCAAGGGACTGCGCCAGAATGCGACGCGCCGCAGGGCTGTACCCGGCCTCGTTAACCTCAACCGTCGGCCGGCCGGCAGCGTTCCTGTCTGGCACGATGTAGGCCACCAGCTGCCGTTCCAAACCCTCGCCATGAGCGACAACTGCACAGTGACCGACCGCGAGGTTCTTGACAATCTCGCTTTCGACCTTGGCCGGCACCACGGAATATCCTCGCAACTTGATCATCGATCCTACGCGACCGGTAATTTCGAGGAGTCCCGAGGGCAGCAGCCGGGCCAAATCACCGGTGCGGTAGAGGCGAGACCCGGGCTGTGTATCAAAGGGGTTGGGAGAGAACGCTTTGGCGGTGGTCTCGGGCAAATTGAGGTATCCACGGGCAAGCAGTGGGCCGGCCACGAAGAGCTCTCCACTGACTCCCGCATCGACCGGTTGGCCACTCTCGTCCAAAATGTAAATCTGCTTTGGATCTAGAGGCGGACCGACCGGGCAGTAGGTCGCTTCCTCATCAATGATCTCCCGAATATCCCCGCAGGCGATCTCATGCGTCTCGCATGCACTGTAGCAGTTAAGTAAGCGAGTCTGCGGGAGAGCCTTGATCGCGCGACGGGCCAGATCGGTCGTGACCACTTCACCATTTAGCCACAGCGTGCGGAGCTCGGGAAGACGTTCATCGATGTGGGGATGACGCTGCAGCACGGTCGCCAGCAACGTGGGCGTCATCAAGGTCTCTGTAATCTTTCTCGCTGCCAGCAGGTCGACCAATGCTGCGGGATCGTAGCTCGCGTCGTCCGGCACTGTCACCACGGTGGCTCCTCGCAACAGCGGCCGCAGGATCTCCCAGATAAAGAAGACATTGCAGGCCACACGGTCGCCGGGTTGCAGGTCCTGAACCCCGAATCGCAGATCATAGGAAAGCACTGGAGCTCGGTGAGGATTGGCAATACCCTTGGGCTTGCCTGTCGTCCCAGACGAGTAGGAGACGAATGCCAGTCGGTCCAAATCATCGTCGGCTGGCAGCGGAGCCGGCTCGGTCGCGTGACCATTTGCATGGGCGGCCGGCTCATCCAGGACAATCAAGGGCACCTTGCTCTTGATCTTGCCCACTTCCGCCCGGTGAGTGATCACGACAGCTGGATTGCCGTCCTCAATCACGTCCGCCAGCAGCTCTGGCGGGTAGGCCAGCTCCAGGACGAGAAAGGCGCCCCCCGCCCGCAAGGCGGCCAAGCAGGCAATCACATAATCGGCACTTCTTGGCAACAGCACGCCCACCAGCGTATCTCGGCTCACTCCATATGTGCGGAGGCGGCGGGAGAGGCAGTCGACCTCGCGATCGAGCTCCGCGTATGTGAAAGTGGTCTTGTCATCCTCGAGGGCTACCGCGTCGGGGGTCGCTTTCACTTGGCGAGAGAATAGGGCCGACAGGTCTTTTGTGGTATCGAGGAAGGGCATGGTTTCGTTAAATTGAGAGAGAAGGTGGACGCATGAGAGGGAGGAAGCAGTCGGCGAGAGGAAAGGTGGAGCTCGGGGAGTATTCAAAGGGACTGGGCAGGCATGCGTTGTCAGCTTGATGCAGTGATAGGTAGGATTGCATTACACTGCAGACTCACCGGCAGATTGATGAAAGAATTGGAGGAGAGCTTTCTTCTCACCGAGCAGGACAGAAGGTGTTGTGTTGTTGATTAAGTAGTGACAGAGTGTTTAAAGAAAGAAAGAAAGAGAATTGAGAGCGGTGGAGGAGGGAGGAGGGAGGAGGGCCCCGGGGTGTGTGTTTGTGGGCAGAGAGTCGAGACATCCTGGCATAACCGGTTTGGGTTAGTCTTCCCAACATCCATATTCATGGATCCATTGATCGTATCTGGGAAACTGGGTATCCATGGCTCGCCAGTGCCAGTCTATTCAGTGAAGTGGGTTGCTCCAGGAATTCGAGTCGTCTTCGACTCATCAGGGTGGGTGTCATAAAGTTTCAGCCAGGTACTTATAACTTTAGTTACTGGGTTTATTAAGGATGACGGTGGTATGGTAGCAAATGGCCGTAAATTGTCCCCTGTCGTGCATGCATCAGTGGCGGATGCCCCTCTTCGTTCTCACCGTGGACTCACTGGGCACTGCACTCCTTCTCCCGAGTCTTCCCCCTCTTTTGCCGAGTCACCTGACCTCTAACTTACCCATGGTCTCTCCGCATTGCTGGTTGTTGCTGGTTGGGGGCCAAGCGGTTCCACCCGACCTCCGTCTTATTATCGTCGGGTATCGATTGGTCGAAGGCGCTGACAGGTGGGGCCTCTGACATGTGATTGCGGGTCAACTGTTGGTCCGGGCTCGCAATCACATGCTTGCGGCGGTTTTTGTTGAGAGTCGACCTAAGCTGAGGAAGCCAAGCTTAGGAAGCTGAGTGATGCTACAGCAATTGATTCTCCAGCTCCTCCAGGCTCACATGACTTCTTGCCTATATTGCTCACCGCCTTTGATTTTGTTGAGATTAAGATCAAGAAATGACGGTGCTATCATGGATAATGATCCTGGATACTACCGTGGACACCTGGCTAGGCCCTGGAAGGAAATGATAGTGGGGCGCTAGCTCTATCCCAGATCAGGAAGGTACCCTGAGATTTCCCATACAAAAACGACTGCCGGTGCAATCAGCCACACGTGGCCTTCGCGCCTTCGCAGCCCACAAACCTCAGTCTTTCCACACACTATCCAAATCATCAAGATTCATGGGGTCTGCGAGGCGTTGGCGAGAAACCAACAAGGAAATCAGCAAGGCATCGTCACCCATCCTAGTTTAGCTACCGCTACGGATCCCATGATAGAAGAGGGTGTCACCGCTTTCAGATCATGTGACTGCATCTACGGCGTGCTTGGGCGCCCGTAGAGCCGGAATCCTTCTTGGCTTGGCTGTTTCTGCCATTGGCAGCTTCCCTTACATTCGTCTACATGACAGAGGCATCTATTCATTACCTACCTACCTCAGGCTGTCCGACATGAAACACCAATTTAATTCACACTTTTCAGAGTCCTTCCTCCACAGCGATCAGCGATATAAAAAGCGCCGCCTTACCGATGGATTATATGCACCAGCTGAACGGCTATACCGGCCGCTCTTAAGGACTAGCGTGGGGCATGAGCGTCTTCCAGCCGCACCCCCTCATCTCCATCCATCAGCCACATAAAAGCTTGCTATCTCGAGCCAGATAACGCCAAGCGGAAGTATTGTACGGAGTACCAAGATCGGTATCACCACTGACTGATCACCCACATGGAGAACCACGATTTTTTCAACGAGCACGAGAACAAGGTGGAGGAAATCCGGAGTTCGTCCAAAGATGGTGTTTCCACCCTTCCGATGATGGGTGCTGCCACAGGGAGTGAGATAGACCCCTTCAGAACATATCCCTCCACACTGCCCTCGGACATCGTCAGCAATTGCTTGCAGTATCGTATGTATACTGCATTATGGACCCCCCCCCCCCGAAAGTCTACTCCCCACTGATTCTTGGCTGTAGGGTTAAGCATCATGACGCCTCGAATGATCCCGAGCTCAGGAGCCAAGAACCCTTATCTTGATGCTTGGCTGCCCGTCTCCCTGGAGAACCCAGCGCTGTTCAATGCGCTGCTGTTCTCAGCCGTCACACATAGGCTCACGCATTGCCTCGTGAATCAAAAGAACACACCGACCTCGATGGTCTTGGAGAACAAGCAATTGTTAATGTTATGTCAGCAAGAGGCAGCGACGAGAGCGAACAAGGCGCTGCAGCACGCTGCAACTGCAGTAACAGACGCAAGTATCCTGGCCGTTCTCATGTTAACTGAGGCAGTGGATCATGCCTTTCAAGATCGAGATTGGACCGGCTCTTCGCCATTCAATTCGCCACTACAAGGCCTACAATGGCTCAATATTCACGGGGCGCGTGTGCCGCACATGTCTCATCAGGCGGGCCTCTGCAAGCTAGTGGCCCTGAAGGGCGGGCTCCAAAGGATCAGGATTCCGGGAGCCTCCTTGGCGATTTTCTAGTAAGGTCCTAATGTGTTTCTTTGGTAGCAGCCTCGCTAATCTTGCACTTAGCCGGACCTTGGTGAACTCCACTTTGACCTTGACCAAGCCTCAGATTCCATTTTATTCCAACCGCGGGCATGACAATTCCGATTGGCGGTTCCATTTCAGTTCGTCTGGGGGATGGTGGGACCATGGGGTGCAGAAATTCCAAAATGCTGGCCTACCATTTGCCCTCGCATGCGTATTGCAGGGTTTCGTCATGTACTGCAGCATGGTTCATGCATATGTGAACGGCGACAATGCACCACACGACACCAGCTTGTTGTGTGACATCCGGAACCTAGTCCACTTCCATGTCATGTCGCTGCCCACAGGAGCGGAATGCGACGACAGAGAATGGTACCCCGGATATGAAGCCTGCAGGCTTGGCCTGCTCATATTTAGCGTCGGAGTCATTTTCCCCATTCCTCCTGTCGGCTCGCCACTTCCCCGTCTCGCAGGGCTTCTGCGCCGGGAGTTGAGCGAGGAACCTCTATTCGATCATTACACACTCGATGCGGACAATGGGCTTCTCGTGTGGCTCCTTACGATCGGTGGCATAGCCGCGCAGCACACCATCGAAAGATCGTGGTTCGCACAGAAGCTTGCAACCGTCGTCAGTCTTACCTCAATCCCAAGCTGGCGTTCTCTGCGGGCACTGCTTAAGGCCTTCCCTTGGTTGGATTGTGCATGCGATCATGCCGGAGAAAGGCTGTGGGAGGAGGCCCAACGATCCACCTCTCCGCCGTCCTTGACAGATGCGCCAGGTACCCATCGCTACACAACGAGGCTCCAGCCATGTCTCCATTGCCGCCGACGAAGGGTGAAATGTGACAAGCAGCAACCATGTCAGAACTGTGTCAAGCATAACCATACTTGCAAATACACGACTTCGACACTCGAGGAACAGGTTGAAACTTCAACTACGGGGATGACGCATGCCTGCGGTGTGTGCCGCCAGCGGAAAGTCAGATGTGATGGACAGAGACCTTGTAAAGGATGCCAGAAATTGCAGATATCATGCTCAAGGTAAAGATGCTATGGGCCATCGCACCACTAGCTGAATACATATTGCTTGCTTTAGAGAATAGAGCAAAAGTCGGTTCGCTCGCAGTACTCCTTGAAGGAAGTCATTTCGATGCCGAACTATGTCCTGTTAGAACCTTGGTCCTGTTTCCAGGATCCGGGCAAAGGCAATCTGCTTACCTGCGAGGGTCGGACCACCGTGGGATCACCTCCGTCATAACCGAACTGCTGCGCGAAAAGCACGTTCTCCCCAAATTCCCGACCGAGTCCACCAGGCAGGAGCTTCTCGAATGATTCAATGGTGTGCTGTTCGTAGCCACCGTTCGGTACTCCCTGCGACTGGCACCAGATGTCAAGATACGCCTCCCATGACAGGAACTCTCCGACAGCCAAAAGGTTCAAGCCGGGAAGTCCATCCGCTACCGCTTTAACACACCGACCAAAGTCATTTTGCACGTCTCCAAAGGGAACGGGAATGTCAGCCGGGCCAACCCCGGAGATTCGATAGGAGCCCTCGGCTTGCTAGAGAAGAGCGTCAATAAACGTAACCTCACGAAGAACAAGTGATGACGAAACCTTTTTTGGTGTTGTCGGAAGACCCCATTGCCAAAGCAGATTGAAGTAGATCGGTGCCTGGATCTGCGAGAAGCGGTCTTTCAAGCCTGGCAGACTTCGAACATGTTCGACCACCACCGCTTTCGAGTCCATGTGGTAGACTCTGGGGAATTTTCCTTTGCTCCACTTATTCGCGGACGCCATGGAACTGAAAACAAAGCGTTCCAATGTCGGAATCCGGGCGGCGGCCTCCGCCAGATTCTTTCCCTGCTGGACCTCTACTTCAAAGCAATATTCCGTGAGGTCCTGGTCTGGTTGTTTCTTCGTCATGCTCTCGGTGTCTTGGAAGATTGTCCAGAAGTCAGTCACGCCGAAGATGATGGTTGCATTCTGGAATGCTGCTTCCAGGCTGTCAGGGTAATTCAGGTCCCCGTAGACGATCTCGACGCCTCGCGCCTGTAACTCCATGGCTTTGGGAGAAGATGGGTTGCGGGTGACACCCCGGACCTTCCATCCTGGAAGCTGGAGGTATGTGCTTGCGACGGAGCCTCCCTGTAGATTGTAAGTAAGATGCCCTGGTTTCGTGGAAAGCACACTTGCCTGGACTCCCGTGACACCTGTGATGGCAATCAACTTGGACATCTCAGCAATTTCTCCTGGACTTTTATGGCCGAAAACAATAGAGCTTGGGTGTGCTGAAAGGCGAATGATTCGTTATTCGGTATTCGAGGTCAAGCAGCTTCTTATATCATTTTGGAATAACTTTCGTGTCGAATTACCTCGACCAGAGGCTCATGAGGCACTTCCAGCAACCCTTTCATTCTCTCGTGGTAGCATTGGTAATCAAGGAAAGCGTCCAAGAGCCTCAAATCCTTACGTCTGCATGAATTGACCACACCCAACTCTTCGTATTCACTTTCTGCTGATGAAGCATGCATTGCCAACCTCCCCAAAGGCCGGGTCCAAGAATGTGCGGTGATTGGCTCAGCGCGGGCCCTCGCCGAGCTCGGCGAGACTAGTCCCTACTAGGTAAGCGACGCCGATGGCGGGCAGGGACCCTCCCGCCCCCACGGCCCCGATCTAATCTACATCTCCGTCAACGCTTCGGCTGCGGCTGAGGTAGATTTCACGAGACTTACTAATTCTCATGTCGCATGGATTTCCAAGCATCGTCTTGCTAAGCATCAAGAGTGCATCATGCCAAAGACCCTGTGCGGCTCTAAGTTAGTCGCAGGATGATAGCTATAAAGAGCAATGCGATATCCGGCCCAATGCCACTTTTCTCACCATCGCATAACACAATCCACCTGTGCAGAACATCCCAAGTCTCCATTCCCATTAGTCCAAACTCTTCTCGAGCTCAAACCGCCTGAAAACCTCAAAATGTCTCTTCAAGCCTCCCTCCAAAGCGCCTACGCCGACTTCCAAAAGGCGGCCCCAGCCCCCGTCATCGACACCTTCAACTCCGGCGTGCAAGCCCTGCAAGACTCCTTCGACGCCAGCAAAGCCATCCAGCCCGGCCAGAAGCTCCCCGACTTTACCTTGAAAGACGCCACCGGCAACGATGTCACCAGCGCCAGCCTCCTAGCCAAGGGCCCCCTCCTCCTCTCCTTCTACCGCGGGGAATGGTGCCCGTTCTGCAACCTCGAGCTGCGCGCTCTGCAATCCCGCCTGCCCGAATTCATCGCCGCGGGCGTCACCCTCGCGGCCGTCTCCCCGCACCTCCCGGACACCTCCCTGTCCGTGGCGGAGAAGCACGCCCTTGAATTCCCCGTGCTCTCGGACGTGGGGAACCAGCTCGCCCGGCAGCTGGGGATTGTGTGGAAGCAGCCCGAGGCGTTCGGTCCGATCCTGACCGGCTTCGGGGTCGATTGGGAGAGGAAGTACGGCGATCAGAGCTTGGAGGTGCCGATCCCGGCGACCGTGCTCGTGGGCGCGGACGGGGTGGTGCGCAATGTGTTCTTGGACCCGGATTACACGAAGCGGTTGGAGCCGGAGACCGCTCTGGAGTGGGTTCGCGCTCTTTAGGGATATGATATTATGGACTATTGGTTGGATAGTAGATATTTCTAGCTCCTTAGAAGTGCCTTTGTTTGTGCCTAGCTCAATTTGGTGGAAACTTGTCTCGTGTTACCTTTTCTGACTGGTGTAGAATCTCTTGAGTGAATCTCCATGTTCGATGCGTAAAATGCAGTGCCACCAGCCACTAATGGTCCTACCATTGTTTGATTTCCATCGATATTGCACCCCTCTAGCCGTGGGTACGCGGCCACTATCGCCCTTACACTCCGCTCGCATGACCCAATCACGTAGTTCAGCCGTGAAGCATATTGTCGACATACTAGACGCTCAAACCATCGCAGCAACAATTACCGGTACAACCTCGGGGAGATGAATGTTGCATAAGACAATATCACTTGCCCATATGATTTCTTACGTTCTAGGAATCTCAGAGCAACAATGCAACCCCGAGATTTTCACAATACCATAGATAGATTGATTCTACCCCCGCGAACTCCAGGCCAGCCCAATCGTCAGGCCCCGAACTCAGTCGATGCTAATTACCTGCACATACCCAAGTCATATGGAACAAAGTCAGTAGAGTGGAGCGTCGGGTGCCGAAGGGTTCGTGTGCGATAGTTTAGTACGCTGACGGACACGGAGACGGATTGCTCTTACTTGGGTTAGCTGCGCCGAGCTCGGCGAGCCCCGCGGGCGGCGGAACCACCGCAGGAACATTGTCCACTCTGTAGTTCGGGTATCAGCCTCTTTTTAGATAGTCTAGCTGAAGACATGCAGCTTGATGTCTTGGTTCACGAGGCTAAGCCGTGCAGAAAGAGCATAAGCTTACCAAGCCGACTGATGAGAGATTCAAGTGGAGCTTCGCAATACGACCGAGTCAATCGTGCCCTAATCCGGCTCTGAAGGGTCCAGCTAAATCTACTCGATTTTGAGACCTATACGAAGTATGCATGCTCTGACTCGAGCGCGCATCATGTCCGTGAGGCTGAAGAAAGAAGACTCCTACCATATTGGTCTTTCAAGCAGAGACACCCAGGTTGAGTATGTAAGCAGGGGCATTTTCCAACGATATATAAACCCCTTCACAACCTCCCAAGTTTGACTGCAATCACACTCGACAAGCCAATCCTCCTCATACTACAACATTACATCTGCCTACCTACATCTACCATCCTCACCCCCTATCACAATGAAGTCCATCGCAGCCGCCGCCACTCTCCTCAGTCTCCTCCACGGAGCCACCGCCTCCATCACCTGGGGCACCATGTGCACCGGGACCGAGTTCACAGGCACCTGCACGAACTATCAGAGCACCAACGTGAACCAATGCAGTATGTTCTCACTTTCTCACTCTTGCCCTGACTCTGCCCAGTCCGCCTTTTCTTAGCATACTGACACCCGAAAGTCTCCTTCGCCGGCAAGGACGCGAGCTGGAATGATAAAGTCCAGTCGGTCAGCGTGTGGGATGGCAATGTCTGCACCTTCTGGATGTAAGTATATACGATCACTGGGGAAGGATGACTATCGTGTATCACGGGACTGATATCTCTCTCTCTCTAGTGATGTTGGCTGCAGCGGTTCCAGCAGCGGAGCGCTTGAGGGGGCGTTTGCCACCATTGGCCAGCCTAAGCAGTGGAGTTCGTTCGCCTGCACCTATGCCTAGGCGTGGTTTGTCGAGTCTGCAGGCCTGCTGTGTTTGTGGGTATGAAAGGAGTGGGGCGCGGAGGTTGGGGAAGAAGGCTGTTAAGGGACCGCTTAGCGTATTCAACATAGGCGGGTTGGGTTCTTTACAGCCCACGCGGGGATAATTACTGATGGGAGGTGGCGAGAGCGTTATTTGTCGGATTGTACGTAAATGAAGAACCAAATGTAACGTTCTTGAACATGTCATAGATTTGAAGACAACAGCCATGCAAGGTATAAGCTGACCTGTCTGCCGGTCGGTCGATCGCCACTCTAGCCTAGCATGTAGTTTTATTCATTTGGAATGGAGGCGTGTTACAAGACACTATGTTGGTCTTGATACTCAAAAGCAGTCATACTATGCTACACAGGGTTGATGTATATAGCGATATCTCAGGGTAAAAGCAAATATGTAGTAGATGGGATGACGTGGCAGTGCCAGCGCCAAGGCCTGCCTAGAAAGATCAAACAGGTAGAAATAAGTGATATCTCTTTCTGTTCGAAGATCATCCCTGACCAATCAGTTCGTCAACGCTGCGTCCCAGCCACACGTTAGCTGCCTGATCTCATTTGTCAATCTAGTATCAAGCGTATCCGCCTGACCGAGTCAGGCCTCCAGTTGTTCCATCACACTGCGTACGCCAGCCTTATCGCCTCTTCGTGTATCATCTCCTTCGCTCATCATCCGCATAACACAGAAACCCGATTCAAGATGACTACTACCCCCAGGCTGAAAGGCCTCGCACTCTGGGGTGGCAGGAACGAAGTGGTGAGTCTCCCCCCGCCTGATCGGTCGAGTTCGGTCCCTCATCAGTGGACCGCGTTATACCTCGCTTCTCGCCCACTCCCCGCCAAGGTCTCTGCCATCCACTTCGATATTACCAGCCACGACCAGGGATATGGGAACCCCCAGAATGGGCTCTGGTCCTGGTTCGAAGTCTCGATTTTAGGCGCCTGGGCCGAAGAACCCGATCCCAACTTGTTCCACGACTTGAGTGACCCGGCCTACGTCCGATCGAGTCCAGAGGAATTTGGCGAGTGGATTCAGGAGCAAGGGCTATACTTCAAGAATCTGCCCATGGGCCATGCCCAGTCGAGTGGAGATATCAGCACGACCCTGGTGAAGAATAATCTTCAATCCCAATGGCAGCAACAAGTCGCGACCTGGAAGCGAGGCGGGAACGAAGATGAGAAGAGCGCCGAGCACTTTCTGGACCTCATCGAGGAAGGCGATCGGCTGGTGATCTGGGCAAGAGTGCGGGTATGCTCATGCAGTAGTCCCAAGCACCAGGAGAACTGCTAACGAATCATCAAAGTTTCCAGGGTGGAGAAATGAGGTCAAAGAAGCTCAAATAACGGTATCGGCTCCGGTTCTGATGTCAGATCATGGGGAAAGTTGCGAGGTGTGTATAAAAACTCTTCGGGGTGTGAAAAGTCAGAACTAAATGTGGGTGGACAGAAAACTAGGATTGCAACACCCACAAGTATCACGCCAAGGCCTCATGCTAAACTCAAAACTATTCAACAATTCATCCAGGAACAAGCGCTATTGGCCCTCGGAAATGCAGCAGTGCAGACCAGGGATGCCTTTATCGCCTCTATGAATGCTGACAAGAATTGGTGGACTTGTATGGATCCAAAGAGCGGGAGATCCAGACACCAGAAGTCAGATACAGCCACCGAACGAATCCTCCGCAAGAAGGAAGAACTGTCGAGACTGCCGGATAATGACCCTGGAAGGGCAAGTGTCTTGAGAAGTATTGCATTTGCGTACGAGGCACGACAACCCGCCACAAGTCAAGAGGAGGAGGAAAGTCTCAACAAAGCAATCGAATACTCCCAATTGGCAGTCCAAGCTAAGCCAGAGCAGCTCGCGTATCGGATGTTCCTGATTATGAACCTGCAAATACGATATGGACGAGCCAAGCAAAGCACAGACCTCGACCTGATCATCACCGAAATCGAGTCAATCGAGGCTCTTGGAGGGCATAGTAATTTCGTCTTCTTATTGGGATTTGGTGCTTTCTATATCACGCGGTACGATGAGACCGGGAACACAGACGACTTGCAAAACGCCCGGGATATCTTCAAAGAGGTTCGCCACATAGTTCCAAAGGAGGATTTCCTTGTTCAAATCATGACAAGTGGCTTGGAAGAGAAGCATATGGCGTACATTCCTGCCGAGCTGGCGATAGGTGAAAAGGTGGACACTCATATCGATAATGCGGAGCGAGCTATTGCCCTCGCGGAGGTCAATTCAACAATATATCTGCAGCTCCTTCATAACCTTTTTGAACAATACTATCGACGATACCTTCAAACGGGGCATAGCAGGGACATAGATCTCGCAATCGCCAGGGCAGAAGAATCCCTCTCGTTGGAGGTGTCAAAGAACGATTCGATAATAAGGTGGCACACGGCTAATTCATTCATGGCGAGGTGGCATCGTCAGGGACGACGCGAGGATTACGACAAGGCACAGGAGCTGACAAAATCAGCAATAGATGCCGCGATCAGTGGTAGCGCCGAACAAATAGGGTTCATCGTACAAAGGGCGGTGTGGATGGCAACAGAAGATCCAGACCGGACTGACCAGACACAGGCTCTGCGAGCCTCTATCGAGGAAGTAGAGAATATACGCGCTCATTCGTATGATGGTCTCACTCCACGCTACAAGAAACAGATTTTATGTGCGCTTGGTGGACTATATAAGGATCTCTATGGGTTGACCCACGATATCGCCGACCTTGACAAAGCAATCGACTCAATGGAGGCCTTCTTTGGTCTGAATGTTGACGATACGAGCTCAAATCGGTTGATAATGGGAAACCTCTGGCTCGCGAAGGCCTCTCGCACGAACGATACTACAGCCTACCGTCGTGGACTGCGGAGTTTCCAGCGATGCTATGAATCTGATCAAGCCCTGCCTATAGATCGTGTACGAGGTGCTTCATGCGTCATGCATCACGCAATACACCACCTAAACTGGACAGCGGCTAGAAGACTCGCAGAAGAAATCATATTTCCGCTGATACCTCTTATCAGCAGCCGCGACCTGAAGCATGATGACAAGACTTACAATCTGCAAAGCCTGTCCGGTCTCGCTGGTCACACCTGCGTCGCATTACTTCGGAGTGGATCTCTGACAGAAGCACTTCTGAAAGTTGAGATCAGCCGAGGTATTCTGATTGGCGATTTGATTGACCTTCGAAGAGACCTGTCGAACTTGCACAAGGTGCATGAGGATCTTGCCCTGGAATATAACATGCTTCGGGAGAAGGCCTTGCGTGATATCCATGTGGATGAGCCGCAGCCGACTAACAACCGTCGTGGTGCATTCCAACTTCTGCAACAGTGCGAGAGTCGCATCCGTGAGAGGATGGGCTTTGAGAACTTCCTGCAGCCGGTAACACTTCCGGATATTATCGACTCTTCCCGCGAGGGGCCGATTGTTGTGGTGAACGTAACCTGCGTGTCATCCGATGCTATTCTGATCACCCCGGATTGGATCAAACATTTACCGCTCGATAGCATGATCAGCCATTCTGTACCGCAGTTTCGTCATCAATTATTGCGAATGCGGTGCACTTGGAAGTCAGGGCCCAGAGATCTAGAGAGTGATCTGCCGCCAGAGGCGCAAGATGTGGATCTCCTGTCATGGCTCTGGTACACTTGTGTAAAGCCAATCCTTGAGCTGCTCGCGTCGCATAACAGCATCTCTTCTCGTCAGAAAAGCCGAGTCTGGTGGATTGGCGTGGGTGCGGCGAGTGGACTCCCCTTCCACGCCGCCGGGGACTACACCACCGGTCCTCAGGATGAGAACACGGCAAACGAGAATTGTCTCGACCGCGTCATATCTTCATATACCCCAACGATCAAGACTCTTCAAAATTCCCGGCGCAACGCTCAGCGAAGGGCGGCCCAGGCACCCGTCCAGCCCGAGGACAGCCCGTCTCTGTTGATCGCCACGATGGCGGATACCCCGGGTCATGGCACACTCCATGGGGTCCGCCGGGAGGCCAAAGCTATTATCGATACTGTCAAACACGCCATGCATGTAAAGCATATGGCTGAGCCTTCTGCCGACGAGATTCTTGCTCAAATATCGGCGTGCCAGCTGGTACATTTTGCCTGTCACGGACACTCGGATCCCGAGGACCCGGCTGAGAGTCATATGCTTCTGAAGAAGAGGAGTGGTTCGGGCTTCGTGGTGGACAAACTAACCGTCTCTCAGCTCCTTGATCAAGCGACGTCTTGTGCCTGGATTGCGTATTTGTCTGCCTGTTCCACCGCGGAGAATCGCGCCGAGAAGCTGCGCGATGAGGGAATACATGTGACTACTGGGTTCTTGATTGCAGGCTTTCCGCATGTCATCGGCTCCTTATGGCCAGCAAACGATCAGGTCTGCGTGTACATGGCGGCGTTTTTCTATGAGGCGCTGATCAGGCGGCTGGCTACTACTCTGGTTGATCCGAATCGTGCGGTAGCAGAGGCGGTTCATGATGCAACACTTAGAATCAGACGGCAGTATTATGACAGTCCAATGTCCTGGGCATTGTATACCCACAATGGGGCTTGAACCTGTTTTCAAAAAGATGTTCGCTGAGCAGCATGTTGGAGCATGATAGTGCAGAGATAGGTGGCTGTCATCAAGTGTTCATCCCGCGTATTTCGACCCTCATACCTGCTGTTATAGCCGCCAACCTCACGGTACCACTGCCTACCACTTGCCATCGAGAAGCGAATAAAGGACAATGAGATCAGAACATCGCATCTAAAAGATTGCTCTACCCTAATAAGTGTGTTTTGATGGCGAACATTTCCAAATAGACGGATCGACGCTGGCATATGAGGGTGTGGGTGAGCAACTTCTTGCTCTTGCTTTATTGCTTCCGTTTTCTTTACTTTCTCACCCATGTAACTCAGTCTCAAGGTTCACTAGGGTTTCCAAGTCTCTTGTGCTTCAACTCACTCGCTGCTCTAGAAACGATTCCTCGAATCTTAACATGTGACACTATCATTTTAACAACCTGCACAGGGCTGCTCGTGCAACACACGTTCTAGATGAGCCGGAAATATTATTCAAATAAAGCAATGTATGCCGATCATTATCGCCAAACCATCTTGAAGCCCCTCGTTCTTTTACTGTCACTTGAAGCGCGAGCGACTGGTAATTTTAGTACGGGGCCCAGACCCCTGTAATATCACGACCCCAACAAACAACTTGTCATCCAGCATTTTGAACCCCCACAGCCCAATAGCCTCTCCCTCAGGCAAACTTCCTTCCCCGTTCTGCGCATCTCCCGCTGTACGGCGGTAATGCGATGTGTACCTGCGTTGAAGAAAGTCGACATCCTCGTGATCTGTTCTCCCCGTCATAGAGGGTAAATTCCTCTTCGCGGACGGCGTGGAGATAACGGCGCGCCGGGTCTTTGTCTTGTCACCCCGTTTCATGCAATCGAACTGATCCTCCATGTCAGTATGATTTCCATATCCTCCTGGGTGAGAAATGGGCAAAAGGGAAAGAAGCGCCACGCCTGGCTGCCGTATCACTAACAGTAACTTGCAGGAGGCCCGTCCAGTCCTTAATCAAGGACATCCGTTGGATATTTTCGTCCGGAGAAAGTCGCACAGAGCGAAGGGCCTGTCCAGCGGCCACATCGCCTATATCCTGAACAGCACCGGACTTATATGTGAACCTCAGGCCAGTGATGTAATCCTCCTTATTCAAGCCGTGATACCCAGCTATGGAGACCAGGCCATTCGTTCCATTACCTCCCGCCCAGAGTGCGCTTTGGGGAGTCGCCCAGGGCCGTTCCTCGAGGGTATGGCCCGGGTCCCAGAAAACCATCTTCTGACTCGGCGATTTGAGATTTTGGATTACCCGTGGAAAGTCCCACGCGCCGTTGAATACCCAGACAAAGCACGACTGTGAGGGGTATACATTAACTTGAATTAGAACTACGGATTGCAAAGCAGAGGCGGGAGAGCGGGCTCACCATTTCTTCGAGGTAGCTTTCTTCAAACCGTAAGATAGTATGCTCCTTGGCTGATAGCGGAGGTCCCTCCGGATACACCACAGTCTGAAGGGGAGTAGTTATCATGATGCGAACGACTCGGCCCATGAAGAACTCCTGGCTCAAGGCCTTGCAACCATTCGACAGCCATATTGTGATTCCTGTGATCGTCTCTCCGGGCTCAAGGGTGACCGACACAGACTCAGAGATCCACTGACCGACGATTGAATGAGGAGATTCGAAGTACTCAAACCATAATCCGGAAACTTCATTGTCGAGCCGCGGGCGCTCGAGGTTTCCGCTCGAGAATCTTATACACTTGACCGATTTTAAGCTCGCAGATGTAAAGGCTCTACAAAAATTGGATCTTTCTCTGATAATATATGAGCCTAGAGGGGAAGCTGAGCGTGCGGCAGTTGAAACGGGGTACGGCAAGGCCGCGTCCGTGACCCGCGTTTCATACGGCGGCGGGGTTCTCTGACACTGTAATCCGAAAGCACGAAACGAGTTGTTTGATGCCTGAACATGTCTCAGTGGACAGCTTCGTCATTCCTTGGGTGTTGGGCTTACTTCAAGGGTGGCAATGAATCCAGTAATGCGCTGCCCGATGGGCGCTTGCATCGCCTCGACAGTCATTTCCTTACGTTTGATGAGAGGATTCGAGCGAGAGTCAAACAAATGCAGTTTTAGCCGGTAATCCGATACTTCAGAGCGGCTCAGCTCGTCCCAACCCGTGATAAGCTCCTTTCCAAGGTTTGTGCGCATCTGAATTCACGTCAGTCTCAGTGGCATGCCGAACGAAGAGATGCGAGTACCCGAAGTAACAGGATCCGGCTATCCTTGGTGGACTTCGCGACTGTGACACCTGTGACATACTCCCCACCGGGTCCATCAATCAACAAAGATACTTCCATCAAGCCCTGTCGACCGAAGTGGGTAGAGGTCCGGTCGTCGAAATAGAAGGTGAATCCTACAATGGGTGCCGAGTCATTGAGGATATGGGTCACTATCCTTGTCAGTTGCGGAAGCTTCTCCCCGTTGCCACCCGCGAAATCAATATTCAGCATACGGTTGTACCCTTGCAATGCTGGCTGCAGTTCAGGAAACGAGAGATACGGCTTTTCTTGGATAGGTGGGCGTCCACATTGGTTGGAGTGTGAAACTGTTGTCGACTTCCGAAACGGTGTCACTGGCTTCGGTAAATCCCAAGGCGATCATTTTGAATGCCTTGGGTGCCACCAATCAGTAGACACATGGACGATGCGGCAGTTAAACTTACATCAAACTGAGCGACCAGTCGGATTCGTCGTGCTTTCGGAGCGCCGAAGTCCAGCTTTCCCAACGCGATATCGGCCCGGTCCGTCTCTTGATCTCGCACCCACTGCGGCGGACATGCACCGTGGTCGCTTCCTTCAACGAGCACTCTTAGATTGGTGATGCCTCGCGAACTGACTTCCAGTTCAAATCCTGTGACACAAACGGACGGGGCAATGTGAATTAGATGGCCGGCATTGGGTGGCGCAAATCCCAGAGCGATGTTGGAATACGCTTGAGTAGAAAGGTGCAGAAGTTCGAATTCCAGACCGGAGATGAAACACTGCAAGTTAAAGTCAATCACATAAACACGAATGGTCTTGACAGTGAAGTCGTCCAAAGGTAAAATGACGGTCCTATCGTGGAGCCTCAGACTTCCTACAGAAAGTAGCCGGTGAGAGTCCTCCGACACTTGGGCGCTGAGCATTTTGCCGTGTGTCCCATTTTCAGGAGTTGTATTGGGGCTATGAGACAGACCTGCATCCTCGGTACAGATACCGCCACAAAGGTCGGTTCCATCCAAGAACTGAGAAAGCAGAGCCGCATTGATACCAGCAAGTCTCCATATTCGCCGCCGGTTTCTGGCCTGCGCAAAGCTGGAGCCGGAGGTATCGCTCAAAACATGCTTCAGCGTAAAGTAAGCGTCACGCCAGTTGAGATAACCCGTCGAGTCAGCGGGCCAAGCAAATCCCATCTCGCCATCTGCCAGAAACCTGGTGCGCCAGAAAGACTGAGGCAGCGATGACGGATCAGTCGCGGATGCGAGACTTCTTGACGCCAATCGCAAGTGCTGAATATCGGGTGAAGGGAGGAGAGACACAATCATAATTAGAACCTCGACTGAAAGTGGGGAGAATATGTCATCGCGTGAAGACGGCCTCCGGGCTCTATGTGTGGATCGTTGAGGGCAGAATTGAGTGTCCGGGGTGGCACACGATAGAATCTCTGCCAGATTGCGGAACTGTGAAGGACAAGCCGAGAGATAATCAAGTCCTTGGTCGATCATATCGCAAAACATAACCCCCATCGGGTTTTGAAATTGGGCTGCGCCACCGAAGTCATGACCAGGACGAAGGTATCTTTGCTTACCCCATGTGGTACAAAACAGCATCTGGAAAAGAAGAGTGGAAAATCTGGTGAGGTCGGATCGGCCCTCCGGGACTCTCTGCAGTAGAATCTGCCAGCATAATTCATGCACGTCGAATGACCAGGTACCTGACGCTGGGTCGCGGAATCGGATGTACGACATCAGGCTGCCAACCCCGTCGTCGCTGAAACAGCAATCATGGTGCGAGGGGGCATGGATTCGACTGGAATGACTGACATATCCTACGCCGCTCACAGTGGCGAGTTGGGTGACTAGCCATTGATCATCTAATGTATCACCGCGAAGCTGAATCACACGGACCTGCCGGTACCATTCCAGATCGGTTGGCACGGTGCCAGGCATGACCAGTGAACGGGCAATTAGAATGCCACATATCGGACAGTAGTGATTTGGGATTGTTCGAGTCATAGAGTATTATGGATGGATGGATGGATGGATAAACGGATGAAGAGATGAAAAGATGAAGAAATGAAGAGATGGATGAGAGGAGGTGGAAACAAGGGACAAGGCAAAGCTGAGAGAAGTGCAGTGAGGTCATGTGATCCCCCTCATTTATATTAGCCTTAGATGTATCGAAGGTCAGAGATGGTGTCCCTAAATTGCGTCTGAATCATCATCACGCATACAAGGGCTAAAAATAACTTGAATTAGTGCGCGCAAAGATACCTTTCTGCGCCCACCATCCCAACCATTGGGTGCAGTTGTTTGTGGCTGCATATGAGCCAAACTGGAAGCAGATGTGCACGCCCCATGGCAAGGATAAAGGTCAAGCCTCCCCCGTGGTCGCTTCAGCATTCTGACTCTTGCTGTTCAATGCATGTTTTCATAAAAAGAAACCATCATACCATACCATTTCAGCCATGGCGGACATACCACCAGCAGGGGCCGCATGGGCCCCATTCCCCGGAACCTCGGTATTTACAGTGCTCTGACCGCAATAAAACCCAATTCTGGCGAAGCCCCAGTCTTTTTTCTCTGGAACGCGCTCTGCGCAACCTATTTTCCTCCAGGCAAGGGATTTTAGATGGCCGTCGGCCGACCAGCAATGCGAACGTCTCCCGCAGATTCCTAGCAGCCACGGCTATCGGTACCAAGGTGAAGTTCTGGAAATACGACGCGCCAGACTTGCAGCTGGAGTCAAATCTCCCGACATTGGCTCCGAATTCGGAGGTGCTGGACCTCTCCCAAGCTCGGGGTCAAACCGAAGCCATTCAGATGTTGGCCTATGTGCGCAACGAAGGTTTCGACTGGACGGAGTCAGGCGAAGATGGAACTCACTGAAAGCACCACGCACGTGTGCAGTGGAAGAAGGGGATCAGTCTCGCTATGCAACGCACATCGATCCAGTAACCACGTCTGTTGTATTTCTGCGTTGCCTTCCTGCTTTATTCATGTCTCCTATCTTTGAAGCTTAATGCAAACTCTGATAAAAACAATCAGACTGATGGCTCAATTCTGCGGTTGAAGAAAAGGATGCCCCGCCAGTTCGCCTGCCAGTCGTCGGTAATTATGATTCCAGAGAAGCATTTGCCCGACGAGATCCAGAAACGCCTCTCTCTCCTCTCCTTGGAAGAAGGAAACCGTATCGCCGGGATGCCGGTCGGGAATCAGATCCTCGTAGAGAAAGCGACCTAGAATGCCCATTGATCACGAGTCAGATAATCCTCTATGTTGCCGGAATGACAAATCCTAGAATCCTACCATAATTGTCAAAGAACGGCCCACAAAAGTACTCTTCCGCGGTCTCGCATACCCTGCCGTCTTCTCGTCGGACATGTCCCGGTAACGAAAACTCGCGCATGGATTGATACCTCTGCAAGATTTCGGGAGGCGGGGGACCAAGTAAGGCTATCATTTGCGCGATGTGCAGTTTTGCATCATAGCGACCGTGTTGATCGTGGATATGCTGAAACAGCTCCCTACCTCCGACAAGATCCCACAACTGAATCTGGTATCAGTAAAAGCAACAGTAATAACATCCTTGAGGAGTGACGAGATGTACCAGAACACCCAAATTCCAAATATCGGCAGGCATTTGCCATCCAATACCCAGGATCACCTCTGGCGCTCGGTAGTGGTCTGGCTGAATTGGCCAGATGCCCCAGTCATCTTCTTCCGCCAGTCGGGTGGCCAGGCCAAAGTCGACAAGCTGGGGAATACTCTTGAGGCTTTTGAGTGGGCCGAAATCGTTACGGGATTGGTACACTGGCCGTCCTGTCGAGTCAATCTTGGACGCCATTGGCCTTGCAAGCTGAGACTCTATGAAATCAGCGAGCACGGTCGGATCCTCGGAGGAGACCATGATGTTCTCAAGCTTTAGATCTAAACGGCTTGGCTCAGTAGGACCAATGTAACCTACCTGTATGGACTACCCTGCATTCCTGGTGGAGATAATCAAGCCCCGAGAGCAGGGTACGGATGTAAGATTTGATAAGGGGCAGTGGCATCCTCCCATCAACGAAGTGCTGCTGATACCTCGAAAGGGGCTCCCTCAGAGGCGGGTACACAAGACATGAGTGAGATCCTTCCGGGCCTTGGACCTGAAAGGAGTTGAGCAATGTGCGGATTAGTGAGCGACCGCGATGTGAGGGGTCTGCGGTGGAAATATGCTCTTCAACCTCGCGCTCATGACCGGCATAGTGCGCATTGTTATTGGCGATCTTCAGTGCCACGATGGTCTCCGGCTCTTCGATATGGCTGTATGCTTTGTCAGAGACCGAGAGGGCTTCGAATCAAACAGCTATCAGTCAAGGCCTGCTACCGTTGTAGATCAAGCGCGAGCCATACGGTTGAAGACACGCCCCAGCCGACTTTGACGACAATATGGTAGCGATCAGCGAGTACTTCCCCAGGCTTAGCTGGGTAGAAGCCCTTCGAATTGTAGAATGGCGAGATCTCTTCATCAACCAATATGCCCGGCGGTAAAGGTGGCCCGTGAGAAGGTATGAAGAACGGTCTCTTGCGCAGTAAGGAAGAGAAGCGAGGAAGAGACGACCTCAAAGAGCTCATGACAAAGAAGTTTCATGTGATGTGGATAGTTGTGGAAGGAGAGAAGCTCCAGGCGCCTAAGCAAGGCTGGGACCCGGGGTCACGTGTGCCACGGTCACATGACATGTGCATCTCTTTTGACGTCGCGGCCAAGGAACATTGAGCTTCTTGTTCTTCCCCCTTTACATGGAGGCCTCCCTTCACAGCTGTTATGAAGATTCTTGCGGCGTAAATTCCAGCGTTAGGAGGTAAAAGAGGAGAAAGGCTGACCGTTGCAATCGCAACAAATTAGTCTATGGCACCCAAGTGCAGCAAACTACGTTCCCTCCTCCAAAATATGTCGCAACAAACAAACCTAAGCCCGTTGTGAGTAGTGCACTATACTCAGTTTCGTACACCAAGTACTCCGTCCTCCGGTGTTGAAGCGGAAAAACCGAAGATGATAAGGTCGATGCCGCGATCAGGCCTCGGAATAGATAAGCGCTGGTGGCACTAAACCATGTTGGGAAAACTGCGCATCGCCCCGCCCCGGTGGGAACAGGCCCATCTTTTGCAACTAGGAGAATAAGAGTACTATTACTCACTGTTAAATTATTTATTTGGTTCGTTGATCTTGAAGTCAGCTAATGATTAGGGCCAGCGCTAACGGGAGAATGTACAAGGCTTCAGTATATATAGATGTACAGATGTACATAAAAGTAGTAGCAGCAACTTGATGAATGTTCCCCGAGCAAAAGGCAATCCCGGTAAGGATCAAAATATATGTATGAGTAAATCATAGACTGATTTCGTCTGCTGAAATCTGTACTACACCACTGTCCTACGAGAGTCATGTGTAGTTATCATAATGACATCAGAATTTACTGATTTGATTTCTATAATCAAAGCCCAGTGGATTTTTTTCATGTATTCTAGCCGAAGTATTGTCGAAGTATGTCCAAGCGAAGGGCAGGTCGGTCCTACCCGGCATTGCCACAACGGATGCTTCCGACCGGATAGCCCCGAGTCCAGTATTCCCCATTCTTTCCTAACCCTCTTTCCTCGCTTCTATCTAAAGGGTTCTTTGTGTCAATTACTATGTACTGTACGAAGGAGGGAACTTTACATGCGGGTTTCGAGCTACCACGCGTCATGGCTCGAATAAATCCATAAGAGACCTAAAATCTACATCTAGGCTGCACCAAGTGGCCATAGACTGGAGGATATCACATCGCCTGAGGCGCAAGCCGATCTCCAGAAAGCCTGCACAGCGATCGGGTAGCCCCAGACTGTCGACTGCGAATTGCCCCGCTGAAAATTGATGAAGCTCCCATGCCCGGATGTATACCACGTACCACGGTCAATGGGAGGTCTAGGCCCGCCGGTGGTTCCGACCGCAATCATCCCACTCAAATTCAATTACCCGGTCGCAAGTCTGGTTCCGACTCAGCAAACGAGACCTGGCCGGGTGATGTTGCTCCGGCGGCTGGTGTGCTGCTGGTTTCGAGATGGCTGCTTGCTACTCTCGATAGTGTCGAACGTCTGTATGCCCTGCCTGGAGTGGCATGAGAAGGGAGGCTGGAGTGAGCGCCAGTCCCCTTGGCCGTATAATGACCTCATTCTCGCGCTGGACGCCTTACAAAGTGTGGTCTTCCGCACCTAGTCCTTGGCGATGCGCTTTGCATCATGGATCCGTGAGACAAGCCTCAAATGCAGCCTAGGAGCTCCGTCCAGCATTGGCATTCCCGCTCTCGATCACCGTCACCGTCTCCTGGATGATCACCTGCCCCTTGCCGGCCGCGCGACCGGCATGCTTCGCATTCTGCGGCGACAGCAGGTCCTCTGAGGAGCTGTCGTTCCCCGTGCGTGGCCCACCCAGCGAGGTCGACTCCGGGGTGGCGATCGCCCCCTTGCCCGTCTGCACGTCGACGTGATACGACCCCGCCTCGGCCGCGGCCTGGCCCAGACTATTCAACTCCACATGCCCCTCCCAGGTCCGGCCGTAGCCGCGGTGGAACCGACTGGATCGCTTGTTGGAGGAGGTGGCGCCGCCGGAGGAGGAGGCCTTGAGGTGGTTGAAGTAGGAGCCGAAGAGCGACTTCAGGGCGGGGATGGAGAGGGCAATCAGCGTGCTTCCGATCTCGGAGGTCTCGACCGCCAGCATCGGGTCGTACGCCCAGCTGCCGTCCGACGACCATTGGCCCACCGCCACCAGGTAGATGCGCGCGCAGGAGATGGCAAGGACTCTGCCGGAATGGTCTGGTCAGCTTGGGAATGGGGGGTAAAAGAAAAGTCATTGTTAGGCAGGGGACTCACAGAACACCCGGGAACATGATCAGTGACAGCTGGAATTTCCGTTGCCGCGACACATGCAGCATGTAGATCAACATGGACGGCAGAACCAACATGATCAGATCGCAGACTAAGGATAGCCCCGAATTGACCGAGTAGACGTCGCCCCAGCTCAGACATTTGAACTTGCTCGCCCCGGCTTGCCATTCATACGGCCAGAGCCCCGTGATCGGTAAGCAGTGGAAGAGCAGCAGGAAGAACTGGGTGAGGAAGGCGAGCACGAGGAAGATGGAGGCAAGCTTGATGGCCAGGGACAGTTTGTCGTGTCGCGCTGCCAACCGATGGTAGAAGGCCAGACCGGACAGGCGGCAGATGAACAGCGCGGTCGTATACAAGATGTGCATGACGAAGTCCAGGACTTCTGTCTCCTTGACCTGGGACAAGGAGAGGACGTACTCGATGTACTCGATATGACGGCCGCTGCCCAGATCAATGAGGACCATGGACAGCACGACCACGGTGATGTACAGCAGCTGCCAGCAGTCAGTCAGTGTAGGCTTTCCCTACCCGTAACCGCAGAGAGAATTACCAGGGTGAAGACGGCCAGGGAGTCGTCCATGCCAAACCGCTTCAGAAAGAAGATGCGGGCGTAGCATCTCGCGATGACCACGAGCGTGGTCAAGGCGCAGACGAAGATGATGGCGATCTTGGCCGGGCGATCGCGCGACTGGGCGAGGTATTCCAGGCTGATCCCCGCGGGGATGCGACCCGCAGCATCGGCCGCTTCAATGGCAGCAGGGATGTTGGCCATGTTGCTGCAGGCAGGCTTGCCAGGGACCACCGGAGTTACGGGGATGGAGTCGTTTTGTGAGTCAGGATGGGGACGGGAGAGAGAAAAGACGAAGTGAAGAAGTAATGGGCAGACTGGGCCAGATCTTGCATGCTCCGACGAACCAGAATTTCGGGGGAGATGAGCACCTTGAGTTGTTCTCCCTGAACTAGGAGGAATGCGGATGCGAACCATGGTCTGATGGACGAGTCCACCCGGAGGCGAACTAGGCAGTCTAGTCCAGTCTGTTTTGCATCCTGGGAGCGATAAAAGTGCATTAGCCTAGGGCTATGGGCTAGGCGAGCAGCACACGATGTGTTAGTGCTGGTTAGTTCTCTCACTAGCCGATCCTGCCATGTGGGAAAACAGCCGACCGAACCATCCGACCAGGTTCGTGGGTTCTTCACAGTCTTGGTGGTTGTTCTTAAAAAATAAAAAAAATATTTTCTCTCGGTCGCATGATTTTCTTTTTCTTTTCTTTATTTATGGCGCATTTTCTGTCTTGATGACGTGCCCGGGAGTGCAACAAGCGATCGATTACCTTAAACGCGATAAACGAGCAGCCTGGCAGGACACGGACGAGGGAATCCATGGAACGGTTTTCCCTTTCTTCTGTGAACTGGGCCGCAGTGGAGCTTACCGCTGGGGAGTCAGAACTCAGATTACGTGGAAATTACTCTTTCGGATCTCCTCGGCTACAGGGAAACCGTTGATTTGATTAATTAATGATCATTCTTGCATCTTCTCAGGGGGGAGAAGCTTCGGGCGGGCTTCGAGAAGATAGACTGCATCTCACGGCAATTCGGAGCCAACCGACACAATTAGTTAGTCCTGCCCATTCAATTCGACTCCCTCCTGCATCCTGACCTACTCGTACTTCTGACGGTGCCGAAGATCCGCCGGCGTCTCGACAGCCAGCTTGATCAAGCTTCGGCCGATGCTCCACCCGGTGGCCGTCCGCGGTGGCCTCATCGGCTAGTCTCCTTGTCGAAACTTGAACGAGATTAATTGTCTCATGTCGACAAAGTATAAATGATTAATTGTACCCGACCAGGGAATTTGTTTCCTGCTCCTGAGACTTGCCCCTTGCATCCAGCGGTATCGCTGTATCCCCCCCCCCCCCCCCGATCTCCCCGATCCCCCCGATCGTCGGTCGCCGTTTCGGCCCAAGCCCCATCAATCGACGATTTACTCATAATCCTACCTTTCTCGTTCGGTTTCTTTGATTTTCACTGTTTCGCTCCCACGTCATCTCCCCGGAAATGCCTTCCATCGCGTCGCGACTCCTGGCCGTCGGCTTGGCCGTGGTGGCCGCCGCCTCGTCGGCGCAGAACGACAGCCTGGTCACCCAGCAGCTGGATTTGCAGCCCTACCCCTATGACTTCCCCAAGCTGGGCACCAATGGCTCCGATCTCTTCCCCATGCGTCTCTGCCATGGCTTCAAGCTCGAGGAGGCCAGCATCGACGAGATCCAGGCCGAGCTGGAGGCCAAGAATCTCACGGGGGTGCAGCTGCTCCAGTGTTATCTCGAGCGCATCTACCAGGTTCAGCCTTATGTCAAGTGAGTGTTTTCCAGAAATCAATCAAAGCATGGCAGGGATAGAACAGGGCTAAAGGGTGGTCGATGTGCAGTGCGGTTATGCAGCTGAACCCCGATGCGGTGAGCATCGCCGAGGCGCTGGACGCGGAGCGGGAGGCGGGCACAGTGCGCGGCCCCTTGCACGGAATCCCCTTCTTGGTCAAGGACAACATCGCCAGTAAGGACAAGATGGAGACCACCGCCGGTAGTTGGGCCCTCGTGGGCTCCGTCGTGCCCCGTGACTCGCACGTCGTGCACCGTCTGCGCGAGGCTGGGGCTGTCCTGCTGGGTAAGGCGACGCTCAGTGAGTGGGCGGACATGCGCTCCAACGACTACTCCGAGGGGTACTCGGGCCGTGGTGGCCAGTGCCGCAACGCGTATAACTTCACCGTCAATCCTGGTGGTAGCAGTTCTGGCTCCGGCGTGTCCATCTCCACCAACCAGGTGCCTTTCGCGCTGGGTACGGAGACTGATGGCAGTGGTATGTTGTGCATCACACCCATCCTAGGGTTGGTCGCTAACGGAGTGCAGTCATCAACCCGGCGGAGCGCAACAACATCGTCGGCATCAAGCCCACCGTCGGCCTCACCTCGCGTGCGGGCGTGATCCCCGAGTCCCTGCACCAGGACACGGTCGGCACCTTCGGCAAGACCGTGCGCGACGCCACCTACGCCCTGGACGCCATCTACGGCGTCGATCCCCGCGACAACCAGACCGCCGCGCAAAAGGGCAAGACCCCCACCGGCGGGTACGCCCAGTTCCTGACGGACAAGTCGGCCCTGAAGGGCGCCGTGTTCGGTCTGCCGTGGATGTCGTTCTGGCAGTACAACGACGCCGCCCAGAACGCCCAGCTGATGGAGCTGCTGGCGCTGATCGAGTCGGCGGGTGCGACCATCATCAACGGCACCGAGCTCCCCCATTACAAGGAGATCGTCGACCCCGAGGGCTGGAACTGGGACTACGGCACCTCCCGGGGCTACCCCAACCAGTCCGAGTACTCCTACGTCAAGGTCGACTTCTACAACAACATCAAGGATTATCTCGCCGAGCTGAACAACACCAACATCCGCTCGCTGGAGGACATCGTCCAGTACAACATCGATAACGCCGGTAGCGAGGGTGGCCTGCCCGGGGTGAACCCGGCCTTTGCCTCCGGACAGGATGGCTTCCTGGCGTCGCTGGCGACCAAGGGTGTGATGAACGAGACCTACTGGCAGGCGCTGGCGTACTGTCAACGCACCAGTCGCGAGGAGGGCATTGATGCGGCGCTGCGCTACCAGGGCCGCAACATCACCGCTCTCCTGGCCCCGCCGGACTTTGCCCCCTCCGTCGAGATCGCCGCCCAGGCGGGTTATCCCGTGGTCACCCTGCCTGCCGGTATCAACGAGGACTCGCACATGCCCTATGGATTGGCCTTGTTCGGTACTGCCTTCTCCGAGGCGACCCTCATCAAGTACGCCAGTGCCATCGAGGATCTGCAGCTGTCCTCGCAGACTCCCTGGAAGCGTAGCCTGCCCACCTGGAGCGGGTATCTGGAGCGCAACATCCCCGTGAACTAAGGGGTCTGCCGGAGGTGGGAAGGGGCGGAGTGGATGTGTACATATGCGGTGTTCTCGATAGACTTATAATAGTAATAGATCTTCGTCGCTGTGACTGTGTCTGTGTCTGCTGTACTGTCTTGGTGGGTTGATGAAGCGGAAGGTGGGGAGAGGATGGGAGGGGATCTGTGCGGTAGATGACCAGGTACGTTAACACACCGTCTTGTTGCGTCGGAGGCAGTGCCAAACTTACTGGCTTGGATTAGAATCCTTGCTCGAATCTCCAATTTTCTCTCTGATGTGTTATCGTGGTGATGTGGTACAATGGGAAGGCAGCCGGGGTTCTGTGACAGTCGATGGCCAGGGGAACCAGCATACCGCCTTGTTGTGAGGTAGGAAAGTCATATACTTACTGGTTGGATGCAGACTTATTGCTCGAACTTCCACCATGTAGACAGTCCTACCCATCTCCATGGCTACCAGAGACGGACTAAAAGAGGGAAGTGAACCGATCGCTGAGAGGATTGAGCTTCAAGAACTTTCCGTCTGTCGCCAGAGGCAAGGCAGGGCTGCACAAGCGAGGCGGGAACGCCGGCCCTAAGGCAACAAGGCTAACCGACCAAGGCAGGATGTCGACTGGCCGTGGTCTCAATCATCGAAGGTTTCATCCGATGTGCGAGAGCTTGCCACTGGCGAGAGTGGCAGAAGGTAATTGTGGTGGGTGAGGAGCTACGCCCCCCACAGCTGCCACCTTATGTCTCATGTTGCTGAGGCATGCGGGCATTGAGACCATGTTTTCACCGTGGCCACACCCAGGGGGTATCAGACCAGTCTGGAAGGAGGCAACGGTGCAGGATGCCGCTAACCTGGGAGGTGGTTTCCCCCGAGCTGTGGATGGGCGTCTTGCCACTCGCGTAGGGCAACAGCACCTGCATGGCAAGGCAGGAGGTGAGTCGCCCACGCGGAGCAGCGACGGCCGAACGCACGATGGCAGGAATGGGAGTGGACGGACTACCAGTGATGATTGCATGGTCTGTTTCTCGGCAGACGCCGTGATGCAGATGAAACCCTGATCCAGATCGGTCGTCGCCACGCCCGGAACTCAGCTCCATCGTGATGCATGAACGTCTCACCTGGAGGCAACCGCCGAAGACCAGTCAGATTGGACAGAGGACATGCACGTGGGAAAGGGGGACTCCACCTCACGTGCTCAGGTCGAGAGTCTCAGGGCTCAGCTGCACTATGCGCTGCCTGAAAGGGGAGTCTAGCCGAGATGAGTTCCTACTGGGAATTGTGGAGGAGGAGGAGGAGGAGGTGGTGGTGGTGGTGATGAGGTACCGTGGTGAGCAAGCACGGGCACAGCAGAAGGGATCCTGGTTGTGATACGAAGCGATAAGCCGTATACTACCTGAGGACTCGAACATGGAGACAACCGCATTGATGATTGGCTTCTCCCCGGATTTGAATCGACCCCACGTGGACCATGCGCGGGCTGTGATTGGCCCTGATGCTCCGCTGGGCGCCAAGAGCTGCCAAGCCAGCCTCCGAACACCGCCAAGCCCTGTGCCAAGAGGTTCTGGGGGGTTGAACCGTGGATGAAGCAACCCTCGACCGCAGCTTAATCTCCTGCTCGAATCAGCGTTGGCCGGCCAGGAACGTGCGGAAGGGAAGTTGCTGGTTCAACTGGTTCCAACTGGTCAAACACACGCCACTGTCAGATGCCACTGTCCCATACTGTACGTAGTCTACACAATTCATCAACCACCACCACCACCACCACCAACATTCATCCTGGTAAGCCCATCTTCAGCCTGGCCTCTCAGTCAGCCAGTCAGCCATTTCAGCCATGGCTACATAAGACTCACCTTTCCTTCCCTTCTGCCTCCTACTTCTTTCCTTCCTCTCTTCACGCCTCCTCCTCTCCTGCAGCAGCCGCCATCCCCTCACGCGACATCATCCCAGCTTCTCCAGCCACGATGACGCTGCATCAATATGACTACATCTTTGCCATCGGCACTCTCTTTGCCATGCTGGATGCCTACAACAACGGTGCCAGTAAGTTGCCGGAAATCCTCTCCGTGCTATGGTCTCCATTTCTGACCCCGCTCGTTCTTACCCTGCAGACGATGTTGCGAACTCCTGGGCCACGAGTGTCTCCTCCCGCTCCGTCTCCTACCGTCAAGCCATGATCTTCGGAACCGTCTTTGAGATGCTGGGCGCCATCTGTGTCGGAGCCCGTACCGCCGATACCATCAAGAACGGAATCATCCCCAACTCCGCCTTCCAGGGAAACGCGGGGGTGCAGATGCTGGCTTTCACCTGCGCCCTGGCCGCTGCCTCCTCTTGGGTGATGTGGTGCACGCGACACTCCGCCCACGTCTCCTCCACCTACTCGCTCATCTCCGCGGTCGCTGGTGTCGGTGTCGCCACGGTCGGCGCCTCCCAGGTACAATGGGGGTGGAACGACGGCAAGGGAATGGGCGCCATCCTGGCGGGTCTGGGCATGGCTCCCATCATCTCCGGTTGCTTTGGCTCCATCATCTTCATGCTCATCAAGGTGGTCGTGCACATGCGCAAGAACCCCGTCCCCTGGTCGGTCTACACCTCTCCCCTTTGGTTCCTGATTGCCGCCACCGTCTGCACCCTCTCCATCGTCTACAAGGGTTCTCCCAGTCTGGGTCTGAGCAAGAAGCCTGGATGGTACATCGCGGCCGTGACCATGGGCACCGGTGCCGGGGTCGCAGTGCTGTCGGCTATCTTCTTCCTCCCCTTCGTCCACGCCCGTGTCATCAAGAAGGACCCCAGCGTCAAGTGGTGGATGTTCGTCTACGGACCTCTGCTGCTGCAGCGACCCGCCAACCCCAACGCTGAGTCCGCCAAGGTCCCCAACTACGCCGTCATCCAAGAGGATGAGTTCCCCTCCCCGCCCGGCTCGCCCGAGACCCTCAAGGGCGCCGACGCCGACGTGGACGCCGTCCACAAGGCCTCCACCAGCGGCGAGAAGGAGCTCGTCGCCTCGGAAGCCCAGCAACTCACCTACAAGGAGCTCATGGCCCAGTCCGATAGCCGTCTCCGCGCCCGCCTGCTGCAGAAACGCGGCCCACTGGGCTGGGCGATGCGCACCCTCCGCGACAACCCGATGGGTCCCGGTCAGCTCTACGAGTTCCGCAACATGGCCATTCTCGCCAAGCGCATCCCCGCCATGATCGTCTGCGGACTGCTGTACGGCATGCACTACGACATCCACGCCGCCCAGAGTGGGATCAACGGCACTCCCGAGGGCGACCGCATGCAACGAGTCTACGCGCACGCGACCAAGTACCCCAACGAGGTCGAGCACACCTACTCCTTCGTCCAGGTCCTGACGGCCTGCACGGCCAGTTTCGCCCACGGTGCCAACGACATCGGTAACTCCGTTGGACCCTGGGCCGTCATCTACTCTGCCTGGAGCACTGGTAGTGCCGCCAAAGCCAAGGCTCCAGTTCCGGTGTGGCAGCTGGCGGTGCTGTCGGCGTGTATCTCCATTGGCTTGATCACCTACGGGTACAACATCATGAAGGGTAAGTTTCATCTCTTTACTAGTGCATCCCTTCTCCCACGAGCGTGTACTAATGGAATGGGTCACAGTCATGGGCAACAAAATCACCTACCACTCCCCCAGCCGCGGCTGCTCGATGGAACTCGGCGCCGCTCTGACCGTTCTCGTCTTCTCACAGTACTCCCTGCCCGTCTCGACCTCGATGTGCATCACAGGTGCCACCGTCGGCGTCGGACTGTGTAACGGCACATGGCGCGCGGTGAACTGGCAGCGGGTGGGACTGTTGTTGACCGCGTGGATCTTGACCTTGCCCATTGCGGGGACGCTGGGTGGGTGTCTGATGGGGTTGTTCATCAATGCGCCGCATTTTGCTTCATAGTTGGCACGGTCGGGCTGATGGGGAAGTGCAATTAGACCTTTTCTTTTGTGTGATGCCCGGTGGTCAGATGGCTGCCATGTTTATTGGGGGGTAATGTACATTTTAGTAATGCAAAAATGGGTTTCTTCGGGTGTCAATCTGTGTAGGATATGGTAGGCAGGGTACCTGTCTCTGTAGACTTCACTGAAATTGTAGGAATCTCACGTTTCAGGCGAAAAGACTTCACTGATGTCTGCCAGCATGAACTGGTGCGGGGAAGGTATGTTTCCCGTCACGTGCTCCGTTACCAACGACGATTTACTCAGTGCTGACAACCTTCCATGTTTTCTTCAACTGCATTGCTGCGCGAAAACTACAGTATCCTGATGGGAAAGCTTGATTGCTTCATTGTATTCATTTCATCTTCAACCTTCCTCCCTCGAGTTGCCAGGCTAGCTGATATGTTGGTCGTTATGTTGACAAATCGCAGCGGCAAAGAAATCAGCCAAAGTGTTGTGAACAGAGCGCAATTGGAAAATAGCAAGGAGTACCTTGGCATTGGAAACGACTGTGATATTAGAAACGCAACAACCACGGTAGGTAGGAAAATGAGTTGGGCAGGGTTGCAAGAGCAGCACCCCCTAGCCCCCTCTCAACCGATGCTCCTGGTGAGGACGTAGAATCCAAGCCTCCGTCACGATATGACAATTCAGTCGTGTTGAATAGCTAGGCTCTGAGTAGAGGGGTGTTCGAGAGAGTAGTAGTGGTTAAGGAGAGATAGAAATAACAGGTGAATGTTTCGTAGTCAGACGAGCAGCCTGAGGCCACGGTCCTCTCACTCTCACCTCCACCTCTTCTTCTGTTGAGGACAAAGTGAGGTTCACTTCATATACTTCGTCGCACAAATGGAGGAAGTCAATCTCTCTCGGCTACCGACTGCTCCCCACTGCACCTGATCTCGCTTACAGCTTGGCCAAGCTTAGCTCTTGTTTAGCTCACTTGCTCGACCAGTCATGGGTTGCTGGGCGGCATTGGCCTTCTTGTTAGTGTCCCCGCCCCACACCACCGATTGGAGATGCCGGCCTCAAACCCCACCGATGAGCGGGTCGGGTGAGCATCGACCAGCCGCTGCCAGCGCTTGCATCCACCCTCATAATTTCCAGCATCTCCAATCCACCGACCGTGGCCTGCCTGTATTCTGCACAGAACGGATCGCAGGATCAGAGACCTCAGAATGCAGCCGTCGGACTTGCTGTCCTGGTTGCATGCCAACCTGCTAGCCTCATTTTCCACTTCGGCGAGCATCGTCCTGACCAGTTTTGTCCTCCTGGCTGTCAAACGGCGGTATTTTACTTCACTGAGGGACATCCCAGGGCCATGGCTAGCTTCCGTGTCCAGCCTTTGGCAGGTCTTTCAGCTTATCAAGGGCCACACCGAGCTGGAAATGATTCGATTACATCGCAAACATGGTAGATTTCACCTCCCGTATCTGCCACGCAGAGATGAATCTGACCTGCGCACAGGTCACTTCGTCCGCATTTCCGAGAACGAAGTTAGCGTCTGTCACCCAGATGCCATACGGTTACTGCTCCAAGCAAATCTTGCCAAGGTACGACGAGCCTACATCGTATGAGGCCCCTGATTGTGCGCCTTGCATCCCATAACCCGGCCTAAAACACTTAGGGCTCCTGGTATTCAATCTTCAGTCTCCCCGACTATCACTACGTGAACCAGATGTCCGAGTTGAACCCCCAGCGCCACATCCACAAGTCGCGGAACATAGCAGCAGGCTACGCGTTGTCCAACATCATCAAATCCGAGCCACAGGTGGACGCTCTCCTCGTTCGGCTGGAAGAGCAGTTGGACCGTTTGATCGCCTCCGGGCAGCCTGTCGAGTTCGACCGATGGTTCAACTACTTTGCCTTCGACGTGGTCGGCGAGGTGACCTTCTCCAGTCCGTTCGACTTCCTGGCGACGGGCACCGACATCCGCCACGCCATCGCCAACAGCCGCGCGCTGGCCCTCTACATCGCCGTCATGGGCCATTACGTCTGGCTGCACAACCTCACGCTAGGCAACCCGCTGCTTAGCCGTCTGGGCCTGCAGCCCACCTCCCACATTTTCGACACCTGTCTGGCGGCCATCGCCCACCGACAACGCCAGAGCCAGGCGAAGACTCCTGCTACTACGCCAACCTCCACGGCGGCTCCACGCCTCGACATGATGGAGCGGTGGCTGACCACTCGCCAGCAGCACCCGGAACGCATGGCCGAGTCGGAGATTATGGGCGCCTGCGTAGCTAATATCGGCGCCGGCGCCGATACCACCAGTGCCACCCTGCAGGCGTTTGTCTACCACTTGATCCGTCATCCGCAGTACTTGGCCAAATTGCGCCAGGAGCTCGACGAGGCGCAGGCGCGCGGCGAGCTGAGTCCCATCGTCTCGTACGCGGAGGCTACCAAGCTGCCTTATCTCCAGGCTTGCGTAAGTTTGAGTCCTGTAAGTGGGTGTAAATATGTAGGATTCTGACCATCGCGTTCCAGATTCGGGAAACATATCGCTACCATCCAGCCACCGGGACTGGACTTCCGCGTGTTGTGCCTGCGGGTGGAATCACCATTGCGGACAGGCATTTCAGTGAGGGGGTGTGTGCAGTCCACTATACCCTTTGCAAACCGGAGAGGCTAATGGCAGAGACTGTACAGACCGTCTTAAGCATCAACCCGTGGGTGTACCACCGCAACGCCGAATTCTTCGGCCCGGACTGTGATGATTTCAACCCCGAACGGTGGCTCGATGTGAATCGGGTGAAACAGATGGATCCGTTTTTGATCCACGTGAGTGTTTCTCTGCTCCCCGGACTATCTGTTTGAAAAGTTGTGAAGAACGTGCTTGTATTGCTGACATGCATCGTCCGGGCAGTGGAGCGCAGGGTACAACCAATGCCCCGGTCGCAACCTCGCGCACTTCGAGATTTCCAAGGTCGCGGCCTGTCTCATCCGGGATTTTGAGATTGAGCGGGTCAATCCGGATGCGCCGTGGCGGTTCGAGACCCATTTTACGGCGGTGCCGTATGGCTGGCCATGTTGGTTGCGGCGGAGGGCTGTTGGGGGGTGACGGGGTTCAGTATGGCTAGCCCATCATCATATGCTCCGACAGAAGATGTCACCACTATGGACGAGCTACCATTACCATTACATAGGGGAAAAAGGGAGCGGGGCATACGATGGCTTCTGATTCAATATCGGTGGTGGCCGGGCTTAACTGGGTCGTACTGAAGGATCGAGGTCGTGATTTAAATGCATTCATTGCCTAAGTATCAACGTCAAGCTCCTAACTAGCAGTGCGCGTTACATCGAATGGTTCCATGCACAGTCTGACCATAAATGAAAGTAAACAAAAGATCAACACTTGAAGAGAGAGGAGGGGGGGGGGGGGGGAGATTGTCTGTGACGGGCCGGGCTATCATAGTACTCAATCACTTGCCCTACATTACCAACCCCCACATCCAATACGTCTTCGCGCAAATGCTCAGGCAGCGTGCGATGAAACACAACGGGTTCCGGATCAGCAACAGCGCCATATGGAGTACAAAGAGGGCACTCAAACACAGGCCTATAGCCATCACATTCCGTGAAATGTACACCCCCTCCCGGGGGCCTGCGCGGAGGAACCCGGCACCACGTGGTGCCGGGTATCGCTTAGAAAGCCTAAGAATGAGCTGTTGCAGCCAAACGTTTGATACCGTTCTTCCACCCGATTTCACAATCTCAAGATAGGGCTGCAATACGATGAGCCCGGTTGGGGAGACGGGGAAGCCCCCTGGCGCTTGGTCGTAAACCTCGAGTGGGCTGAACCTCATGTCGAGGTCCAGTGGTCGGAGCTGGATGGAGCAGAAAAGACACATTAGTACTAGCTGAGCAACACAGAGCAATAGATATGAATATAGACCAGTCTCATACATCTAGGACTTGCTCAGCCGTGTCCGGAGAGGACCAGCCGGGGCTTTGTTCTTAGATGTTTTCCTGGAAGCGCCCGGCGGCGAAGGGTGCTCAAGTGGGAAATACTGGGTGGAGGGAAAGAAACTCAAAATAAAGGGCAGCTTTCCCCTGCTGTGGGAATACCCAGGTATCGCCGCTCCCCTTCTTCAGGGGCGAGCCCGCTTGTCTCAAGCGATTCAGGACTCGCTGACGTCCGCTCTCGCTTTTTAGCCCAATGCTAATACACTAGAACACGCTCTTTTTAGTAGAGTCACAAGGCGGAGCATTGATCTCGTCTGGCACGTATACTCGATCTCCGGCCCTATTTGGATAGAAGGCAAGAATACCACCCAGCACGGTGACTTCTATCGCTTCGCACCGGCCGTCCATCCGTAGCCAATCAAGTACCTGAACAACTGCGGCTTCTACGACGTCTGTGTGAACAGGATGAGGCGAGGGCAGGCGATGGGTAGCCGCCTGGAGAAGATGGTCGCGCGCCACGGTGGTCAGTCGCACTGCGAGGGACTTCATCGAAGTTGCGGCTTTCATGACTATCGGTCGATGGAGATGTCGAGTCACCATATCCACTGCCTTGGGAACAAATGCCAGCATATTGACGGCTTGTGGAAATTGTAAATTGAGGAACAGTGGATATGAGTGTCAGTCACGGTCAGGGTGCCGAGGTGTAGCAGAAGGCCAACGCCAGGGAAACATTGAGATGGAGGGACTTTTTGAGGGGATTTTATCATCAGACCATCAACAGCCATCATGCCAGGCTGATCAGCTGTGACTACGGCTGCTGAAACCTGGCCATTGACAAGCTTGCGAGCGTTTTTGGCCGACCTATCCTTGTCATTGCTCACCGGTCTGTGTATTTTGAAAGGTGACTCCCTTCAGAAATCATCTAACTGCACGTTGTTGTTGATATCAGAGACTAATATTATTATTGCTCAATCTCCCCTAGGTGGTAGACATACTTGAAAGGAACTTCGCGTAACGTTCGCATCGACGTGGGGTCTGGGGTCTACTTACTACATACTCTCACAGTCAGGATCATAGACCTCAACCCATTCGCTCTTCTCGTGCTCGGGATCGTGAATCGAGACCCCCCACGCTTTGAGCTTCCAATAAACTGTCCAGGGAACTCGATCATCATCCCACTTGGACTTCATTGGCTCACCAAGTGTTCCCTGCCGTTTGAGGTCCAGGTAGAGACGACCAAACTCGTGCCTGATCCTGGCTCGTTTCGCCCGAGATTTGTCGTCAGCATCGCTGGATCGAGGCATAGTCACCCAACCCAAGAAAGGGTCTGCCAGATCGCCGATAGTATAATCGTAATGCACCAATCGAGGCCCGATGGGTAGTTTGAGCACAAAGGTCATGAGAACCTCGTACTGGTAGTGCCACCAGTCAGATATGGCGTACCCAAAGTCACGAAGCCAAAGGTGGATGGCATTCTGCAGGCATTTCCCAGGCCGCAGCATCTTGACCGGGTACCGGGTCGGATCCTGGCCCCCTCGACAATTGAGGACCAAACGCGCTCCACCGGCGAGCTTAGAACCTTGATGCTCCGAGCTCGATGTGGTCATGTAGTTGTCATCCCATATCTCATTGCCCTGCGGATCCCTCAGAAACCCGATGGGGGGTCCTGGGATGGTGGGCGAGTGAACCTGGGACTGGCGGTAGAGGAAAATCCGTCCAGTCTGACTGGTGTCGTCACCATGCCCTTCCGGGTACCGGTAGTCGGTATGGAAATGATACGCGGGTATGGGGAAGTGCCTACTCGACTCGATTGGACCTTCTGTGACTGCACGGCAATAGCGTCGCTCGGGGTTCTTGCACGGGGCGAACCGGTCCGCAGCAGCAAGAAGCTCTGCTACCCGATCGATACCAGAATCCTCAACACTCCATGCCGTGAAATGGCATTGGATGGGAGCCCCCATGATGGACAATGGTTGCTCCCCGGTCAGGTAGGCGGGGATATTGTTCGAATCACACACCCATTGCACCCAGGACTCGGCACCGCCATTGCCTTCGGAGAGGGTAACTCTGGCGGGGGTGGTGGGGGACTGGACTGATTGTAGTAGTACATCGTGTCGTGGTCTCGGTCGTATGGGAATCAGAATGTGAGTTGTGCTGTGTGGTTACTGACTCTGATGATGTTGATGTCTCAGATCGAGGTGGCACAAACCCCCCTTATATAGACCAAACCCGTCTCAGAGACTAAGAAGGCCAAAGCATTGTCTCATGATGATGAAAGAGATTCGGATGGGCCATGCATTGTTATGAATTGCTTGCGTCCTAGAAATTGCCTATTCAGCACGGAATTTCCTTTCGAGGCAATGAGAACAAAGCACTCAGGGACCCCTTTGGAATAAAAAGAGAGTGTGCCAAATTTGGCAAGCATCTGTCTCTGAGTGCGCACCTGTGGTGTTCTACAAGGGCACGTCGAGGAACAAGGCATGGCAGACCATGCCTGCGACATCGTTGCGGAGGATGAGTTGCGACGGGGTGCGAGAAGAAGCTCGTGATTCGACTCGAGGGTGTAAGTGTAACGTCGGCCATAGTTCCCGGTTTATCGGGCTTTTTTTTTTCTTATCGTCTTTTGTTCACGAGGCCAGGACCGATCGACTGGGAATTACACGATCTTGCCAGTGCTTTAACGCCGTCTCCCCGCAACAGCCGACGGCAAATCCCACTGCCCAGCTGGGATCGAAATCCGATCTCCGGCCTCCCCGGCCTCATAGGCTCCTTGACAACAAGGCTTCCTTGTAAGCTCACCCACTAGGCCCGCGACAACAAAATCCGTTATCTGCACGGCTGCATGGAAGTGAAACCAAGCGAGGAGCTGTGATCCTTCTTTGCCACACGTCACCATAGCGCCGGGGATATTGCCACGCGGATTCTGGTTCTGACTATAGTTCATGCGCCCCGAAATCCTTCCGATACCGTTCATGACATCAAGTGCAAGGAGAGATAGAGATCCGTCCTGTGCCTATCCGCTCATGCTGACCGTACGAAGCCAGCTATGCTCCCTGGCCCAGACGACACCACACTAGACCGTCTTCTGTGATGACCCTGGCCACCCTGCCCAGTCCGGATCTCATCTCCAAAGCTACATCATTTAGTGAGGTTGCAGTGGTGGTTTCAGGATCCCTGTGCTTATCATGTTTCACCCCTAATAGGCAGAGAACTTGTTGTTGTCTGAAACCTGAGTACTGGTAAGAACTGATTAGTGCGGGGTCAAAGCTTTCTCTGCTGCGCTAACTTGATTGTGAGCTCTGTGAAATACGACAGTCTTGGTTACACAGTCAGCCAAACGATGGATGTCCCTCTATCTTTGTAAAGTGAGGTATCTCCGCGGTTGCGGTCATGAGGGGCGGAAGTATCTTTCTGTACTGACAAGTCACCATTTGCAGTTGTTCTGATGAGGAATCGCTAGGCAGCAGTGCATGAGCACGAGCTGGAGGTCTCGGAACAGACGGCTATAGGCTTATGCTAAACAGCTATTGAGTCAAGTAGAATTGATGATTTTCCCGGGGAAGTAATCCCGGCACTTCTTCTGCGTCAGTTTTTGTTCCCGGTGTTTGGCGGAATGCCTGGTCACGTTCTCGAGGATAGACAGTCCAAGCGTTGGCGTGCACCGACTGTCTATGCGAGATTTTCGGGGTACGTCAACTCTGGCTCTCGCGCGAAGACCAGTGGACTACAGGGGCATGGGTGGACTTGGTGCAGCGTTGGTGCAGCGTTGGTGACGGTTCACTTCGGTGGAAAATAATGGTATTTCAGAACAGTACATAGGAGAATTAGTGCGGCGCTCGTAGGCCGTAAATAATTAGATTATGGTTTGTTGCTATTTTAGATCCAATCCATACATCACCAATCTGGTGCCCGATGGCTGGGCCACTGCAATGCGCCACTTCGAAGACAGAAGTGCCAGTCCAGTGTCCGGTGGCTGAACTCGTGGAGGGCATTCTCCGAGTGACAACAATGCCAGTCTCCTCGCCAACGGACACCATGGTGAGACAACGCGATGCTCTACGTAGATCAAGATTCATGGGTTTGCACCGCGTTGCGCCTCGCGCCTCGATGCAGGGCGCACCCCACTCCATGTGGTCATCCCTGTCCGCCTGAAGAACTAGCCCTTCTGGTGCCGTAACGGAGTCTGGCCTGTTCACCTTGACAAGACATGGTTTGTAGCCGGGTACAAAAATGATCGACCTCTCCTGCTCCGCTCTGGAATTGGGATAGGTACGCACTCTGACGGGACTTCGATCTGGTTTGAGACGGACAGTTGGCATAGCACCTACTCCAAGATTGGGCCGTGAAGCAACAAGCGCACGGTGCGCGTCTAAAAAAGACCATAGGGAGGCCAGTTCAGGGGGTTGATGCTTGGAGAATATTTGGGTAGATGGACCTTTGGTCGGGGAGATTTTCCAAGAAGGCGCTGGTGAATGCCTGGGCCACTCGGATGATATTTGGACCACCGTGGGAGAGCGTGACATGAACAATGTACCGCAGATCAGGTTCCGAGCCAGTATGCATACTTGGCAAGATTGTCACAGATCCGTCAATCTCAGTAACAGTGGTGTAGCGGTCAGGTCAGAGGGAAGTCGCTTTCTTAGACAACAGGTTGATGAGTTTCGGCTGAGATGGGCGAATCCGATGTAAGATCACAGTCCCGCTGTTCCCTATACTAGTCCAACATCAGCTGTCGACCCATGTCGCTCATATCATCGCACTTCATCACATCGATCTCATTTCACCCAGGATATAGCTCATGTGCAAAATATGGGTCACCCGGGACGAGAGGAATAGATGGTGTCTGGGGCAGGCAAGGCTTGGGTTGAAAGCCACCCATTGAACACTTCTTGCGGTGGGCGAGCCCGCGTCGCCGAGGCTCCAAAGTGGTGAGGGCATCCGGCTATGGTGCAGAGTAGATCTCGTATGACAGGCCGGGCTTGAAATCGCTTTCCTGAAAGAGCTAACCGCACAGAGCACCTAGCCCCTCAAGAGCTAGAGGAATGGTTGTGTGAGCTTGGAAGGCAAATTCGGGGTCAGGCATCACTTCATCTTGCTCACCGGGGTTGAGATGTCTGACTGGGTAGTTGGTTGCCGGCGTGGTAATCGCTTCTCTGGGCACAGTCCTTCAAATTGCCACGAGGAACGAGCCAGCTTGTTTTCACTTGTTGGCGGTATCAATGAGGATATGAATGTGAAGAATGGGGTGGTTTGATGGAGAAGTGTGGCAGAAGAGAAATCTGGGGGTGTGGGGGACTTCACATTTACGAGGCTATATGCCCGGGTGGTTCTGTTCTCCTCGGTCCCAGACTCATTTCATCAATTCACTAACATGGTTACATCCAAAGCACAGAGCCAACAAAACACCCTCACCTCCATCCTCTCTCCTACAGCAAGGCAGCCACCGCCGCAGCCGCGACCACAGGAGCAGCAGTGATCATCGCGCCCACTGCCCCATTGCCGTTCGCCGCATCCGCCGTCTTGGTGGCGGCAGGCTCCGTCAGGGACTTGAGTCCGCCCGTGACCACCAGCTCTGCGAAGGTCTTGGTCGGACCGTAGGTGGAATGGGTGGAGGTGGAAGACGCGTACGATCCGCCATCGAAAGTGCCGGTGATGGCCACGCTCATCGTGCAGCTGGCCGACTCGCTCCAGGACTTGAGGGAACATTCGTACGTGCGGGTCACGGTGTAGTCATAGCTCGTGCTCTTGCCGGAGGTCGACGCGATGTATTCGCCCGACACGCTGACCGTCGAGGGACCCTGGATGATGGTCCACGAGTGCTTGATGTCACAGTCGGTCTTGGGGGCGTCCTTGAGACAGCCCAGGTGGTAGGTGGTGGCCTTGGCGTTGACCCCCGCGACACTGGCCGCCGTACTGGTCCATCCGCCGTACTTGGGGACGGTGACATCCCAGTCCGGGTTGTAAATGCCCACCGTAGTGGTCTTGTCATCGGCGCTGGCCGTCAGCACCGACAGGGCTGCGGCGAGGAGGAAAGTGGCGCGCATGTTATCAAGGTGGAGCTTTGGAGGGGGAATAATCAGGTCTGCCAATGATGAGGGGTGGAGGATCAGCAGAATATCACCGGGGAACAAACCTTTCAGAAACGCTCCAGGAGCGCCACCCGTCTTATGTATGGAGAAAGGAGGGGGCAGAGCTCACCCTCACGCCGGGCTTTCCTTGACTAGATTGGCAATGAGTCAAATGAGGCAGACTAGGTACCCAGCCGGAGGAGCCTCCTGCTGGTGCCTTCGCCGTCTGCGAATCAGCGGTTGCCAACTTGATAAGCGTAGGCGCCGTGGGCCCCGGGCGAAGCAACATTTCCGATAGATTCCTTTTAGCGAGGGGTTAGCGGGGGTTAGCGAAGGGGCTACTGGCTGCATGGAGTCAAGCCCCATCTGACATGCATTCACTAATGTACCATTGGTCCAAAGTCCACAGCAATCTCGGAACTTGGAAGGACAGGACTGACAGGCATTCCTCTTCCTCGGCCCGCTGCGAGAGACACAGGAGCACATGGGGTAACTAACGTCTGAGAGCGTTACATTCAATAATGTATTGGCTGTTCGATGACACCACCTCCGACATTTCGGGAATCAAACTGAATTGCTGGCCTGTGCCTGTCTGACTGACACATATAGTCCACCATCTCTAATGTTGGTCGAATTTCGTGTTTCAGACTCGAGACAGATTTCTCGTAAGGGTTGTGGAGGATGATGCGGGAGGCAAATACTCATGTGCCTACTGGTAGTGTAATTCGGTCGGAGATGACAGCATATCAGTTTTCTAACTTTACATGAGTGCGTCCGTTCCCCACATTACCATCAAGTCAAGTTCTATGCCACAACAACGCCACAACAATTCCATTGATTCCATTGAGTTGTCTTAGATCCACGAGCTTGTTGAGTGCGATTTGCACTCGGCAGTGGACCAGTCGGCTATAGCCGAAAGGAAATTACCCAAACGGCAACCAAGTCCCCAATCGAGACTAGCCGCAGGGCCTTGCAGACCGAGCTAGACCAAACTAGGGTCCTCAGTCCAGAGACTAAACCCTTCATGGAACAGGGTTTGCCAAGCAGGGGTAAGTTTGGACTTTCCAGGCCGCCGGCGCCTGGACCCATGATGGGCACCCCCCCCCCCCCCCCTTGTTTTCGTTCCAGCTTTTGCCACTGTTTCTTTTTAAAACCCATGTAAAATCTCCGATCACAGCATGGATATCGCCATTGTTGCTGCCTTTCTTCTCCCTCCCACAAGATGAACGCCAAGTTGCTTCTGGGGCTGGCTGCCGCCGCCCGCCTGGTCTCCGCGCAAACCACCGTCACCTCCATGTTCATCTATGATGCCGATCCTCAACCCTTGGTGGCATCTGTCATGGGCGTTGTATGTGCCTTAGGTGCTTGTTCTAGTAGACTTGCAGCATCAGCTAAATTACGTGACAGGCCGCAACAGCAACCACCTACTACATCAACTGTCCTCCGGGAACCGACAGCTCCGACTGCGGCATGGGGCCCGGATTGACCGTGATCGCGGGCCCGCAAACCACCTCCTATCTAATGGAGGAGCCTGACGAGGACTTCTACTGGTCGGTTGCGTGTTCTCTGCAAGGAACTACGACGGGTTCCTGCGTTGAAATGGCTTCAGGGACGGGCGCCAATTTCCCGGGAACCAGCACCATCCCCCTGGACACCGACGACATTGCCAGTGGCTTCATGCCGGTGACTATCACCGCGGGGGCGGGCAGCATCACTGCTTCCGGCACTGCGTCGGCCACAGCTTCGATCACGGCTACCAGTACCGGTACCGGAGCTTCGACCACCGCCACGACCGCATCGGCCAGCGACAAGTCTGCGAGTGCTGATGCTAACAGCACCACTGCGACTTCCGCAGCGTCCGCTGCCTCGACGACTACCAGCACTGGAGCCGGTGCAGTCATTTCGAACGATGCCACGCTGATCTTTGGCGGTGCTGCTGTAGCGGCTCTGGTGGCGGCTGTTTTGTAAACACGGCTGTATTATATCATTACTGTGTATCACTATATATATCAACATTTATATACCAATCCGTTGGTTCCGCATCATGCGAACTCTATCCCTTCTTTCTCTTCGGGCTGGGCTCTTCATCTTTAACCTCATCGGAAGGAGCCCCGTATTCTCCATCGACCACCCCATCACCACCAGACCGCTTGCGAGTGTGATCCGTTAAACTCTTCGCCTCTTGACCCGTCGTCTCATCCACCACCTTCCCTCCTTCATCATGGAAGTCAAACAGCTCTTTCCACGACCCATTCATAACCTTGGGATCATTCCCGTAGAGATTCATCTCGTATGCATGCTTGATCTGAGCAATGCAGAAGTCCCTCCGCTCGTTGAAGTCGAACATCGGCTTCGGATAGGTCTGCAGCCCGCTTGCCTCGTCTCGATCGCTCGACCCGTCGCCGGTGATCCGGCATTTCCATTTCTTCTGGTCGGCGATGGGCGCCCTCCACGGCTCGTAGATGTACTTCTTGTCGAAGTGCGCCAGCTCGGGACAGTAGCGCCGCACAAACCGCCCTTCCGGGTCCCATTTCTTGCCGAAGGCGATTGGGGAGTAGCAGCGGTAGTACTGGGAGAAGAATGCGGTGCAGGAGAGCCACATCCAGTTCCCGACGTTCGAGGCGGTTTCGTCTGCGGTTCATTAGTGAATCTTGTATGTTTTGCTAGCATGCATAGAGAAAAAAAACTCACGATCAACCAGCCACTCCTCAAAGACCTCCGCGCCGCGTTCCCAGCTCACGTAGCAGCCCCCGCGGGTCAAGAAGCACGCGACACTGTGGCGTCCGAGATGGTGGATCCAGCCTTCCTGCTTCAGTTGCCGCATCAATGCATCAATCCACGGGAACCCGGTGCGCCCGTGCTTCCACCGTCGAAAATAGGTTTCTGCCTCGGGGTCGTCGATCGTGTATGTTCCATCCAGCAGATGCTCGCCTCGCGGGACTTGGGAGTAGTTAGACTGCAGATGCCAGGGGACGAAGCGGGCAATCTTGTTCCCCTGGGTCTGCGCATAGGCGTACCCCAGGGCTGCCTGGGCCGCAAAATACATGTCCCGGAACAGGAGTTGGCCCGGCAGGTTGGTCGGGATATGTGCGACGGGCTTTTTCTCACTCTTTCTCTTCTGAAGCACGGCGTCGACATCCCACCAGAACTTTCGGACGGACAAGGTTCCAAAATGGAGATGGGGCGATAGCAACGTGGTAGCCTGAGGCTCGAACGCGGCGGGGGAAGTCTTGGGCTTTTCGAATGTACTGACGTAGTCTTCATCCTCAATACAATCGCTGAGGATTTGGAGAGCCACTGACTCGCCCCCGCGATGCGGCGTCGTCGCCTGCGATGGGTCAATGCCCAATTCGTCAAGCGTGGGCACCGCGAAGTCCTCCTTCGGGCCCATGATCTTATGGTACTGTGTCTCCGACTTCTTGTTTCTGTGTTCCGAGTTCACATCCGGCTCTGTGTCAGGGATGTCCTGGTCCAATTCCCTCAGGTCCATGCGACTCTCCTCCCACGGATCCGGGACGCTGGTCGGGGCCGCCAGCGGCTGGTCTGGCACCCCGCCATTGAGCTTCTCGGCCGCCTTCTCCAATTGGGTGATGCTCATCGTTGGCTTGCGGTCGTTGACGCGCACGATCTCATCCGAATCGAACAGTGTCCTCCCACTCTTGATGACCACCGTCACGCCCGCCTTCTCCGCCAGCTGCACCACTTGGTTGTCTCGATCCCGAGCATAGGCGTCGGTGTCCTTCTCGAAGACCAGGTGGGTCACCCCCCAGGTCCTCCACAGCTTCGGGAGCACGGTCTGGGGCGCCTCGCGCACGAGCCAGAGTCTCTGCTTCGGGTTCAGCTTTGTGTAGGCGGCAGAGAGATCTTGTTGGCTTTCGAGCAGAAATCGCCAGCGGTTGGGCCCGACGCGGGCGCGGTAGACGTAGTGAGGATCCCAGGTCCAGACGGGGATGAAGATGGATGGTTTGAGTTCCAATGCGGCGGTGAGTGCTGGCGCGTCGTGGAGACGAAGGTCGGTTCGGTGCCAGAGGAGGACAACGGGCCCGCCGTTCGGTTTCTTCAGCTTCGGAGGCATGCTGCTGGATGATGGTGCGCGCGCAAGCGCGATTGAGGACGAGCGAGCGCTGCTTCTGTTGACTTCAAAAACAGCAGCGAGATTGGTGTGAAAGAGAGAGAGGGAGGGAGGGGGAGAGAGAGAGATGAATCTCCTGCTGGTCTAGACTCGGCCGATCGTCGCGTCGCATTCCGATCGATCTGGTGATGTCATGCGGTCCACCCTTGCGGTGTTTGCGGTGTTTGAGGTGGTTGTCGTGTTTGTGGTGTTTGTGCTCTCTAGATTATCCTGCCGTCGCACACCGCCAGTTCTCTTATCTTATCGGCCCAGCTTGCACCAGCGATGTCATGGTCAGTGGTCGCAAACACATCCAGGCTGGCACGAACAGAGTCTTCATCTCTTTGGAATCACGGACTACATGAGCTCTACAGTGTGACATCAGGAAAGCCCCTTCAGTCATTTTCCATTTCTCACTTATAGCCACGGATGTGGTGAATCAACCTTGTATGCGACGCGGGATATATCCTCGCAACCATCTGGCCTACTGAGGCCATGTTGTGTCATCCCCACCTGCGTCCGGATCCAAGATCCTGGCCTGTTTCACAGCTCTCTTGGCCGCCAAGGGCGAGTATCATCTGTCCGATCCCTACTCAAGGGTTATTCCGGCGGCCGGTCTAACAGCCTGGCAATGTAACGCAGGACTCAGTCATCTTCAGAAGAAGACTTGCCATTCTGCCCCCGTGAAAAGTTGAATATCCCTCCTCAAATGTCCCCTGTGCGCGAGTAGCCGCTTGCTGTCAACACGACTCGTTCCCTCGGAGTCGATATGGATTCATCTGCATATAATAGCCATAAGATCCGGACACATACGCAACGACTGAATGATTCCAGCCGCTAAAGTGCTCCCATCTTCGCTTCTCTTGCTGGGCCCGCTCATTTCTTCCCATGCTCGCATCTATTTCGATATCCGCGCCCTTTTCAATGCCTTCGTACTTGATCACAGGAGCCTCTCGGGGCCTGGGTGTGAGTACTGTATCAAACCTTGTGGATATGATACTGAAACGTCCATAACAGTGGGAATTTCTCCGCCAGATATCAAGCGATCCGAAGAATACGGTCATTGGACTCGTTCGCGATAAGCCTGCAACCGAGAAGCGGGTTATGGAAGAGCTGGAATCCCCCTTGAACATGCACATCTTGCAGGCAGACATAACCGACTACAACAGCTCACAGGTGGAGATTCGCATTTTCCAGCACGGACGCTTACTGTGTGGCTAATGATACCCAGGCAGCATCAGCTCAGACCGCGCTCATCACCGGTGGAGGTCTCGACTACCTCATCGCTAATGCAGGCTACGTGTCGAAATTCGATGCATATGATGGAATTGGTGTTCTGTAGGTAGATCCTAATGCCCCTGCATCACTGGAGACAACTGACATGTTTTTGTTCTCCTAGGGGCGAGCAACCCGAAGCGCTGGAAGAAGACCTCACACACTGCTTTCGAGTCAACGTCCTGGGCAACATCCACTTGTTCAACGTGTTCCTGCCCCTAATCCTCCAGGGCGAGGCCAAGAAGGTCATCGCTCTCTCTACCGGTCTGGCAAATCTGAGCCTTATCCCGAAGTATAATGTGGAGGCCGCGTCGCTGTATGCCATCAGCAAGGCGGGGTTGAACACCGCGGTGGCCAAGTTCAGTGCACAGTATGCCAAAACGGGGTTGTTGTTCATGAGCATCTGTCCCGGCATGGTGGAAACCGGCCATTTCACAGACGGTATGTAACCTGCGACCGGTGCATTGTCGTACCATCGAGGAGCTCTAATTCTACCTAGCGACTCCCGAGCAAATGCGAGGCCTGGCAGGCATGCTCACGGCTTTTCACGAGTACGCCCCGCACTTCCGCGGCCCCAGTACCCCCGAAGCAGCCGTGCGAGACGTGCTCTCAGTGATGCACAGAGCTAGTGTTCAGAACGGAAACGGCGGCACCTTCGTCTCGCATTATGGGACTCGGCAGTTTCTGTGACAAGACTCAGACAGAATTTCATACACTCTCCTCCACAGCACTATATCCACAGACCCAAAGGAAAACACATTCAGAAGAACTCCAGCTAGGCCGCCCGCAAATAACAAGTATCATCAATTACACATTGCATCGGACACAGCCCAACCCCTCTTCACAAAGCACGGCCTCTTCTTATAAACCCTTCTTCCCCTGATAATACTCAGGATACGAAACCTGATACCCAAGCATCCACCTGCCCCACGCCGCCACCACAATCGTGAACACCCGACTCACGATCACTCCCAGCCCATGCCACGGCAACGGCAACGCGAGCGGGATATCCGCCGCATGCAAGAACACCATCAGCTGGAACAGGCTCGGCGCCTGCTGGGCGATCTTGCAGTCGTCCAGGTACCCGAAGAAATTGCGAAAGAAGCGCTCCTCGACCTCGTAGTCCACGGGGGAAAGCCTGACGTCGAAGACGAGTTCCTCGGTGGCGGAGGCGTTCTGCAGGCGGTGGTACGTCTTGGGCGGAATCGTCGCGGTGAGTTGGTGGTTTCCAGCGTCCTCGCCGGTGGTGGTAGTGGTAGTCAGCTGTTTCCAGGGTTTCGGGTCCACGCCTTTGTACAGGTTCATGCTGCCCATTACGACGCGGAAGGTCTCGGTTTGGTGGATGTGATAGTGGAAGGGTGGCTCCATGATGGAGATGTCGCTGCCGCGTGGTGGCAGGGTCGTGCGGAAGACGTAGGCCTCGTGCGAGGCGTAGAAGGAGACGGAGGAGCGGCCATTTTCATACACGATGGGATTTTGGGAGGCCCGGTTGACTCGGGGAGGGGGTTGAGCGCGCAGGAAGGAAAGCATGGTGGATGGCTTGCTGGGGGGTGAGGCTGATGATCTACACTGGAACGGGAGGACGGCCTGTAAGCTTGCCTATGTATACCTGTAGGTGAATGCGATGGCGGCTTATTCTGGCCCGACTATGGTTTGTCATGAAAGAAAGGAGGCTCTTTCATGGTTTCATAAGATAGCTTACAAGAGGTCGTGGTGGATCATCGCCCTCGTATCCTGCATCATCGGGCCAATGATATGCTGGGAAGGCTCGTGATCAGTAATCATCAGACCCCTTGACCGCTGGTTCGCATTCAGCTTGACACGTGAAGCCCCAAGCCAGAACATGGTAGGGCTGGAGAAGGTTGGGCTGATGAACACTGGAGATGGAAGTAGGGTTGGGCATGAGGAGGTGGTGGCTGCCGGTCTTGCGGCTGCCTTAGATATTAGGCATCGACCGTCATTCTGTTATTCGAGGGAGTTCCATTGCTGCAAGTGAGCGATGACATGATGACTCCAATCCCCACACAACTACGCACATATTCAGTCAGAGGCAATGGCCAGTGTCTTGACAACGAACCAATTTCAGGGCATGACAGTCTACCGATCTACAACATTCACTCGGTTCAACCACCTCGGATTACTTCAAAGAGCCTCAAAGAGCAAAGTACAGTCATCATCCGAGTATATTGAAAGCTCAGCCCCAACCACGGTATACTCACTGCATGTACCACCGTCCTCCCTATAATTTAGCCCAAGCACGGAAATAGGTATGCATCAGCTCACCCATGCTGGGCACCGCAAGCAATTCGGGAAACTCCTCCAACGCTTCTCGAAGCTTCCGTGTGTCAAAGTATGCATTCGTGCCAGCATCGAGCCTCCAGAAGTTGATAAACTCGTGCAATGTATCGATCATCATGGACGAACCCTGCCTCAGTCGCGGATCCGCGCCTTGTCGGAATTCTTCGATCCATTCGGCCGTCGGCAAGCGGCGGAGTGAAGAGGAGCATTCGCAACTCAGCAGCTCGAAGGTCTCTTCGAACGTCATGGTTTGACTCTGGTCTGGCCGCACGATGTTGAACGCATGGCCAAGGCTGGCAGGGGCCAGAGACAACCGCAAAAGAGCCGAGCAACAAAAGTCAACCGGAGTGAATTGATTGCGGATGTTAGGCGCAGCCGGATAGCTGCCCAGGCGTATGCAACTGCTCATCAGATAATTCACCAAGTCGGACGCTTTGGACATGCCCGTCACACTATGAGCAGTGACATAGCCGGGTCGGTGGATGGTGACGGGGAAGCCGTTGGCAATCGCGTTCCAGGCCACCTGTTCGGCGACAACCTTGCTTTGCGCATAGCCAAACAGCTGTTTGAGAGCCTCCGGGTCAAAAGTTGGTCGCTCATCCTCGGGAACCATCGCGCCCGTGAGATGAATGACCGTACCCCACGCACTGATCGAGGAAGTATGATGGAATGGCTTCAGACGACCGGTGTTGGCAAAACGAAGTAGATGGTACAGGCCCATGACATTGACGTCTCGGTGGTATGAGTAAGGCAGAGTCCAATCAACCACCGCGCCCAAGTGAAACACCACACTCGCCAATTGGGCGAGCTCTGCATACTGCTCCGCTCCGAGACCTAGCATGGGATCAACGAGATCCCCGGGAACCGCCTTCAACTTGGACTCCAAATCGGGCTGGAGGCCATACTCATGAAACGCCTTCTTGATTCGCGAAAGACCCGTTTCGGCATCGGAAGCTCCTACAAGACACATCACTTGCTGTACATGCGGTAGGCCGACCAGTAAGGAGAGGAGGTAAGCCCCGAGAAACCCAGTCGCGCCAGTGAGTAAAACACGGCTCCTTCTCCAGGGGTATGCCATCCTGGCGCTGTCCCCGCTGCTGGGTGGAGGTCTCGACCCAGTTCCCAATCTCGTTGGCATAACTCGACATCGCCCGTCTTGCCACGATCGGCATCAAGCAGGGCACCTGCATCACCAGGCTTCAGCTCCTCGGAGGCATACTTGGCGCGGAGAATTCTCATCGTTGCTTTGCCGAGTCCCCCTACGGTCCCCGCGTTCGCGATCTCAAGCAGGGAGATTTCGACTTTGAAGTGACGGCGGAACCAACTTCGAATCTCAATCGCCATGAGCGAGTCTATGGCGATAGCAGCCAGTTCTGCCAGTTCCATGTCCTCTGGGTAAGACATGTGGGTCGCAATCATCTTCCGCAGCTCGTAAGTGAATTGGTTCTCGGTATCTGGATGGTTGAGGATGGATGGATCTTTGTCAATCTCGGCGAGGAAGTAACGGAGCTTGTCTCCCTGTTCACCTAAGTCTGGGCCCTCGGTATTTGAAAGATGGCTCCAGGCTGCAAACCGGATGTCTCTGGCCCACCAAGGTTTCGCAATGCCTTCCGTAGAAGGGGCACTCGTACTAATCCCAAGGGCAACCTGAGGGGGTCCGTTGAGAACCGCGAGTTCTAGGACCTGTAAAAGATCCCGCTCGCTCAATACCTGCAAGCGCAGAGTTCGATTGAGTTCCATAGTCCGCTGGGACTTCTCGGCGAGTGTATCCAATGTCTCCCATGAATCCAAGGTCGAGCACATGAGCAGGAAGATTCTGGGCTCGGCGGAAATGAACGAAGGCGTCCAGATAGGTGTTCGCAGCGGCGTAGTTGGCTTGACCTGTCATACCACACAGTCCACTGATCGAACTAAAAAGGATGAAGAAGTCAAGTGGCAGGGTCTTGGTGGCCTGATGGAGATTCCACGTTCCGTCCACTTTCGGCTGAAGCACCTGGGTCCATTCATCGAACGTCATCTCGGCGAATGATTGATTCTGTTTGTATGGCGTTTCGGGCTGGTGTCAGTTACCATAGACAAAGAAGCCTTGCGTGGAGGGGGCCAATGGTGAAACTCACCTGAAGAACCATGGACATTTGGATCACACCCGCTAGAGGTTTTGGTGAGCATCGCACGGCGCGATCAACGTCATCCAGGTTGACAACAGTCCCTTGAATGACCGTAACCTCGCATTCAGCCTGCGCCTTCAGGTCCTCGATAAATGATCTGACGATAAGCGCGCTTGAGCCTGAGCGAGACAGAAACACAAAGTTGCGTGCCCCCCTCTCAACCATCGAGGTAGCAATCGCGCGGCCGAGGCCTCCCAAGCCTCCGACGAGAAGATAAGCTACGTCAGATCGGAACAAAGCGCTGCTGACATGGGCGCCAGTTACCTGAAGTGTAGAAGGGTCGTCGGGCATGCGAATGACAATTTTGCAATATGCTGTCCAGTTTGCATCAGTCGAAAGGCTCTAACAGCATCTGCCGCGTCGAACATATTGACTGGTTGAATTGGCTGCAACGTTCGATCTTCATGTAGTTTCATTAGCTTAGACATTGTCTCACGAACAACATCAGGGCGTTCCAGTCCTAGCTTGAACAAATCCACCCCAAAAAAGGCGCGATTCCCGCCGAACATGTCCATGTCCAGCTTGCCGTGGCCGAGGAAGTCTCGTTTCCCCAGTTCAACCATCTTGCCATACGCAGCGACGCATCTCCAAGAGGCGTGTAACAGCTCGCCTGCCAGGGAATTCAATACGACGTCGACACCTCGATTCTTGGTGCGCTCCATGATGCCCGAGACAAAAGATGTGCTGCGTGAATCGAAGATGTGGTCCTCGGAGATAGCACAGTGGTCCATCAAGTACTGTCTCTTCTCCGGACTTCCTGCCGTGACATAAACTTCAGCGCCTAGCATCCGACAGATCTGAATAGAAGCAAGTCCAACGCCACCGCAGGCGCTGTGTATTAACACCGACTGACCAGGCTGTATGTCTGCCACGGTTACCAACGAGTACATCGCGGTCAAGAAGATGCATGGCGTTGCAGCGGCGTCGGCCAAGTTCATCTGGGTTGGAATTCGGTAACAAAAGTCGGCGGGCAGCACCTTGCGTGTGCACATCAACCCCGTTCCTGACAGTACCACAGACTCCCCCACCTGCAGCGTAGCCACGGCGGATCCAACTTTGCGCACGATCCCGCTGCCATCAATGCCGATTTCATCGGTGGAGCCCATCAAGCCCATGCTGATCATTATATCCTAGAACACGTATGGTCTGAGTATGCGGATTTGCCATCCGGAATGGAGGACCTAACTCACCCGAAAGTTTAACCCAACGAACTTGATGTCAATTTCCACCTCGTCTGCCCCAAGGGCCTGGGGTGGATTGGCGAATTGCCATACGATTGAGTCGAGAGAGTCGAGGATACCAAAGCACTTCACATCCATGGCTCTCGGAACGCAGCTCTGTACCGAGCTCATAGCATGTTCCGTAGAGTGCCATCCGAAACGCGGAACGTGTATCAATCCATCATGCAGTGCGAACTCATGATCAAACTCATAGCGAGTCTCTTCCCCGTGAGCTTTGATCGCGTCGAGGACGCCGAGAACACCTCGGATGGCATCGTCGTCGAATTCATCGAGCTCAATAGTCATGGCCTTAACACCAATGTCCTGGCGAAGGACTCTCATCAATCCAGATACCAGAGCGTATCGCGGATCGAGCTTCAGGCCATACAGCGGGTGAATTGGTCTTGTCAGCCATATTAGGTGTCCTCGAAGGGAAACGACCGACTTTTGGAAATTGTCGTAATTCTCGCGAGTGATGGTGTGTAAAAATGGGCTTTCTACATCCAACAGAGAGATGACATCCGTGGACTCTGCTGGAGTGGTGCCTAGAGCGAGCCATTGGACATCCCAACCATGTAGAAGAAGTTGAGTCTCAAGTTGACGAGCCCATTTGGGGATGGGGTCATGATAAAGGAGACCTAGCGCCCCCCTCTCACTTGCCCTTGGCGACGAGACTCTCGACAGCATATTTGCGTTAACATGATAAGGGGCCTCATTATCCAAGCGCACGACATCGGTGCCCGTAAAACCTGCTTCCAGCAGGGCATGATGCCATTGCTCCGGGCTGAGGTAGGGGCGTTCGCGCCCATCATTTGCAAGCCACCAACTTGGTAGAGCGCCCATGATGTAATCAAATATAGTAACATCATGACTCAACTCCTGAAGCAACAAGCGGCCCTGGGGTGCCAGAAGCTGCCTGACGTTTTTCAAAGACTCGAGAATGTTAGGGGTTGCGTGCAGGACATTTGATGCGATCACCAAGTCGTAGCTCTCGCTCTCGTATTCTTGCTCCCGGGGATCTTTAGATATATCCAGCGTTCGATATTCCATCCCTGCATGCTGTTTGAACCTTTCTTTTGCTGGTGCGAGGAAGGCCGCTGAAATGTCGGTAAAAGTGTACTTATCGTACATCCTGCCTTTGTTTGGTCCCGATGCCCTTGAGAGGCCATCGAGTACAGCGGAGGTGGTCCCACCGGTGCCGCCCCCAATCTCTAATACGCGCAATGTCGGCTTCGAATGCGCGAGTGCTGCCAGATACTCCTCCCACCGCGTGATCGAGGGCATGTTGGCATACAGATGCTGAAGTCCGTCATCCTGCATCAGTAGCTCCAGCGGGTTGACTTGATTCTCGAGAATCTCGGTAATGTTCGAAAGGATCCTCTCAGCAAGTGCAAGTGGGTCAGCAATTGATGGGGGATGCGATTTGCGCAATGACGCCTCGAGGTAGGGCCATCGTGCAGTCGGGTTATTGGCAAATTTGTCCCCGATCTCTGGAACAAGGTTGGAATTGCGATCACAAATTTGAGTATGGGTTTTCTCAATCCAAGAGAGGTATTTCTTCAGGTGGTCTTGTTTGGGGCAAGCCGAACGTGTTCTGTGAAAGGTCTCGACGACGAACAATCCAAAAAGTTCTGCCAACAGCTTTCCTGGGAATAGGCCCTTCTCAATAGGAGGCAATAAAGTATCGAGTGGCGTGAAATCAACGTACGGTCTCCATTCAATGGTTGACAGCGGCGGTGCCGGCGTATCCTCAAGAGCAGACTCCGAAACACCAAAGAATGTTGCGTGCTGCATGGAGAGAACCACACGATCCTGACACGCGAGGAAGGCCTCCCCGGTCATCATTCCACCGGTCATGTCACACGAAACATTCAGTTGCATAGTATCGCGCGCGTGAGCAACATAGAGATCTTGAATGGCAGTCGGGATACACAATCGAGTCATACGATGACTAATACCCTGTGTGGCCGCCACGCTCAAGAGCTGCAGACACTGATCAATGAGAATGGGGTGGAGAGCATACTCGCTCACATAGTAGTTATCGCTGTCTTGTAACTCCGCAGCCGCACGGCTGCTTGATGGGCTCGCAGTGATCTTGCGGAGTCCCCGGAAATGGGCTCCGTACTCTAATCCTCGAGCTTCCAGTGCAGCATACCATTTTTCCGAAGACACTTCTCGTAAGTAAGCTTGGATTTGCGTGTCCGGGTGTCTGCGAATGGACCCAGCGCGGACTTGCCCCACACAATGTTTGGTCCAGACCCCGTGCTGATACGAGCTGATAGTGAATTCACACCAGTGAGAGTCGACATTATCCGCCAGCTTGTGAGGACGAAGACTTGTGATGAGTTCGATTCCTTCGGGTTCGTTACCGGAAAGAACCAAGGCAGCTCTAATAAAGAGGTTTTGAATGGTGTAATCATCGCTATTCGATACTTGGCGGACTGCTTCACCCGCCATGGCGACATATGCTGCACAAGGAAACACGACCTCTCCAGTGATTCTATGATCTAGAAGCCAGAGAACATTATCCAGTTGCAGCAGGTTTCTCCAAACAGGCTCTACATCAGTGGATTCGAGGCATCGCGACCCCAGCAATTCGTGATGCCGCGTTTCGCGTAACCGCCAGTCGTGCGCCATCCGAGTCTCGCTCCAAAAGCGCTCATCATGCGTCCAATAATACGGTGGGAGGTCCGTAAGGACCTTCGCCCGAGGAATAACTTTACTCAAATCAATCGACACGCCACGTATGTGTAGGTGGCCGGCTGTCCTCAGGAGGCATTCCCAGGGCTCTTTGCCTCTGACTAAAGTCGGCGTATATTCTGGTCGCTGTTTCTCTTCCACCTGAGATATAATGTGGCGTAAAGGCGCCTCGAGCACAGAGTGTGGGCCAAGTTCCACGAAAGAATGAGGCCCTGAGTGAGTGCTCAGCAGGTTCTGGATTGCCGGTTTGAACAGAACCGGAGACTCTAAGTTCTGTCGCCAGTATGCAGCAGTGAGTTGCCCGGGTTCCATAATGGTCTCGCCGGTGACGGTCGAGTAGAGCGGAACCATGGTGGTGCTGAACATCAAATTGCCCAACAGTCGCTCATAAGCTTCGCCAACTGATATCATATGATGGGAGTGATATGCAACGTTGACGGCCAGGCGACGACAAAAGACCTCCTTGGTCTCCAGGTCTCGAATGATCTCCTCCAGCAGCTCCTTGTCACCAGAAAGCGTGACACTTTTGGGGCTGTTGTCACATGCGATGACCACTCCTTCTTTGAGGAATGATTTCGCCTCCTCGATACCCAGCCCGACCACCGCCATAGCACCTCTAGAGTTTGCTGTATCAACAGCTTGCCCACGGCGGTATGCAATTGTGATTGCTGTTTCTGCTGAGGTGGCCCCAGATGCATATGGCCCGCGACCATCGATGGGATAACTCCCCACTCTCGAAGCAGGTTGACGAGACCGATCTGAACTGCTGTACAAAGCGGCTGGGCTAGCCTTGATGCACTCATCCGGTCGACATCGTCGCAATTGAGAAGTTCTTGTAAGGAAAATGAGTTTCATTGATGCCAAAACGATGTTTATATCATACCTTCAATGGACCACCCAGTTGCGTTTGGAAGTTGCTGCAAGTGCCGATCGAGGGCACGAATGTCTGCTTGGAATTGGGGTGATCTTCGCAGAAGCTCTCTTCCCATTCCAGGCCACTGGGCCCCTTGACCGCTGAAGATGAACACAATCTCCCGACTCGTGACTCGAGACCGAGCGACTGTAGTCAGAGCTCCATCCGCACCCACTATAGAAAACGCCCGATGGGGTAGCTGTTCCCTGTGGAACCCCAGGGTGTAAGCCATATTACCACTAAGCGCTGGGTAAGCTTCGAAGTAATCACAGGCATTCTGGACGTTGCCATCCAGTGATTTGGAACTTTTAGCGGAGTGTAGTAATAGATGAGCCACTTCATTTCTCAGGCTCGCATCCGTCTTGTTCGCGGGTCGTTGGCCACGGATCGAGGCGGCAGAGTCGATCACAACCTTGGTCGAGTTACAGTGAGCACACTCGAGCATTATCAGATGTTCCAGAGGACTTACGTGTGCATTGGTGCCTCCAATACCAAAGGAGTTCATACTAACTCTTTCATGTCGGTCGCTTGGCCATGAAATGGCTTCGACCGGTACCTTTCATTTAGCCTGCTCAAAGGGAACTATTCCCATGTAAGTGATGTAATGTTGGGGGGCTGTAATCATGCAAACCCACTCTTCGAATTGAGCTCCTCGAAGAACACATTCGGAGGTATAGTCCTATTTTCTAAAGCGAGGGCACATTTGATGATACTCGTAATGCCAGAGGCACCTTCCGAGTGACCAACATTGGGCTTGACCTGAATGCCTCATCATATTATAGCTGTCACTTGAATCTTCACACAGCGGAGAGGAGCCAACTTACCGCGCCTATGTAGATGCGGTCTTTGCCGAAGATCTCGGCCACCACCGAGGTCTCCGCCACGTCTCCCACTGCGGTGCCTGTGCCGTGACATTCAAAAAATGCTGTCTTGTCGATGTCCTCGATTCCAGCTTTGTGGTACGTTCTGCGGATCAATCGTTCTTGTGCCTGGGATCTGGGTGTAGATATGCTCGGAGTTTTTCCATCGCAGTTGACGGACGTTGATCGAATAACCGCACGGATGGGATCGCCGTCCCGCATGGCCGCATCGAGACGCTTGATGAAAATGGCATTGATAGCCTCTCCTCGGCCATAGCCGTCCGCGTTCTCGTCGAATGTTCTGCACATTCCACTGGGAGATAGCACCATATTGACGGAGGTCGTGATTGACATTGTGGGTGTGATAATCAGACTAGTCCCTGCGACGATGGCAGAGAGACATTCCCCGGAATAGAGTGCCTGGCACGCTTCATGAAGGGCAACCATGGACGATGAACAACCCGTCCGAAAGACCACGCTGGGGCCCCTCAGGTCATACTGGTAGGAGACATTGTTGGCCAGCGCAAAGTCCCCCGTCCCCATCACACGGTACCGGTCAATGGCCAGAGTGTCCTTACTGGCCAGGTCTAGCCAGTCTTCACCGAAATTGCCCACATAGCAGCCAATATTAGTTCCTTGCCAATCGGTCTGGCCCGCGTTCTCCATACACTCCCACACCACCTCCAGTAACATTCGCTGCTGGGGATCCAATTTGGAGGCCTCGATCTTCGACATGCCGAAGAAGCCGGTGCCTATCTGGGCGATGTCTTGTTGTAAGAAGTAGCCGTGCTCAGTCCGAATGGTCCCGGGAACCCCGTCACAATGGTAGAAGGCGTCGATATTGTACCGATCCCTGGGTACCCGGCAAAGGCCGTCTCTTTTGTCGATCAGCATCTGCCAGAAGTCACTGGCGTTGGTCACTCCTCCCGGTAGCCTCATCGCCATACCTACGATCGCAATGGGGACGGGAGCAGGGAAACCGGTGTCATCGTCTCGGTGGCTGTGGGCAGTTGTGCCGCTGCTGAAGAGGGAGAAATCCCAGCTGAGTGTTCGAAGGAGGGCGAGATGTCATCCCAGGAGGATTGGGCCATTTTTGCTTGTCGGGATATTTGAGAGAATGGTGAGAATTACAGGAGAGACGAGAGTGAGAATAATAACCCGTGCATCAGGGTAGCCGAGGGTAGAGTAATCTGGCTCGGAGGTTCTCACATGTCGATGATGATGATGATGATGATGATAATGATGGTGTGCCCGGTTTACTGGGTGGTGATACGATGAATTCGGCAGGTGATGGTACCACGAATTCGAGCTGTCAAACTCCATCGTGGTTAGCGGAGGGAAAGGGCTTGGTGGATTATGATTGATCATTGCCCTGGGTTGGCAGCGAGGATCTGCGAAGACTGCAAAGACTGCAAAGACTGCAAAGACTAGCATTAGGTGAGATGTGTTGCTGTCGGTAGTGGATAGGTAGATGAAGTTCCAAGTTGTAACCGTGAAAGTACCGCCGCCGATCGAGGGATCGTCCCGAGTCAAATGACACCGCTAGTCCCAATCAAGTCATACCGTAGTACGCGCAGCAATAGTTAGTGTATAAGCCTAGTAGGTATAGGTACCTAGTAAACAAGTATCTTGTTAAGAGTGTCGAATTGCATGGATTCACCAACTATGTGTAACTCTACTATCCCCGAGGCGAACTCTTCGTCAGCGGCCAAAGCAACGCCCCAACCATCCCCTTGGCCCACCCAATCCATCCCCGAGCAGCCACCACTGTTTTCACGGCCTTCATCATCCGGTCCGTGAAGACGTCCGTGGTCTCCACATCGTGCAATTGACACTCCCAAACGCCTTTCTCGGAATCCTCGCCCGCAGCAATCGTGTACTGCACCGCCTCCTCGAGAGAATCCCGGGTCAAGTACGCACGGTCGGGGAGGTCCAGCTTCAACCGGGGGCCAGTGACCAGAGAGCGCCCGCTGCATTTTTGGTTGGCCATGAGATACGTGGCCGCCTCGACCACATCCTCCGGCTGCCCGAGGGGGACTCCAGCTAATACCACGCGACCTGGCCCATTCAACATGCCAATGTCGGTGAAATAGGGGCAGATGATGTTGACGCGAATGCCGCCCGAAACGGGGGCTGTGACGCGTAGGCACCGGAACAGACCCAAGACCGCATGTTTGGTGATCGTGTAGGGTGCCTGGGTGATGAGCGGGTGCAAGCTCGCCGTTGAGCCGACTAGAAGGATATGGCGATCTCGCGGAGCGGTCTGCCCGGTTTCGGAGCACGGTAGCGAGTCGGGGTTCCGAGGGAGGTACCACTGGGCCAGGTGGACCGTATACAGGACCCCCGTCAGATTGATGTCGACCGTCTTCATGCTGGGCGCTGGGGGGGTAGGGTCATTCGAGTAATCCACGGCAGGGTACTCGAGCCGTCTCGCCTCGTCCCGATCGTTGACGCCAGCATTGGCCACGACGGCATCAATCCCACCGTGCGAGCTGAGCTGCACCGCTTGTCGGAAGAAGTTGACTTGGGAAGCCCACGATGTGACGTCGAGATGGATGAAGTGCACGTTGTCGTTGGAGGAGTCGGAGCGAATCTGCGCCACGGCCGTCTCTCCGGCGGGATTGATGTCCCCAACAATCACCTGGGCGCCAGCGGCAGCCCAGCGAGTGGCAAAGGCGGCTCCAAAGCCCGAGGCACCGCCCGTGACGAGGATTGTCTTGCCCTGAAGGTTCGAAAGGCTGTAGTCCAGGCTCAACATGGTGGTTGTTTCTGCTGGTGAAAGCAATCCCCGACGACGGGAGGCCGAGGTTGAGCAGAAGCTTTTATAGCGGAAATCAAACAAGGTGCGGACCTCATTGATGGCTCATCGATGGCTCATCGGGTTTTCTTGCTAGTTGAGCTGTGGCGTGCGATGTTCAGCTGAGTGTTAGACTGTGATAGGCTCGAATCAAGACCTCTCGTATCGACTGGTGAAGGCTGGCTGCGTGACGGGGCCGGCCAGGCAGGCAGGCTAGTAGGTTCATGATGTATGTAAAGTTATCATCCAGTGGCTGTACTGGACTGGGGTGATCTTCATCGGCTAATGTGGCCTCATTTGAGGGTGTCTTGCTGCTGCTCCACCCGTCGCCAGCTGTGGTGTGTGTGTGTAAGTGTGTGTAAGTAGTTGGTTTTACGATCTTCTTGTGAACGCGGGGCGAAAATTGCCCAGTGCGACCGTGGTGGTCAGGCACTCAGGCAGTCAGGCAGTCAGGCAGCCGGGCAGCACTTGACTTCTGAGGCATCCATCGCCCGACCCATCATCAACCGTGGACATGTCTTACATCTACCTTAACCTTGAGGTATGGTACTCACGACTCTACAGTACGTGTACGCATGTCAGAGTCTATGGTACTCCTTGCGGTGTCGTATACAAAGATACTCGGGTCTTTCTGCGGCTAGTGCAACTTTGTCGTGCTTCTCTCTCTCTCTCTCTCTCCCTCTTTCTTCTTTCATGTGACATTTCTGGTTTTGATCATAGTTTTGTATCTCAAATCTCAATTTCTTTGTGGTTTATGTTGGTGTATGCTGTGCTGGACTTGTCAGGGTTACCTAATCAGCTTGGTTTTTGTTTGGGTATTTTGTACTTTGCTTGCCCTCGTCCGTTGCCAATCCGCTCTCCGCGGTCAGCAGGACTCAGGACTGCGTACAAATGTCGTCCGGGGTGGGATTATCTCTGGTTTCATCGTGAGTGCCAACACCGGCCGAGTCCTTGACAGCAAGCTGGCTAGGTTGAGCCTCTGCCACTTCCACGTCTGTCTCCACAGAGGAAGGTGGCTCGGAGTCTGTGGACGAAGTCAAAGAAGGTGGAATACGCTCAGCCCTATCTTTTTTCAGACTCTTCGGAGTGCCCGGACTCGACTCCACGTCACGGAAGGAGTTTTTGGCACTGGGATGTGCAGACGAAAGCTCCATAGGATCGTGATCATGGACCGGTGCCGCCACGTCCTCTTCTGTCACCATAGAAGAGCCTGCAGAATATTGCTCCGGTTCATCTTCTTCGGTGACCATTGGAGACCCTGGCTCGGAATCTGAGCCAGCGACTGTTTCGGGGAGAGAAACAAATGAAACGTTGGTAGGAAGAACGGGATAGGCCCCTTGATCTTCGGGTGGATCAGAAGCAGCGACATCGGCTTCAGCATCAGCGGTGGCTTCAGGGCTGCTTGGAGATGGTCCGAGGGCAGTCGGATCTTCAGCAGCACCAATTACCTTGGTCCTCGCAGTAAGCTCTTCTTCAGGAGTTCCAGGAACACCGGGATTGTCACCTTCTTCAGCAACGTCAGTCTTAGCAGTCCACTCAGTTTCAGGTGTACCAGGAACTTGAACCGCGGCATTGTCGGAGTCCGAAGTGGCAGTGCTTGCCACAGCTTTTGAGGGCGCTGGCGGCTCTTCCTCAGTCACAGGCGTGCTGGGATCACTATGGGCTGCAAAAATACTCGCAACCGAAGTATTCGCGATTGTGGGATGAAAACTATCGCCAGACGTGGTCGCCATGGATCCCCCGGCAAAAGCACTGTAACCAGGGACATCACCATCGTAGATGTCGCGAGCCAATTTCTCTGGTCACTGAGGGGTGGGCAAAGGCGCGAGGATGCCTGCCTTGTCCAAGGCCTGCGCCATGCGCTGCACATAGACCTCAAGCTCCTTGAAAGGCTCTCGAGCATGCACCGCGCGCCAGACTCCATCCAAGTGATGGTCCAGGGCCTCATAGCCGATGACCTCCGGTTTGAGCTTCCTTGAGATCAGATAGTCCAGGACGCGTGCGCCCATGAACCAGTGATAGCTTTCTTCCGGCTCCAAACACCACCACCGCGCCCACTGGATTAGGTGCATCTTAATGTAGTACACCGGCTTCAGCATTCTAAGCCTGGTTAGAACGAACTTGGGGAGTTCCCACTGGTCCTCATTCATCCAGATCTCATCATCGTCCTCGGGGACTACACATGACCCAAGGGCCTTGGAGCATGTGCGCAGGTACAGATCCAAGTGCGGCGCGCCCCCGGTGGACAGTTGCACGATTTCGGTTCCCACATCATGAAAACCCCCGGATCGGCCGCACACCTGGTTCAGACCACGACTGAAGCTCTTCTCGTAAAGAAGCTGGACGGCACGGACCATAGAGGCATTTTCGACGACAAATTCGATGTAGTGAGGCACGCCCAGCTGGGTATCCTCCACTCCGTATAGCTGAACTATGGAGCCAGTCCACACGATGTACTTGATTTCGGCCTCGTCGATTATCTGGGCGATCTTCTCGATCTGGGTGATCGCAGGGAGTTTCTCAAAGGGAAAATCATGGTGTAGCCTTTTCCGTTTGTGTGTAAGCGGACTAAGCGGGGGTTACAGAGGGGATAGTCGCCACCAGGTGTGTTCGCCTGAATCTTTATATACACCATGATGTGACTTCCGACGCCGGTGAAAATGAGTGCAATCATCCGTTCCACAACTCGTCCAACCGAAACACTACATCAAAATATGCCCAGAAAAGCCATAGCAAGAGGAGGATGTCAACCCATCACTGTTTGAGGGTATAACCCGGTAAGATTGTGAAGAACTTCTTATAGTGTGTCTGGAAATTGTCCTTTCCCCATGATGTCTTTATTCTCACCGGAGAATTTAGCTGGAGGACTAGAAACCACTCATCGTGACCTAGATCAGGATGGACTTCGACGGGATAAGCCGGATCGCACATTCACACGCTGCGATCCTCATATTCACCTGACAGCTCCAAGAACGGAAAGTGGTATATGGTGCCCCCGGGACCTATGCAATAGCTTCAATCTCATCCGGGTACTGCAACTGATTCTGCTCGCGAACTTGGTCAAACACCCTCATCATCACTAGCGTCTCTGCCAAGGGCATGACCGGCGATTCGCGCTCGCCAGCCTGCACGCGCCGGGCACATTCATCTGCCTCCCAGAACAGTCCATGGCCCACCGGGATCGGAAATGCGGTTGTAGAAACGTCTTCCGCCGACCCATAAACCACCACTTTGATACTATCCGGACGCGCGGCGGGTCCAAATACTTGGATCTGTCCTTTTGTCCCAAGAATGCGGACACCTGGTTCTTGCGGGTCGGCCGTGACTCGGAGACTAGCCGTCGCTACCCCCTGCGTCTGCGTTTCAGGGGAGGTGAGGACGACCGTTACGGTCTCATCTACCCCGGTTTCTTTGTACTTGGTTACGGAGCCGGTCGTTCGCAGGGAAACCGAAGCGAGAGGCCGGTCGGGACTCAGGAAAAGGAAGACCCAGGTCAAGGGGTAGATGGCCACTAGAAACAAGATCCTATGTTAGCATGGAGACTGAGATTTGGCGGAGGCTGGCAAAAAACCGACAGTCCAGCAAGGCGCCGCCAGCCAAGGCGGGGCTGACCAGGCGATGCTCGGTGCCATACAGCTCCTCCACGTTGCGACCCAGGCTCCGATCGGCCACGATCCGCTGAACCGTCCCGATGACCCCCTCTCGGACGAGATGTTGTACGTGGCGCGTGAGAGGGAAGAACCGGGTCCAAAGCGCTTCCATGAGGAAAAGTCCTCGTTTCTTGGCCAGATCCACGAGTACCTGGGCTTGCTCGGCATTCACTGTGAAAGCCTTCTCCACGAGGACGTGTTTATTGGCGAGCAAGGCCAGACGCGTGTGGGCAAAGTGATGTGAGTGAGGAGACGCGACGTAGACAATGTCGACGTTGGGATCAGCGACGAGGGCTTCGTAAGAACCGTAGGCACGAGCGGTGGATGGGGTGTGGGTAGTGGAGAGGAGATTCTGGGCTTTTTCTATCGCGCTGGACGAAGCGACGGCCACAATGTCATGGGTGACATCGTGGACCTGGCGAGTGGCAGGGTCGATAAGAAGGTCTTTGACGAACTCTGTACGTGGTAGGTATACTGAGTTAAAAGGTGGCAACTTGGAAGTGATTGGGAGTTTTTCGATGGACGACTAACTGGTGGCATTGTCGCCGGTTCCTAATCAAGATGGGATGAGCGCTAAGTTGGACTGTAGCTGGGCCTGGAAATCACCTCTTCGCACCTAAAATTCCCCAACGAACCATACTTGCTTGCTGTGTCATCAGATGTTTTCCAAGGTTAAGGAGATGGTGACAGGTAAGGTATTGTGGCGCGGAGTGATATCAGGATTTGTACTCTAAATAAATAAATGAATGAGTGACGACCCTAGGGTCCGGGGTGTCATCCAGCCTGCAGATCGCGTCATCCCCGGGCAGCCAACTTCCACGAATGAGAAACAACCTTAGTATCATGTTGAGGATAATATACATTATATTTATATTTATGTGGATACACCATGAGATTGACTTAACCACCCCTGCATCCTCAGAAAAAGAGAATTCTGAAGCGGCGACTGGCTCCCGAGGTAGACGTAGTCGTGGTGATGGCAGCACTGCCCGTCGCGGTTTGGCTGGCCGCAGCAGTCGTTGATGAAGTGGGACCACTGACACTGGGCGATGTCGATACAGCATTTATCGCAGTGGTCGAGGAAGCAGAGGCATTGGTGATTGCGACAGCAGTGGATGTATTGTTCCAGTCACTGTAGGAGTCACTGCCGGACTCATCGTCGTCGTCATTTAGGCTCAAGGCATATGCTTGCGAAACCCACAGGGAATAGACACCATCCCCGCCACCTGTTCGTCAGGTCAGGTCAGCAAGATAGACAGGCATTGTCTCGGGAAAGAGAACTTCATTCGTACACGTATCAACAGCATAACCGGGGCACGTGGCATTGCAAGCACTCTCGTCATCGGCCAAGGCCATGTCCTGGATATCAAGAGCCGCAGTTCCACAGTAACACAGCTCCTCTTGCACTGCGGCAAACACCCCGTTAACCTTCTCGCATTCAGTTGTACAGTGGCCGACCGATTGGAACTCATAGCTCCCCATGTTCTCCATGTTTCCAGTGGAGGTGAAGCAGCTGACCTGCGCCCAGAGGTCGTTGGCTTGGGTCGGGAGGACCAAGGGCAGCAGAGCTGCCAGCGAGTAGACGGTAGATTTCATGGTTACTAGGTAAAGCTGCAGGGAACCTTTAAAGTTGAACTGTAGAGCGGGCGATCTACAACGAATATAAAAGTTCCATCGGTCCCTGGTGCCCCTGCGCAATGCTAATGCTACTGCTGCTGTTGCTTGCTGTTGGCTTGCTGTTGGCTTGCTGTTGGTGGGCTTGCAGGTGAAACTCCTCGTATCAAGCCAGGCCTGGCCCCACTTAGCGCAACCTAGTCGTACTTGAGTAGCATTACTATCGAAGTCTGTCGAAATTGCATGACCCTGAGTTCAGTTTGGCGTGTTTGGCGAGTTTGATTGCATGGCTAAGATTTGCTGCCGCTATACCTAGAAAGGTGTGTGTATAATTATGCAGTGTCAGGTATCATTATGTCAGCGTGCATAGTGCGGGGTGCATATTACTGCCTGAGGCAACCAACCTGGAATCGAAAATCCCGTCCCTGCAGGTTCCAAGTTCTTGTTCCAACTTCTCCCTCTTACTTGTACACCAAAACACCAATCCTTTCCATCCTTTCCATCCTCTCCAACGGATTCATTCTCCTGCACTCCACATGATCCAAAGCTTTTCTGGTCACTCTTTCATTCTTTCATTCTTGCGAAATTCTCTTGCCACAATGCTTCCCTTCTTCTCTTCCAGAGCCTCCGTTATCCTTGGAACGTCCGCTTGAGCCATCGACTACTTACCTAGTCAAATCTCCTTCAAATCTCCATCGGAGACACCGCACCACCAACACTGGCTCATCCAAACGCCACGACCGGCGGACTACCTCAATGGAGCCAGCTCGGAGAATCCCATTCCCGCTCAGGCGATGGATGGTCAGTGTGGCGGTGCTGAATGCCAGACCCGCAGACCCGCAACCGGGAATTCGCTGCCAGCCAAACTTCGGTTCGTCCACTCGACACCCCTCGATCTAGCCACTCCAAGGCCCGGCCGCATCTTTGCAGCATCTGGCCGAGTCTATGGCGTTCCTGACACCCGATCCCTTCCAAGGTCACTCGGGGAGAAAGGGGGCTGCGATCCCGAGAGCAAATTTTGCACTTGTCCACGCAACAGCCAATCCATATCCACCTAGGGAGACAAAGAGAGGGAGAGAGAGGGCAACAGACATCATCTCGTGCCTATTGTGCCAAGGGAGTCTGTCAACCCTGATGCAAGAGATGCGAGAAGCGAATGATCTCCGGTCAGGAAGGGGGGAAGACACGAGGCCAGGAACCGATCGACACGGATGCCAATCGCTTAGATTTACCTACCCCTGGCCCGAACCATGCGCAATGCTTATCGTCCTTTCGGCCGTTCCAAACTGGTGCTTGGTGCTTATCAGATATGCCACCAATCGTGAAGCGTTAGGGCTTCTTCCGGCTGGACTCCGACGCCACGTGCTTGGCAGCTGCTCTTCAGCAATCAAGCAATCTATTAGTCTTCATCGCCTTCGTAATCGGATCAAAATCCCATCCTGGGCTTTAGTGCCCCGGCCCTCATCGTGGTGTCACCGGGACCATGATCGATCTGCCCTGGAAATCCCCTCGGCTACGCTTGCCCCTGGCCTGCAGAACTCTTCGCCGCCACCTACAGGCCGAATGCCCTCAACTGCCCGGCTCAGTGTATAAATATCTTCCTGATGGTCCATGGCCCATGGCCCTTAATCTCTACCCCTGTTCGTCCCTACTACCTCCTTCCGACTGGTTCCGCGCTTGATCGTGGTCCAGAATCGGACGAGTAACGACAACCACCATGCAAGTCTGGTCTGTCTTGGGCGTCGCCGGCCTGGCTCTGGCCCAGAGCTGTGCTGCTGCCCTACCGTCCTCTTCTTCCGTCACCTCTCAGGCAGTCATCCCTACCGCGGCTGCAGCATCCCCAGCTAGCACGCAGGATGCCACAACTGCCACACGGGTAGTGACTACTGTATCATCCGCTGAGAATGCTGCCACGACGTCCGCCTCGAGTCAGTCTTGTCTCCACCATGTATCCCCTTCTCTTCTCACATCACTGACTCTTCTCCAGCATCTTCCACCGCTGTCGTCGTTGCCACAGACACCTCCGGTCAATTCACCGCCATTGGAGATGCCATTTCCTACGCTCAGTCGATGGGCATCCCCACTGTGACCGTCAAGGCCGGCACCTACACCCAAGCCGTGACCGTCTCGGCTACCGCAACTGTTACCGTAATCGCTGAATCCCCCAGCCAGCGAGATTATAGCCAGAACCAGGTCACCATCTCGGCCACAAGTCCTCTGACCATTTCGTCTAATGTCCTTGGTATCACCTTCCGCAATATCAACTTTGTCAACACGGCTACTGGCAGCTATGCAGCTGCCACCATTCGTGGCTCCAAGAACGCGTTCTATGGCTGTCAATTCGTCTCGGCTGGGAGTCTGGGTATCAATGCCAACTTAGGTCTTGCCGTCATTGCCGACAGCTACATCGAAGCGCTGGACAAGATCATCTATGGGTATCCCGGCTTGTATGTGTACAATACTACGGTCGTACCCGTGGACAATAGTGCCTTGATCGTCTACAACAGAGGTACTACGTATAACTCGGTTCTCTACAACTCCACCGTCGTCTTTGATTCCTGCTCGGTGCAGCAGAAATCCGGCACCAGCACGAAGAACGTCTACCTTGGAGCGGCCAACAATGGCTACGGCTCCGTGGTGGTCTACCGGGATTCGACTCTGGGCAGCTTGATCACAGCCACGGGTGCCTACACCGACAGCTACTCTACGGACCCTCGGAACTTTTATGGTGAATTCGAGAACACCGGCGCTGGCTCCTATGCGAACAACGAAGCCAAGCGGTCAGCATATGTTCACCTGCTGAGTGCATCTGACCTCACTCGGTTCTCCCCAGCCCAAGTCTTTGCTAGTGTCTTTTATCAATTCGCCGCGACAAACACCGATTGGGTCGATGCTGACGTTCTGGCCGCTATTGAGAGTGCTGATGTCATCCAGCAATCAGCATCTACTACTGGTACTACGGCCTCGTCCAGCATCAGTGCCACCTCGGCACCCGCATCTCAGGTCACAGCCACCCGCGCTGCTTCGACGCTGATTCGGTCGAGTGCTACTGGGACGACTACGGTGTCGTCGGCTGCGGTCAGAGTGTCTGCTTCTTCCTCCGCTGTCTCGTCTGCAACCACGTCGTCTTCCACTGGATGTTCCTTGCCCTCCACGGTACCTACTAGTGCCCTAGTGGTTGGTCCTTCTGGGGGTTGTGCGCAGTACATCAGCATTGCCTCGGCTGTCGCTGCTCTGCCTTCCGATTCTACTACCCAGTACGTCTACATCCTTTCGGGTACTTACGAGGAAGCCATTACCATTAGCCGTGAGGGAGCTACTGTATTCCGCGGGCAGACTACGAATGCGCTGGACCAGTCGAGCAATACTGTCACCATCGTCCACAGCGCTGGAGTGCTGTCTAGCAACGGTGGATCTGCATCTACCGCAACGTTCCAAGCGTCCCAATACTATGCCAAGGGGATTTCTTTCTACAACATCAATTTCGAGAACGACTATACGCCCACTAAGAACAATATTGCAGTGGCTGTCGCTGCTAAGGCTCAAGTCCTGGGCTTCTACGGCTGTGGCATCAAGTCTTCTCAGGGAAGTTTGCTGATCAATTACGGTGCCTTCTACTTCTCCGATTGTCGGATCGAGGGCACCACTGACTTTATCTGGGGCTACGGTGGCATCTACGTGTATAATTCTCGCATTATCACGGATGGAACCACCACCGGTCAGACCATTGCTGCGCAATCCTACCAGAATTCCTATGGGCCATCTCAGTTTGTTTTCGACAGCTGCGCCTTTGTACCCAGTGATAGCTCCGTCCCGAAGAGCAGCACCTACTTGGGCCGGGACTACTCTACCAATGCCCATGTTGCCGTTTTGAACTCGTACCTTGATGCCCACATCGCGCCACTGGGTTGGTTAATCTCGTCGTCCAGCAGCAGTGTGACCTTTGCAGAGTATAACAACACTGGCCCTGGCGCCTCCACCAGCTCGCGGAGCAGTGTCGTGGACATCCTGTCTGATGATAGCGCGTATTCTGTTGCTGATGTTTTGGGGAGCACGAGCTGGATTGATACATCAGCCATTGCTCCTTTCTCCGGCTTTCCGGATTCTGCTTATGGCTCCTCCGTTTCCTCCTCTGCCAGCTCTTCTGTCACTGCTACAGCGAGCTCGTCTGTCGTAGCCTCAGCCACGAGTGCGGCAGCCACGAGCACCTCGACATTCGTGGTCTCGCAGAATGCTACCACTGGACAGTATCGCAATATCACTGCAGCTATCGCTGCTCTGCCCAGTGACGGCAAGGCTTACACCATCTACATCCTTGCAGGTACTTACACTGAGCAAATTTCTATCACGCGCTCTGGAAAGGTCACTCTGCGCGGTGAGACTTCGTTCGAGAACGATTACACCCAGAACCTGGTCACCATCGAATTCTCAAATGGAGAGCTCACCAGTGCCGGCAAAGATGAGAGTACACCTGTCATCAACGCAAAGAAGACTGACGGCACCGGCTTGGCCCTGTACAACATCAACTTCCAGAACACCTATCCCCAGACCAGCAACACAGCCGCGCTGGCTGCTGACTTTTATGGCACCAACATGGCGGCCTATGGCTGCTCCTTTATCGGCTTCCAAGACACCTTGCTCGCCAACAAGGGCACGCAGGTCTTCTCTAATTGTTATATCGAAGGGTCGATTGATTACATTTGGGGCTATTCGACCGCCTACTTCCATCAATGCTACATCGCTACAAACACTCCAGGGGCGTGCATTGCGGCGCAGAGTCGTTCTTCATCAACCGCGTCTGGCGGTTACGTCTTCGATACCTGCTATGTCACCTACACCAGCACCTATGGGTCGACTTACGGCAAGTCATATCTCGGACGGCCTTATTCGGAATACAGCATTGCGGTCTACATGAACTCCTACCTGGATAAGCACATCAACGCTGCTGGCTGGGAACAGTGGTCGACAAGTTCTCCCAACACCGCGTATGTGACTTTCGGAGAATACAACAATTCCGGTCCTGGAGCCTGGTCCTCGAGCCGTGTCTCTTTCGCTACCAACCTGACTGCCACCCAGGCAGCCTCGTATAGCTTGTCGTCATGGGTCGGCGATACTACTTGGCTGGACATGACTGCCTATAACTATGTGCCTTCATACAGTCTGACGGGACCGTCAACCGCGACCAGCACCAACACGTCGACGTCGACTGTCACTGCCATCTGGGCGCATCCGACTAGTGGCACTGTGCCCCCGGCAGGTGCAGTACTCGTCTCGCCTAGCGGTGCTGTCAACGGCTCGTACAGTAGTCTGACCGACGCGCTGGCTTCTCTGCCCGATGACTCTTCCACTCAGATCATCTTCATGTACGCCGGCTCGTACAACGAGCAAGTGCCGTCAGTGGACCGTGATGGCCCAGTGATGATCATTGGCTATCAGTCTGGCAGTCCCGGTGCTACATACACGAACAATCAAGTCACCATTACCTACTCGCGGGGCTTGTCTGTCAGTCCTTTGCCGACAGGTCACTCGGATGCTGAGACAGCTACTTTCGCCACCGCCAGCAACCAGATTGCTTTGTACAACATCAATATCATCAACACCGACAACCTGGACGGCTCGCAGTCATCATACGTGACTCTCGCTGGTTCGATCTATGGCTCTGAAATCGGCTTCTACGGCTGCAGCCTCGTTGGCTGGCAAGACACCCTGCTCACCGGCAGTACCACTGGCTACCAATACTACGAATCGTCCTACATCGAGGGTGCCATCGACTTCATCTGGGGTTACTCCAAGGCCTACTTCAAGGGCTGCACTATTGGTGCCAAACGTCAGAAGTCTGCCATCACTGCCCAAAGCCGTGCCTCATCGACCGCCGTTGGCGGGTATATCTTTGACCAGTGTCTTTTTGAGGCAGCCAGCGATGCCACGGTCGACTTGACCGAGCTTGTCTACTTGGGTCGGCCTTACTCAAAATATGCGCTTGTGGTTGTGAAGAACTCTTATCTCACGGATATCATCAACCCCTCTGGCTGGAAGGTCTGGAGCACGACTGATCCTCGCACCGACTATGTCACGTTCGCTGAGTATAACAACTCTGGCCCCGGCAACTGGGAGAATAATGCTGCGTCGCGTGAGGCCTTTGAGTACTGTACGTTGTTGACCTCGGACACATACACGTTGACCGAGGTTATGGGCTCGACTGACTGGATTGATATGACTTACTGGAACTCTATTGTCACCCCTCAGCCTGCGTCTACAACTACAACTACCACCGGTTCGAACTCAACCACGGTCTATAATGGAACGACTCCTCCGGCTGGGGCTTACATTGTGTCGAAGACGGCTATTGCCAATGTGACGACCTATGATACTATTCAAAGTGCACTCAACGCTCTGCCTACCTCCAGCAAGGTGACACCCACGGTGTTCATCTACCCTGGTACGTACGAGGAACAGTTGGTGGTCAACCGTTCCGGCACCACGATCTTCATGGGATACTCGGACAATCACCTCGATTATTCGAGCAACCAGGTAACGATCCAGTACAACCACGGTGTGGACACGCAGGCCGACGAGTCCAACTCGGACAGCGCCACCGTATATGCTACGGGCAACTACTTCCAGGCAGTCAACATCAATTTCGTGAACAATTACGGCACTACCAAGAACTACGCCTCCCTCGGATTCGCCGTCAAGTCTAGCAAATACGCCTCACTTTATGGCTGCCAGGTCACGGGTAATCAAGATGCGCTGTTGATCAACGGCTACTTCTTCGCCAGCAACAGCTACATTGAGGGTAATATCGATATGATCTGGGGTTCTGGATCTGGCTACTTCCTCAACTCGACCATCTCTCCCAACGAAGATGGCATTAACCTGACGGCCGACAAGCGCAGTACTAGCACCACGGTTGGCGGCTTTGTGTTCGACCAGTGCACCATCACCCCGGCTTCTGGAGCTGGCAGCATGTCCGAGATCTCGTTGGGTCGCCCCTGGAACAACTACGCTCGCGTGGCATATGTCGAATCGTACCTTGACTCCTGCGTCGAGGCGGCTGGATGGGAGCAGTGGTCCTCCAGCAGTCCCCAGACCGATGGTGTTCTGTTTGGTGAATACCAGAACTATGGTCCTGGATCGTCCACCGCCGATCGGGCGTCGTTTGCGACAGTCCTGGATGCCAGTACGGTCGCCCAATTTGAGCTCACCAACTTCTTCGCCTCGACTTCCTGGATCAACTTCACTCTGGTTGATGGCACTCCTTTCGTGCCGGGCAACTCGACGACCCTGCCAGTCACCAGCACCGGCGTGATGCCCAGCACATCAGTGTTGGCCACGGCAACTCCCACGGCGACTTTCACTACCCTCGTGACTGTCACTGATAAGGAGACGGCCTTCACCACCCTTACACCTGCTGATCGTACCTCCACTGTCAAGGTGACGGTCACGCAGGACATTGGCACTACCGTGACTCTGGCTGAGTCTTTCAAGACTACCGTCGAGAAGACCACCATATCCAGCACCACGACCATCGTCGAACCGACGGTGACGAGCATCAAATCGACGGTGATCACCAGTTCGGAAATCGAGACCATCACGGCTCCTGCTAGCACCAAGACGACTACTGTCAAAGACACCACGACGGTCACCGCTACCGTCACCGAGGGCGATGTCACCACCACGGTCAAGAGCACGGTCACCGCCACCAGCACCGTGACCTCGTCTGCCAAGGCCAAGACGATCACCGAGACCGTGGCCAGCACGACAACCAGCGTTAAGACCTCCACTCCTGGCACCGTCAAGGTCACCTCGTACACCACCGTCACCAAGGGCAGCGGCGGTACTAGCACGAAGAGCACCAAGGCCACCACCACCACCATCGACGTGACCTCCACTAAGACCACCACGAAGAGTATCACCACCACCCTCAGCTGTATCCCTGCCGCCAACGCCAAGCGCGCTCTGATTCTGCCCCGCGCTGCTGTGAACGCGGCCACAGTCACTCAGTATACCACCCTGACGACCTATGTCAAGACCTCGACTGACGAGCTCGCCTCGCCTACGGTCTACGTCACATCTACCACAACCAAGACCACTGGCAAGACCTCGACACTCAAGGCCTCCACTAGCACCATCACCAGTGTGTCGGCCACCACCAAAGTGGCCACAGAAACCATCAAGGCCGTCACCGTCATTCTGACAGAGAGCAGCACCACGGTGGTTGCAAAGACTACTACGCTCAAGGCCAGCACGATCACTGACACGATCACGTCGGCGGCCACAAAGACCTCGACTGTGTCTGTGCCGGGAGCGACGGTGACCGTCACCAGCCTGAAGACCACCACGATCAAGTCCACGGTCACCTTGCCCCAGAGCACCATCACCAAAACCAAGGCCACCGTGACCACTGTCAAGGAGACCGTCACTCTGGCGACTCCTACCACTACAGTGCTGAAGACAACCACTCTCAGTCTTGAACCCTCGGTGACAATCACGGAGCGGACGACCAGCACTCGCACGTCTACTATCAATCAGACCGTCACCGAGACGGAGACTGTGACCAAGACCTCGAAGAGTGCCAAGGTCTGCCCTACTGACTGAGGGATCCACTCTCTTCATCCTCTTTTCGAATTCGGGTTTGAGATTCCTGTAAAGTAGTTATATAATTTACTTAATCTATGCTTTAATACTCCAAGCGATGTGTATTGAATGAGTAGTTGCTTGTCATTGTATGTATTGAAGATTGGGCGAGTAGGATGCGGAGTGCCCCGAACGCTCTTGATTTCAGCTTGACACGAGCACATATATATCTTTAGCAGACAGCAATTGTGAAAAGGAGGGATGCTTGGAGGCTGTCCAACAATGTTTTCCCAGCGTCAGTATCACTTTCTCATAGAAGGAGCAGGACAAACTGTCAATTCAGTGTCAAATATGTGGTATGTGTAGTTGGGATAATGTAAGGTGTGTGATGAAGTGCAAAAGATGTCGCATGATTGTCCAGCAGACTTAGTTGTGTGATGGAGTGTGAGACCAGGAAAAAAAGACTTTCCTCAACAGCTGGCCTGCTGGCCCAATGGTAAGGCGCTTGACTACGAATCAAGAGATTGCAGGTTCGAGCCCTGCGTAGGTCATTCTTTTTTTGCCCTGCGACTTTTAACATCATCATTTTGTGACTCTCAGTTACTTAGAATTCCGCGATTAGTCAACCTGCATTCAACTTCACCACCGCTACTCAAAGCTTCGCCTGTCGAGATTTCTTCTCCCGATCGCGCAGCAACCGTCGCAGGATCTTCCCACTGGGACTCTTGGGAATGAGATCCACAAACTCGACGCCGCCCTTGAGCCACTTATGCCGGGCCTTGGTCTCCTGCACATGCGCGACAATCGCCTGGACGGTGGCGGCATCATCCGGTCCAGTCTGCGCCGATTTGACAACAAACGCCTTGGGCAGCTCGCCGGCCTCGGAATCGGGCACGGGGATGACGGCGCAATCGCCCACGGCGGGGTGCGCCAACAAATGCGCCTCCAGTTCGGCGGGGGCCACCTGCAGCCCCTTCACTTTGATCAGTTCCTTGATCCGGTCGATGATGAACAGATGCTCGTTGCCCTGGGGGCTCAGCCGCATCACGCCCACGTCGCCCGTGTGGTACCAGCCGTCCCGGTAGGATTCGACGGTGGCTTTGGGGTTGTTGAGATACCCCATCGTCACGTTGGGGCCAGCGATGATGACCTCGCCTGGAGTGTCGTAGGAGGTGATTTCGCTGCCGTCGGGGTCGAGGAGCTTCCACTGCGAGCCTGGCATCGGACAGCCCACGGAGCCGGCCCATTGGTCGATGATGGGGGTTAGGCCGACTACGGTGGTGGCTTCGGTGATTCCTGGTGGAGGGCACTGGGTCAGTGGTGTATCGGAATGTATCATTGTGTTGGTGAGCACCCACCATAGCCCTGACCGATATTCATGGCGGGATACTGCTCTCGCACCGCTGCCTCGATTTCCTCGCCCAGCGGAGCTGCCCCCGTGAAGAGTCCCACCACGCTGCTGAGATCATACCGTCGGCACAGCTCCTGGCTCTTGGCGATGCGCAGCACGATGGGTGGCACGAGGAGGAGAATGGTGATTCTGAAACGTTGCGTCGCCTCCAGGAGGCTCTCCAGCTGGAAGCGCGCGAACACCACCGTCTGGTCGCCGCGGTAGGCCGCGTAGTGCGCGACGTAGTTCAGCCCGTAGGCGTGGCTCATGGGCAAGACACAGCTCGTCACCTCGGACTTGCCCTTGGTGCGCATCCCCGACGATTCATCGTATTGCTTGAACTGGAGGATGTTGGCCATCATGTTGTAGTGGGAGATCATCACGCCTTTCTGGGGAGAGGACAGTCAGTGGCCGGGAAGAGAGGGAGGGTTTGGCTGTGCGAGAGATATCGTACCGGCAGCCCGGAAGTACCGCTGGAATAACACAAAAATGCTGGCTGACGGCGACCCTGCCCGGCCTGCCATTTCAACGGAGCTACTGGGGGCAGCGTCTGGCCTGCTGCGACCAATTGTGATACCGTCTCGAACTCCGATGCTGCGGCGGGGAGCGACTGGCCCGGTTCGACGGGCGTCTCGAGCACGAAGACGCGCTGACGGGGGATCCCGACTTGGGCTGTCGCTTCCAGCGCGGTGGCCAACAAGGGCAGACAAGTGAAAAGCACCGTGGCCTTGGAGTCCCTCATCTGATAGGCCAATTCCGAGGCCGAATACGCGGCGTTGGCGGGCGAGACTATCCCCGACAATCGATGCACCGCCCAGGACAGAGGCATTGTGTCGATCTTTTAGGGAACGTCAGCATTGCTCCGGGTGGGACTCTGGATGTGACTTCAGGGACTGTTGACCCACCGTATTCATACTGAAGATTCCAATGACTTTGTCTTCTGCTGCCCCGGTGTTGGGTTCCCAGCCCAACTCGCGAGAAAGGGCCCGGGCCATGTAATCCACCCGCTGGACGATCTCAGCCGGTGAGTAACCCTGGCCGGTGACATTGCAAACGTATGGAGCGGGCGATTGGTCGATGGGAGCACGCCCATATCGCTCGTCGAGCATGAAGTCGCAGAGGGGGACCGTGTCGGGGATGGGAGGCAATTCGCCTACCCACTTGGGCGGAAAAAAGACCATGGCGGGAGATCTAGAGAATGGATGCTCGCTGGTGTCGAGGTATTCGAAAAGACGGAAAGAAAATGCAGCAGTGGTGGATGGAGAAGGCCTTTAATAGCAGACGCCGACGGTGGTGTTGCTGACCTCAGAGAATGATCCCTGCTTGGCTCTTCCTAAGCCTTCAGCCGCGTCTCACCATGACAGGATGACTGCAGGCCCCATCGAGCAGCTCGATGAACCGCCTCATTGGAGGTTGAGATGATCAGCAGCCTTAGCCCGGGCCTACCCACCGGCCAGCGTAAGCCGAGGCAAGCGAAGCAGCCAACATTCGTCCTCCAGATGGCTTTCCTGGCTCCACTGGGGGTTTCAACGGCGACCGTTGGCCTGGGGATCAGACCACCTAGACTAAGGGCCACCTGCCAGCTCAGTAGGTGGAATGAGCACAGAGATCGATCCTGGAGATCATTAGCATGAGCCATGCAGCAAGATCCTTTCTTGCGAGAAGATGGAGTGGTCGACTCGAAGAGTGAGGACCTCGCGGAAACCCTAAGTCCGCAGCCGGAGATCCCCAACAATGGCTTCGTTTCCAACGGTCGCGATTTTGCTGAAGTCGAAATCATCTCTAAAAACCACATGGATGTAGATGTTATGACTCCAATGCATGGATTGCGATCGTAGCTTGGTCTATGAAGCATGTTATTCTGGTTGCTGCCCAGGAAAATCGAGCATAGTGAGTCCTAGACGGGACGGCGAGAAAGAGCCCGGGAGAGGGAGGTAGTCAAGCGCCATCGCAGTCGCCACTGACCAAACCTACACCAATCTTTCGAACAGGCCGTATAGTGCATATTTGTGGATAGTTGTATGCTCACGTACGGAGTATAAGTATGTCCTTCGATCTGCTGCACATACCACGCCATGGGCAAGGGTGGCTTCCCCACATCCTGCCCGGTCGCAGCCGGACTACTACTCACTGCGGGTGAAATCTCCGACCTCCAGCAGCATCACTAGTCCAGGGTGGCGCGAGGAGCAGAGCCAATAGTCAAGCAATAGACTGGAGATCTCGAGCATCATGCGGCCTCATTCCCATGTGGGAACCCGTGCAGAATGAGCAGAAGGAGCATGGCCTGGGAACCTCCTCTTCCCCTGGCTTCGGTGGGGTACAACACAAATCGAAAAACCTAATCGAGCTTAATTGAGAGCGAGATCCAGTGAATTCACTGAAATGCCAACTCTTCGGACTTGACCGTGAGCGTTCAGGGGCAAATCTGGTGGATAGTCGGCCTAAATTGCTGGATTGTGTGAGGCGCCCCTCCGCCGTCGCCTAAACTCGCCTTCTTTGCGCCTCTAGTGAACGCGATCCATTCGAAGGCCACAAGAAACCAAAAAAAAGAATACGAGTCCGACCAGGAGAGCTTGAACAGATCCTCACTATATGTTCAGCTCAATCCCTGCCTTTCAACATGGATAGACAGGTAGTTGGTACACGATGGCTCCTCTACGTACCCTGCTCTTCGGAGCGGGCTTGATGCCGCTGATCCAGATGGCTGCGGCCTGTACGGGCACCGATGTCATTCAAGGAGGGTCGTCGGCGTACACTTCCTTCTGGAGTACGAGTGCCGGCCCTACACTGAAGACCTTTTCGGTGGTCGATACTGGGGGTCCAGATGGCGGTGCCTACCTGTAAGTGTGCCTAGTCAATGCGTAGCCAAATGCATAGCCAAGATGCAGGCGAACCCTAACCCCCTTACAGTGAGATCGACGATTTCAGCTATAGCTGGGTGATTGTGCGTCAGAACATTCCCTCGGTGGAGGTAGGCACCTCCTATCATGTCTCCCTGGACTGGTCCATCACGACGGACGATTCGACCGGAGCCTCCTGTACCCTTACAGTCGCCGTCGAAGGCAATTCCTTCACTGCAGCATCTGCTGCCCTCGTGGCTGGCCGTTCCAGTGGCTGGTCGAGTGTCTCTGGGACGTACACGCCCACTTCCTCCACCGGAATTCCTTTTGTGATCACCATCAGTTGCTCTCAGGGAGCTTCCAACGGAAACCCTGTCGTTGGCCTGGCCGACATCTCCATGGTCAGCGCCTGCTCGGACCCAACCTCCTCCGCGAGTGCCGCAAGCACCGTCACTTCCGCCACAAGCGACAGCACGTCGAGCGCCGTGAGCACCACCAGCAGTGACGCTTCGCTGGGCTCCTCGACTACGGCCTTGGCTACAACGACTTCTTCCTTCCCCGCTGCTTCATCCACCGCCAGCAGTGCTTCGACAGCCACCTGGTCGACGTCTTCTGGCACGACCGCTGCAACCGATGACAATGGCACCACGCTCACGGCCGATACCACTGCTGGAACGTCTCTGGAGGCGTCACAGTCCGTAGATACCTCCGACGATGCCTCGGTTTCGGGCACAATCTCAGTTTCCGATTCGACTGCCACCAAGCGCAAGCGCAGTGGTGTCTCCTGCGCGCTGAGCATTTATCAGGGCAACGATCTCATCGACAGCCTGACCGTCCCAGCGGGTTCATCGGCCCCATTCTCGACCTGCCTAGGCAGTTCATCCTCCAGGACCTCTCCCCTCACGATCAAGGTGGTTTGTGATGGAACCGGGGCCACGGTTGAGGTTTCGGATCTTATTGTGGACACCAGTCTTGCGGCTGTCGAACAATGCGCCGCCTCTGCTGCCGCTGCTGCTACTCCTACTATTTCTGCGGCTGCGTCCAACTCGCCTCTCACTTCCCAGAGCTCGGCTATTGCTGTTCAAAGTCCATCATCTGCTGTCAGTGTTGCCGTGCAAAGCCCTACTCCCAGTCCCCAGGCCAGCTCGAGTGTGCCTTTGTTTGTGACCCGTCCCAGCCCATCAATCATCCCAAGCCCTAGGCCCAGCTCTGGCTCTGTTCCCGGTTCGAGCTCCTCCGGTTCGGACTCCTCTGGTGCTGGCTCTTCTGGCTCTGAATCGTCTGGTGGGTCGAGCTCCTCTGAATCCTCGTCTGGATCCTCGTCTGGGTCTGAATCATCAGGAGCTGTCGCTGGATCTAGTTCTTCTGGCTCGTCGAGTTCTTCTGGTTCCTCTTCTGGTTCAGCTTTCACTTCTGGCTCGTCAGGCTCATCTAGCTCTTCTTCTGGCTCGACTAGTTCGTCTGGTTCCTCGTCTGCTTCTGGATCGTCGGGAGTCAGCGCTGGATCTGGGTCGTCCAGCTCTAATGCTTCCGGAGTGTCCAGCTCGTCTATCTCCCAGCCGGGCTCTGGCTCAACAGTCAACACTTCGGGGTCCAGCAACGCTATCTCCGGCTCTGGGGCTTTCACCACCTCCACCGTCTCGCACACGGAGGTGCATACTGTCACAGCCTGCCCGTCGACCATCAAGAACTGCCCTGCCTCCGCGAAGACCACTTACCTGACCACCGAAACTGTGGTCGACTATACAACCATCTGCCCGGTTACTGCCACGGGGACCCACGTGCCTGCAACAGCCACCCGCGCGTCCAGTGCCACTGAACACGAGGGATTCACCACGTCCACCGTGTATACAACCTCCGTGCATACGGTGACCGCTTGCCCATCTTCGATCAAGAATTGCCCCGCCTCGAAGCAGACCACGTACCTCACGACTGAGACTATTGTGGACTACACCACTATTTGCCCGGTGACTGCCACCCAGACGGGCGTCGCCACCGCGGCCACGGTCCCTACAGGCCCTATCTCTCGTGTCACCGAATATCATACCTCCACGGTGTACAGCACATCGGTTCGTACGGTGACTGCTTGCCCGTCAGGTTATCAGAACTGTCCTGCATCGGCGAAGTCGATCTTTGTAACCACCGAGACGGTCCCTGCGCATCTGACAACATATACTGTGGTGGCCACTGAGCCCCATGCGACCGCACGGCCCGCCGATGAGGAGGTCTATTCCACCTCCACAATGTATGATACTGCTGTTTATACGGTGACGGCTGTTCCTATGGGATCGACCGACCAGACTGCTCCCCAAGAGACTGTCTCTGTGTATACCACCCCGATTCCAGTTAAGACCACGGTCTATTTGAATGTCGAGTCCATCGGATCGGCTGCTGCTCTGTCTGGTGCTATGGGCACGGAGATCTCCAAGCCGGAAGGTGTGAATGTAGTTGGTGCGACACAGTCCGCCACCAGACTGGGCTCCAATGCCCAGGTTGAGGGCAGTGGTGTGCTATCTTCTTCAAGCTCACAGTCCCCAAGCCTGCCGGGCTCCCTGATCCCCTCAGTCAGAGCATCCTCTGCGGTCGCAGCGTCTGCCGCAGCCTCGTCTCCGGCTGGTACTTATGCTGGATCCTCCACTACCACCGCCGGGGGCGCGCTCTATACTGGGGCTGCCGCATCCCTCTCCCTCTCCCTCTCCTCTAGCCTCATTTGCGTGGTGGTGAGTCTTTTCGCTGCTTTGATCTTGTAAATAGAATGGCAATCTAGTACTCTAGTGAAATTGCATGAGCACATGGGCACATGGGCAAATCCAGAAACACTTTCCCGCACGTGTCAGCCAAGACGATAGACAGGAGTAATGCAGGTACTACAAGAGCTAAAGCCTTGGTTCATGAAAACAATTAATGGAGTGGAGACAGCTATCGGGCACGTGGTCCGAGGGCGCGGTGATTCTGGCTAATCTGGCCGGGCCTCCACGGGTTAACAACGCTAAGCAAATTAACCCTCATTTCGTCGGCAGCACACGGCAGCACATGGCCTCCCGTCGCCCTTTCATAGGCAAAGTCCGTCTCTCGCCTGTCGCTTGACCATTGCCGATGATACAGTGGCGTGCAGTGACATGCAGTGACATACAGCGATGCATGCATGAAAAGGGGGTTCCAGCAATAATCATGCTACTCTCTGTGCTTAACTTTAGTATATATTGGGCCGGTGCAGACCCCCGTTGGATGCTGCTGAGAGTCGATCAGAGCACTGTGCGCATTGCCAATTGCTTTCTCTTCTATTATGGCTACGTTCGCTGCTGTCGCTGCTCTGCTGGGAGTTGCCAGTGCCGGCCCGGTTCTGGCCCCGGTCAACGATATTCTGTTTCCTGCGACTGCCCACTCTTCCAACCCCTTGATCTATTCTGGCGGGAATACGCCCTACTTTACTGGTGAGTTTCATCCACGTCCGTCTAGCACTTGGCCCGACTGATGCAGAAACCAGGCCCGAACGTCAATGGCATCTCCAACGAGGTTCCCTCGCAGTGCACCGTTCAGCAAGCTGCCTATGTGGTGAGACACGGAAGCAGGTGAGCCATGTCTGGAAATTAGAAGTAGCAGGAGTGACGTGGCTAATGGCAATCAGATTCCCCGACAGCGGCTCCTACGGTTCATGGGTGGCTCTTGAGGAGAAGGTGGGTCCATAGCGACAGGAGGCTCCCCCATCTCAGTGCACACCTGATAACTCACAATCGGTAGATCCAAGCGGCCGTGAAAGGCAAGGGCTTCAAGGCGCGCGATGAGCTCTCGTTCATCGCCGACTGGAAGACTGTCCTGACCAACACCACTCTGCAAATGTCCCAAGAGTCGATGACGGGTCGCAAAGAGGTTGGGAGAATCACATCAAACCTGAAGACCATGGCACGACTAACCGAGCCAGGCTGTTGATCTCGGTTACACTTTGCGCGCTCGCTGTGAGTTCCCTATCCCTGGAATAGAATGAGGCATCCAGGCTAACGATCAATAGACCCCGATTTCTACGAAGACGGCCACCCTTTCTACGTGTGGGCCAACCAGTACGCGAACCCCATCAGCACCTCGCGCGTGGTCCAGACCGCGCAGGCCTTCTTGCAGGGATACATGTACGAGTTCGCCGACACCTATGGCAAGGTTGTCAGTGTCAACTCGACGGGCTCTGTCAATGCGATTGGCAACTCGCTGGGACCCTCGGATGCGTGTCCCTTGTATGTCAACAATGCGTATAACAATGTGACAAACTGTAGGTGGCTCATGACATTCGGGAAGCCACTCTCATGAGGGACGGACTTGCTAACTGTGCTCAGGGGATGCGACGTGGATGCCCGCGGCCATCAAGCGCATCAACGCCCTGGTCAGCGGCAATCTGACATTCACGGAAACTGACCTGACCTTCTTCCCCTACCTGTGCGCCTATGAGAGTCAGATCACGGGCCAGCTGAGCGACTGGTGCAATGTCTTCACCCAGGACGAGTTGACCAAGTATGCCTATTCGCAGGATCTGAGCTACTGGTACGGTGTGGGACCGGGTTCGTCGGATCCCACCAAGCTGCTCTTCCTGCCCTTCCTTGAGAGCTTCTTGGATCTGCTGGCGCAGGGCCCCGGCCAGAACGGCACCGACGTGGATGGCAGTCCCTTCACCGTGCCCAAGCTCATCATGGCTTTCTTGAACGACAACCAGATCGCCGAGTTGACCGCCGGCATGGATCTCTTCCAGGACCAGACCCCGTTGCCCGATGACCGGATCCCCTCCAACCACCGGTACAACGTGGCCCACTTCATCACCATGCGTGGTACCGTTGGGTTCGAGGTGCTCAACTGCGAGACGACCACCAAGAAGAAGACTACCGAGGACACCTATCTGCGCATCCTGCTCAATGATGCCGTCTATCCTCTGCCCATGTGCAAGAGCGGGCCGGGCAGCAGTTGTCTCCTATCGGACTACGTCACCTATATCAAGAAGAAGAACGCGGAGGCAGGCAACTTCATCGATTACTGCAATGTCACGCAGGCTGGTCACCCCGAGACCGTGGCCGGGGCCAGCTTCTTCACCGACTTGACTCAGGACTTCTTGACTCTCGTCTCTCCTTGAGCATGATTGAGCATACTGGGAATTCTTTGCGTGGACTGAATGCGTCCTCGCGTGTATAATAAATACGTTCTGATAGAAGGATCTTAAATCATCTCACGTAATAACTATTAGTCTATCGAGTTCACTTTCTTGTATCCAGCCACCAGACGATGTCGCACCACCGGGACCAAGGCAAGCAGCAGCCAGACCAAGGTACTGAGCGCCAGCCCGGCGGCAAACACCACAACGACGAAGGAGGGCGACCAGCTCTGCTTCTCAGGTGAGGGAGGAAAGAGGAGCGCCCGGGGGTCATCAGGCTGAGGCCGGTCTGCTCCGGGGGCCCAGTAGGTGGGCGGACTGCTGCGCACCATCTCCGAGAATCCCAAGCTGTTTTGGCCGGCGTCGAGAGCCTCTGCCGACACCCAATCCATGTATCCGCGGGCGATGAAGCTGGTCTCGAAGCCCGTCTTGGCCACTGTGCCGATGAGCGTCTTCTCCCCCTCTGCGGCCCTCTGCGCCCAGAACCGCCAGAACTTCACCTCGGTCGCTCCGTTCCAACTCACGTGGCATTCGGTCAACAACTCGGAGCCATTGATGCCGGCTACCGACGCGACTATGACCGGGGGCTCGGCGGGCGACGCCGACCAGGGGGATTTGTAGGCGCGGTAGTTGCCGAACCGGTCGCTGGCGAAGCGGGCTTCGGTCAGAAGGCGGCCGCCGTGATCAAACTCGCTGATGTACCCAAAGTCACTCCGGGACACAAACATGTTGTTGTTGGGGAGGAGTTGCGCGCTGCCCCGACGTCGCGTCAGGTCGCCGTCCGGTCGCAGATACTGGTTCAGCAGCTTCGCCTCGAAGTTGACCAGGTCCAACTCGACGATCATGGCGGCAGAGACGGGCTTGTTCTCGCTCAGCTCGTCCGCCGCGTTGTCCAGGAAGGACATCACCATGCGCTCCGGGGTGTGGAGGATGATACGCGCATCATGCTGCCATGAGAAGTCGAAGTCCTTCTGGAAATTGTTCCCCTTGCCGCCCAGTCGCCACAGAATGGCCCCGTCCTGTCCGGATATCAAGTAAATGGTGCTGGAGTGGCGACACGACATCAGGTAGTCCCCGTCCTTGGTCTTTTCGATCGCATTGCAGTGGATGTAGTCGGCGCCACGGGGAGGGGTTCCGACGGTGATGTCGACAAAGGTCTCGTGGAGCGGGATTCTCCCCTCGGAGTTCCATTCGAAGAAGACGTGGCCGGTGGTGTAATCGATATCGCGAAAGCCCTGGAATTTGATCTCGCGGGAGACCCCCGGCAAGCCGATGTCGGCCAGGTCCACGACCTTGGGCCACTGATGGATGGCCAGCGCTTTGTGAGGAGCGTAGACGTAGAACTCGTGCTTGTCGAAGACGGGGGTACTGGCCACTTGGCGATACTGTTGGTCGAGGACGGTGCCATTCGCAAATTCCAGATCCACCCCAAGCCCGGTCTGCACCATCAGGGACAGCTGAGGCTTGCCGAGGAGGGAATTGGTCACAACGCGCAGGTCGAAGGCGTTCTTATTGTCGGTGTATGCAGCCCCGGTCCAAACCAGATCGCCGTCCTGGCCATAGATGTAGGGGCCGACCTGATAGGGCATCCATCGTGTGGTGTAGGGTTCTCCCACGGTGACCCAGTAGGGGGCGACAAACCAGTAGCCCGGGGCGGTGGCATTGCGATGATAATGCGTGACGTTCCATTTGGGGATGCGATGCTGCGGTAACTGGATTGCCCCATTAGTCAAGGCTTAGTCAGGGCTTAGGCACAACGTCATGGAGAAACCCACGGTCCGAAACACCATCAAGTCTGAGTCATCCGAGGCGGTGAAGTCGCTGGCCACAATCCGGGCCACAATAAGCAGCAGCAGCCCACATAGTAGTGAACCGGGTAGCATCATGGTGGCATGGAGTAGAACGAATGACAATGCCTGCTGATCAAGAAGATCTTTCTTTTTCCTGGACCAAGGGGCTCGAGGGAATTTTATTCATGGTACGGAGTACTAGTACGGAGTAGCGTCGCTTGATTTTACCCCAGATGCATCGAGACTGAGAGAGATAGGGGAAGGGGGAGCTGATCGATGGATCGATCCACCTCGGATTCGCCGCAAAAACCAGTCCAGACCACGGTGGCCACCATGGCTTCTGACATATCATCCTGGCTTCCACACGAAGAGGCAGAGGTATCTGTTCTGGGGTAGTGAACCTTGGGTGTCCCAAGTCCATAGTACTCAAACTGAGCCCGACGGAGATTGCGGTTGTCGATCGACCGCAATAGTATCTCTATATAGTACCTTAGGGCAGGGACCATCCACCCAGTGACTCACCACGAGGAAACTTGGCTAGATTATTAGCACGGATACCGTAAAGATTACAGCCCCACAATCTACCAAGCACGCAGGTTGCACTCTCAGGGTCTTTCTCGCTCTTCCGTCCACTCCCCGGTGGAGGTTGGCTCTGGGAATTGAACCGAGTCCGCAGCTTCCGACTCGAGTCCTTTGTCCCAACTTGCGCATTTCATTACGGTCTTGAGGAGAGCGGACAGTCCGCTGATTAAGTCGAGGTCATGGTTCGGAATGGTGAATCGGCAGTTCAAGGGGGAAAATTGAGTTTCGGCTCCACTGAATCTGGAGAATGTCATGGATCCGTATATCCGTATCTCCTTCGTCGTATAGTCCTTCCCCGCGTGCCCCCAGCCCAAGCCCCAGCCCCAGCCTCAGTTTTTCACCCTCCTTGCAACTTTCCCCGGTTGGTCCCTGCCTTTAAACCGAGTTGAGAATATTGCCTCAGACCTGACGAAGTCAGTCTCGTTCAAAATGGAGTCACACGATACCGTCCCACTCATCATCGACGGTCAAGACATCCGATGCTCTCTCCAAGAGAGACAGGGCACCGTTGCCAACCAATACCCCGGGGGTCCCGTTTTCTACCAGGGTGCTACCAGAGACCTCGCCCTCCAAGCTGCGCAATCCAGTGCTAGAGCATTCACAACGTGGTCCAAGACAACCCCCATTGAGCGTCGAACCCTGTTATTCAAACTCGCGCAGATTCTGAGAGACCGGGCCGATGAGATCAAAAGCGTGTGTTGTCAGGAAATCCACTGCGGACCGCTGTGGGCGGACATCATCACGAACGACAGCATTGGTCTGATTGAAGAGTACGCTGCGCTCACCACCAGTGTGGCAACCGGGTCGATTCCGTACATTCAGCAAGGCTATGGCATGGTCCTGAAAGAGCCGCTGGGAGTGGTGCTGGGGATCGCCCCTTGGAATGCACCGATCATCCTGGGTCTTCGGTCGGTAGTGGCCCCTATTGCGGCAGGAAATGTCGCCATCTTGAAGGTAGGCTTCCTTGAGAGATGAAAGTGAAGGTGTGCCGTACATTCCGGTGGCTGACGCCAGAGATTAGGGCTCCGAGCTTAGCCCGCATACTCACTACCTCCTGGCCTCCCTGTTCCGCGAGGCTGGCTTCCCACCCGGCGTTCTAAATTTTCTGCTCCATCGCCCAGAAGACGCCCCGGAGATTTTCGACGCTCTCATCAACCACCCGGCCATCAAGAAATGTAACTTTACCGGCTCGACGCAGGTCGGCCGGATAATTGCATCCCAGGCCGCCATGGCACTTAAGCCGGTGTTGTTGGAGCTCGGAGGCAAGAACTTCACGGTAGTGCTTGACGATGCTGATCTGGACCTGGCGGCCAGAGAGATTACGAAAGGCGCCTTTCTCAATGTAAGTCACTCTCTGTGCCTGCGAGGAACGCTGCTAACGCAGACCCAGAACGGTCAAATCTGCATGTCCACGGATATGGTCTTGGCCACGACTGCGGTGGCTCCGGCTCTCGAGGCGAAGATTCTGGCCATCCTGCATGAGATCGAGACAGCACCGATGGTCATCTCTCCGGCTGCGAAAGCCAAGTTGCAGATGCTGGTGTCCGACGCACAGGACAAGGGCGCTGGAATCCACACTGCCTCTAGGGCCGTTGGCCATACCCCGCAGAGCTTTCCTCCGACCGTGGTAACAGGATTGACTCCGGAAATGAAACTGTACGAGATTGAGTCCTTTGGGCCGGTCGTTGGGATCGTTTCACTGGAGACCGAAGAACAGATTGTCTCTGTGATCCAGGAAGCCAAGTACGGCTTGTCTAGTTCGATTATCTCGAGAAACCACTATCGCGCTCTGGAACTCGCGGGATCTATCAAGGCCGGGGCGGTGCATATCAACTCTATGACGGTGCATGATGAACCGACTTTGCCGCACGGGGGGTACGGCGATAGCGGATGGGGTCGGTTCGGCGCTCGGTGGGGGTTAGAAGAATTTGTCCAGACGAAAGTCGTGACTTTGCATCCTTAGATAGTGCTGAATCGCGACGAGTGCTGAAAAGACTACAGTAGTGCAATAAAGCTTCTGCTGGATCATCGTTGTCCGATCCAATGCGTATCCGTACCCATGCAATGAGTGGTGTAGCCACAACACGGATAAGTATACTTCCGGCAGGGTGAAGCTGTGGAGCCTCTGGATACGAGGGGGCAATCATCCTGCCAAGTATACAAGCCTAATAGTGTGAGCTTATCTGCAATTAGACAAGCTGGTTCGACTTGTAGATTAGTGCTTGTGTCGAACACCCTCCCTTGCGCGCTCAATCAGCCCCGTGACTCGTAAGCGATACGAGCAGGAATGCTTGGCAAAGGATCGGGGATAGAGACGAGTCACGAAGTGCTGCTGGCATCCGGGCAAGATTGCCATGTTAGGAATATGGATCTGATAAGACCTCGCTTGAGGAGCGGTCTTGGCACTCGGGGTTAGTCTACAGTCTACACAGTATACAGTTGTACTGCCAACGGTTCAAGCATCAGCTCATGGTCTTTCGTAGTTGCTCGGCTGCACTTGACGGCGTCTATAAATTCGATTCCACCCCTGTCTGGTTCTCCCTATCCAGCAGCAGCTTTTTTGCCCAGCATTCAAATCTTCGGATTTCAACCTATCAACCACAGCGTCCTCGCCGATATGCAGTTCAAGGTTGGTGAGATCGAGTGTTTTGAGAGTAAATATTTACTGACCTGACAGGCCCTCGCCCTCGTTTCCGCCCTCGTGGCCACTGCTGCTGCCACCATCGACGTGGCGTTCAGCGGCTACTACCTTGCCGACTGCGTTTCCCCGAGCGTTGAGTCCGCCAACGTCATCTCCGGTGGCTGTGGACCAGCTCAGGGTCTGCCGTTGAAGTCTTTCTCTGCGCATGTCTACTCCGGTAGTTGTGATGATAGCACGACCTCGCCCGTCTTGAAAGTTTACACCGCGACGGGATGTACCGAAGAGTCCTTATATGGCGAGTACGAGGTCAGCAGCACCACCCAGTGCTTTGAGGTGGATGCGACGTTCTTAAGCAGTGAGGTTGTGTGCGAGTGATTGGTGGTTGTTTTGTCGCGGATGTACCATAGACTATAGTCATAACATAGATAAACACAATGTGTATAATGCTCGGTGATATAGTCCGCTGCCTAGATGGGCATAGTCGCCAAGCACTCTCATGTGATGTGCTGACGCATCCATTGGCAGCCCCTGATCAGCATGAATTGTTGCAAGATCTGAATGACAACACCATCTTCTGGGGGATTTCATCTCGTCAGCTCCGTCGAGGTGGCTCAGCATGTCCCCGAAATCATCCGCTTCCCGTTGCAGTGGGGATACAGGAAGCGGCCTGCCCCTGAGATCCCGACTGGGGTGCAAAACTTGCAAGTGGGGTCTACCTTCCGCCCCAATGCCTGTCACGATCCGGGAGTTAAGCATGTTGTAATAGAATCCGTCGAGTCAAATGTGGACAAGAAAAGCCCGACTGTCTCCGATGCAGCAGCACCGGTCGCAAGTGCGAGTACGTCAAGGCTGTGGCGGGCACCTTCTCGTCCGCCTCGCCTCCTTCCACCGCAGCCCTCGATCATCCCCTGGCGTTTGCCCCCAACACCGTCTGGAGAGAACGTCGTGCTTTTGCCTACTACTTCGAACGCGTAGCCCTGTTTGTCGGGGGTGATCTGGATGTCGAATTTTGGGGCACTTTCGTGCCTCAGCTGTGTCAGGGAGAACCGGCCGTGTGGGATGCCATCATCTCTATCAGTGCCCTGTTCGAGACGCACGATCAGCCAACAAGTCTGGTCTCCGTGCCGCCCATTGACCAACCGCAGAGTGATGCCTTGGCCTGGTACTCGCGCTCCGTCTCGGCTATTCGTCAGCGCATCGAGCGCGGGCAGGTCGATATCTTTGTGGGACTGATTACTTGCGTTCTCTTCATTTGCATTGAGACCCTGCAGGGGCGCGAAAAAGAAGCCCTGCAGCTGTTCATGCAAGGGTTACAGCTCATCCAGGCTCTGCGCGTCCAAGTCTCGTCTGGCGTGATTCCCCCCTCCAAGGCAGTTTTGCTGGAGGATGTGATTGTCCCGATCTTCATCCGGCTCGGAGTGATCGCTTTTAGTGATTCGGCCACTCGGATGAACATTCTACTGAGAGCTCGTACCCCAGTATGGTCGGCTGAATTCGTATCCTTGAGATGCGCGCGCGAAGCTCTCACTAGTCTAGGGGCAGAGACCATGCTCTTCGAGCGCCAGTGTCTGGCCGAGCTATCGCAGGCGGATTGCTTTCATGTCAGCGAAAGGTTGCTTCACACACAGGCGATATTCTTCGAGCGATTGAAAGAGTGGGACGTCGCGTTCAAGAGACTTCTGGATTCGCTCCATGACAAAGGGCCACTCTCCCAACACCAGGTGGTCAACAGCGCGCTTCTCATAGCGTACCACAAGACCACCACCATTCTAGCGACCATTTGCGTATCCTCACTCCAAACCATGGCGGATCACTGCCTGGAGGACTTCCAGATCATTATCAACCAATGTGGCCTTGCTCTCGACGCGTCCAGGCGACGTGACGGCACACAGCCTCCATTCACATTTGATCTTGGTGTTGGACTGCCCCTGTGGTTCACGAGCCTCCGATGTCGTGAGCCGCGCATTCGACGCGCCGCAGTCGAGTTACTCCGTCGAGCGCCGCCTGTGATGGGCTTCTACCGTGCTACGGCGGCTGTTAGTTTTGCAGAAAACATTATCATGCTAGAAGAAGGAAACGCGATGGCGCTGAGACCCGCGAGTAGGCCTCAATCTTCCACAGAGCTGGTCTGGGACCAGGATGCCGAGGGTCGCATCCCTGGCCATAGTTTACCCCGGGAACAGGGCAGGCTTGTGGCTACTTTGGACAATGATGCCCACCTGGCGCTGGCGGACATTCCGGAAGAAGCGCGAATCGGACCGATTATTGTCGTGCGTCAGGACGAGAGCTCGTCACCGCGAACCATGCAAGAGGGTGTAATGAATAGCGATGATTCCAGCAACGAAGTGACGGGGATGCGGTTTACACGGAATCGGCGGGGTCCGGTGCAGAATACATGGCAGCGGGTGCATGAATACCTGCCTTTGTGAATGAGGGCAAGGGGGACAGACAGAGCAACACTAGCAATTCCAGAGGAAGACGCAGTAATTCACTGCAATGAAAAAGCAGTCACGAAGATGTTAAACATACTGCAGAAGCTCCATCTTGTGGAGTCTTATAGGTATGGGCAGTATGGACAATATGGACAGTAACTATATGGTAACAGGTAAGGGCTAGCTGACATGATCTATGGGTCCATGGCGCAACTGGGGCGTGGCAGGCGATTCGGCGTGAATTCTTATGGCTGCTTAGGGGGCCGAGTACATCGGGCGATTACGGGCTTGGTCCTCCGCGTACAACCACAGCAGACATCACTGGTCTTCTAAGGCGCTGTGCCCGGATCAATTAGTGCGTGGAATCTGTAGAACGTTTTTGCTTGGTCCTAACACACAGTATCTTTACAGCATAGCATCAAAAGGGGCAATGGCGCATCTGGGAGCGCGTCAGACTGAAGATCTGGAGGTGGCCGGTTCAAGCCCGGCTTGCCCCAACGTTTCTTTTTTGAAAATTCTCTTTTTGTTGTCTATATCAGCTCTAGCGGGTCATCCAGTAGCGAGGCTGGAAGTGGAGGCATCAAGCGAGGCGGGTAAGTTAGGGCTTGTTGCCTCAGACTGAGGATTGGGAGGGGACCCGTTCGACCCTGGCTTGCCCCATCTTTTCTTTTCTTTTTTTTTTCACTGCTTTCCCTCCTTTTTGTTGCGAATCACGTGCAGTACATATGTACATATGTACAAATTGGGAATCGCTACTGCTCAGTGCCCTCAGTCTTGCCATCCCGCTTCCCCTGCACCACGACTATCTCCTCCTCCTCCTCTCCATTACTGACCATCGCCTTCTTCCGGAAAACGGCCCAGACCCCAATCGTCCCCACTATCAATGCCAGCGCAGACCCCAAGGTGAATGCATAACCCTTGGTGAATCGCGGCCCCTCCACGGTCGGAAACACCAGTAATGGTGTCCAGGCAGTTGTGGACTGCGAGACCGCATTGATGACCACCAGGACCACGGCTCGTTCCTGCGGGGAATACCGGAGCTCGGTGTTGACCCACCCGTACAGCACGCTCGACATGGCCACACACGCATAGATTGTCGAGAACGCAAACCACTTGGCCGACTCGGGCACCTCCCAGATCGTGAGAATGATCAGCCCCAGGCTGTTCCTGGTGTGGGCTAGGACAATGGCCCACGCCGGACCCAGCCAGAGGTCTGATAGGAAGCAGACAAACAGAGTATAGAAGATGCCGAGGGCGGGGGCAATAGCGGAGAGATTGTTCAGGGTGGCCGTGCTGAAGCGTTGGAGCGATTTTAGCCACAGGAGATACCCCCCTGCGGAGGCGTGGAGGCCCGCATTCCAGAAAAGGACGTCTAGGACAAGGAAGATGTAGAATTTCTGGCTCTTCAGGAGTGAACGGCAGGTTTGAAGGGTGGAGAAGCCGGACGAGGTGAACCGATGACCGGTGCGCTCGAGTCGTTCACGCCCACGCTGGATGTCTTTTTGCCGAAGAATCAGTCGGTTGGGCTTGTCGGGAGTCCCGGGTAGGACGAAAAATCCCAGGATGCCTATAGGGATGGTGATGATCGCGCAGATGATGAACATCCATCGCCACCCGGCAAGGCCGGACACCCCATCCAGGCGCGAGGAAGCACCGGCCTGGATGAGGCTGGCTGTGAGGGTGCCCAGTGTCAGACCAACATAGAAGCAGCCCCCACGACGAGCGATCTCGTCTCCGCGATACCAGGCCCCAAAGATGTAATGCATTCCGGGGAAGAACGCCGCCTGATTGCCGATGAACGTCAGATGCAAATCGCCGCTTATGGGGGTACAGGGGGTACTTACCTCGAACCATCCCACCAGAAATCGGTAGGCCATCATCTCGCTGTACGATGTAGCCCGGTATTGGAGGAGAGTGAAGATGCCCCAAGCGATGTCCATGATGGGGATCAGCCATGAGATGGGCACTCGCGTAAAGAGATACGCAAATGGGAGCTGGCCAACCACCGCGCCCACCGTGTACATCGTCTGGAGGTTTACCAAGTCATCCCCACCGAGGCCGATCTCTTCTTGCATTCCCGATACATAGGCATTGTCTAAAGGCAGAAATCGAAAATGTCAGTCCTGATTTGCGGGGTGATGCGGCGAACTGACTCAGGTTGGCTTGGTCGATATATTTCGTCCAATAGGACAGAAAGGCATACGGGACAATCAGAGCATCCAGCTTGAGAATCAGCTTCTTGTCCTCGAGAGTATCATTCTCCGAGAACCATCGCATCTGATACCATCGTCGCTGCTTGGGAGAGGTCATTGTAACGGTGCTGGCTGTTGCAGGAGCGATAGAGTCCTAGCTGGGGGTTAAAAAAGAAAGTGCACACTACATCGGCCATGTCGCCATTGATGAAGAGATATGCAACATGGTGATCTGCAATCAGCGGAACTTGTCCGCAGGTTGTCTAGCTGCAGGTCAAGATATAGTTAGCAGATTGTGTTGAGAGGAGGGGATAAGGCGTGCTCTGCCAGTATCCCCGCAATGCTAACGATTCTCTTATCGCTCCTCGTGTATATCACTTGATCGGTCATTAGCTGCCAGCCCTAGTTCGGCTTCCGTGGCCAGCTCTTCCGAGGCCATCGTTGCGAGCAGCCCCAGAGTGACCTCGTCCATTGCGTCTAGTAGCCCTACGGCCCTGTCGAGCGCTCCGGCTGTCTCGATTAGCCCTCAGTTCAGCTTCTCCACTGCCCCGATCTCTGCCGCTTCCGGAACGGCTGCGTCGTCATCTGCGGTTTTCGTCTTTTCTAATGTTGTATCAGTTGCCCCTTCAGCTTCTACAGTGGTTGCAACTTCTCCGTTATCGAGGCCTGTGTCGTCTATCCCCCTTATCCGACCATCCTCATCGTTCCAGACGGTCGCTTCTGCGAGTGTTCCAGTGCCTGTTGCGCAAAGCATCTCAAGCTCCCAGGCTAGCATCCCGTCTTCGAGTGCACTCACAGCGATATCAAGCCAACCAGTCAATCCTCTGTCTCGGTCGTCCGCGAGTGTTTCAGTGTCTGCTGCGCAAGCCTTCTCCAGCTTACATGCCGCCATCCCTTCCGCAAGTGAATCGACGGCAGCATCTAGCCACCTTGTCGATTCCTTGTCTCTGTCGCCCTCGTCTCTCATCTCCGGTGCCGGTATTCGCACTACAGCTGCGTCGGCAGTCACGGTGACTCCTCCTACCAGCCTCTTCTCTGCAGACTTCACTACCTCTACGGTTTTGACGACGCGCACCTCGACGGTGACTGCCTGCCCTTCCACGGTGACGAACTGCCCCGCCTCCGCTCGCACCACCTATCTCACAACCGAGACCATTGTGGACTCTACAACCATCTGTCCCGTGACGGCCACGGAGACGGCCGGAGCCAGCGAGATAACCTCCAGCGTCTTCAGTACTCGCACTACCACGATCACCGGCTGCCCATCGAGGCTTTCCACCTGTGCGGCTGCAGCTCAGACTACAGTCGTTACCACTGAGACTGTCCTTGTCTCAATGACCGTTTGCCCCGTCACCGCTGTGTCGGCCACTGCAACAGTGGCGCCGATGAACACCGAGACTACCCCTAGCATCTTCTCCACCCGCACCGCTACCCTGACCGGATGCCCCTCGAATCCCCCGCGTTGCGCCGCTACCGACCGGACCACATATACCACCACTGAGACAATCCTCGTTTCAACGACCATTTGCCCGGTTACGGCAGCCGAGGCTACCGCGAGTCCGGTTCCCACGGAGACTACCTCAAGCATTTTCAGCACTCGAACTGCCACGGTGACAGGCTGCTCGGCGGGTGCAGCCCACTGTACTAGCAGCGACCGAACCACTTACCTCACCACCGAGACTATCTTGGTCTCCACCACCGCCTGCCCGATCACGGCTGCTCAAATTATGACTGCTGGTGCACAGCCTACAAAGACAGTGACTACGACTGAAGTGGCAGATGAGGTTGTTTCGACCATCTATTCCACTACGACGGTCTGGGTGGCCTGTGCGACGGACGCCTGAGGTTGGGTCGGCCTCTTCTGGGCGTCTTCACTGTATTATGGAGATGAACAATTTCCTATTTCATTGCGCTCTTCATGGACTTGGATACCATATTTATCTCAAGATAGCCTTAATAAACGCAAGAACATACTGATGGAATCGACATTGATGCTCCTCGCGATCCGCAGCGCATGTTAGCAGCCTCCACCAAAACATAACCAGCTATTAGTAGGAGGCGAAAGAGACTGTCGGCTGTAGGTAGACTTCTGTACTGCTCCGAAATGCTTCTTCAGTCAACATGCTCCTGCTCATCCCATACATTTGAGTCGGGTTCACCTCAACCTGGTATGAACCCCAAAAAGATGAGAGAGGGCCCTCTTTGCCAAAAAAGTGGCGCTGCCCGGAATCGAACCGGGGCTGGCACGGCCACAACGTGACGTCATACCACTAGACCACAGCACCGGATGTTGTGAAAGTGTCCAAAACAAAAGTTTATAACCGAACATCATGCAGTCACTGAGTCATTCAGTGACCCCCCTTCACGGGGGCGCGGATTCGGCGGGGACGGCGGACGCAATACCATCGAGCAATATCATCTACCACATCCTTGATCATATTTCCGATCTAGGCATTCGTACAAGTAAAAAATAATTCACAATGACGATGGTAAAATGCTCCGTAATAGGGTAAACAGATATATTTAAGCCCTAGGATCTACTACTAGTATTCAAGACCGCTGACGATATTTACCTCCAAGTATTGATTGTAATTTGAGATCAGATAGAGCGAGTTCTACCTGCTCGATAGTTTCAACAGTCTACCGACGGCAAGGACAACCAAGGTTGCAGCCATGCAGCAAAGCGAGGTTGCTTTGCACAGGGAGTGCCATGGGCCACTCGACGCAGCTTCTTTAACATCTCTTCAACAATCAGATGGTCATGCCAGATGCAGAAGTAATCCATCTGACTCTGTTCCTCAAAGGGACAGATCACCCTCTGGTTCTGCGCGTTCATCCCACGCAACGATGGACATCAGATGAGCTTCGGCCAGAATGAATGCGAGATTTTCGCCTGGCTGCTCCCGACAGGTACTCATCCGCGACCTCCTGGGCCTCAGTTCTACAAAACAAGCCTTCTTCGTCCTCGTCTGACCCCGATACATCTTCCCTTTCGTCCACGCAGAAGACCCGGACCGCATGCGGCTGTGGGAATTGGTTTTGCGACCGACGAGAAACATCGACTGTCACACATGAAAAGTTCCTCTGCCTCTCACTACCTTGCGCGTTCGTGGTGTTCGAGGCTGAACCGGTACTCCTGTCCCTGATTCTCATCCAACGAAGGGACGCCGAATGCCAACATCATAATAGCAAGCCAGATCCAAACAGTCTCCGCAGCGTCGGGAGGCGGGGACACCCAGAAATCCGCTGTGAATTCTTGTCTGTCACGCATCCCAGATGTTATCGTTGTCCCAGTAACCCGTCATACAACGGCTGATGTTGATGTTGCGACACACCATCTGCAACTGTTAAACTTCCTTGATCAGGTCCTGTAATGAATCCATGATGGCGTGGGCTAGGCGGGACGATGACATCAAACATAGAGAGTGAGGAGGAAAATGGGCAATTATGAGTGAACACATGCTTGTGATATGTCTTCTGCGTGGGAGATTTCGATGGGGGATAAAAGAAGGGCGCTGATTATGACTCGAAGAGATAGAAGCAGGGAGCTCGTCGGACTTATACTGTTAGTGCTTTATCATGATTCGTTGTGCTTCTAGGCAGCCGATGTGTGGACAGGTGGACAGGACAAGGTCCCTTGTAGAATCCTTGGCACAAAGACCGGCGCTCGCTTTGGGTACAGTTAAGATGCTTTGCCATGAGGATGGTAAGCACAGAAGCTCGACAAGGAAGGTGGAAATAACATTAGGTGGCAGGCGACTCAGCCATTGGCTTTGATGGTGATTTCATATCTTCTTTGTCTCTCGCAAATTCTGAGCTGCAGCAACAGACAGGACGGACGATGGCTGTGGGGGACGTGGATGGCTAACCAGTTCCCAATTTCAGGCTACGTGAGGTTATTTGAGCGAAACTAACAACATGGGGCATGGTGAGCAGCCTGGCTATCTAAGCCTTAGGGCAGCCAACAATTTCTAAATTAGCGACGGGAACATATATTTACCAGGAGGAGACGCCCAGCCTCATATAAGCATAATTTCATTGATAGGACAAAAGAGGCTGGCTTTAGCTCGAGTCTCATCATCTGCATCACTTGTCAACAACGACGATCGCCGTCGTCGAGGAACCGCTCTTCCATTTCCACCTGGCCGCCGTATCACGATTAAATCATCGAGAATGGACTTGACATGAGGGAGGGAATAGCCAAGCTCTGCCTCGATTTGAGCGCGACACTGCTGCCATACCTGGGATCGAAGTCTTTCTTCCTCAAGGCGTCGGCGCACTTCAGCTTGCTTGTATTCTTCCACCGCAGCGGCTTTGACTGCCGCCTCGCGAGCCGCGCGTTCTTGTTCTGCTAGCAGATTTTGTGCCTCCTCTAGGCGTATCTCATTTCTCAATTCCTCGCGGCGTTTTTGGTCTTCAAGCCTGCGTTCGAGGGAATCCAACTTCCCCTCCCGTGCCTTACGCTCCAACGCTTCTTTCTCAGCAGCCTCCCGCGAAAGGTCTTGGAGCTTCCTTTGTAGTTCCTGTTCCTCCTGTTTCTTCTGCCTCCTTTCTTCTTTCCGTGCCTCTTCAAATCGGAGTAGACTGGCGATCTTATCGTCGATGTCATCGACGTCGTCGATGGCCTTGAGATAGTCGAGATCGACCAGCCGCCTGATGTGCCCCCTTGTTGAGCTTTTACCATGAGAGGATGTTCGTTCTCGTCCACGACTGCGGCGAAGTGGAAATTCCGGGGTGGAACGGGTGGGCGCCTCGTCTCGAATTAACGTCACCGATCTCCTGCTCGGCTGCTTCTCCTTCTGCGCTCTCTCGACTGGCGTAATCTCAACATCATCAAGGCTGGCGCGCGGCCGTCGATGGTGATGCCTTGCCTCGAATTCGGAATCGCTGTCAATTGCCACCCTAGTCATGACGATGACAATGTGACGTCGGCGTGGTAATCAATGACTGCTAATCAGGTCTACGAGGGGCTTATACGCGCTCCTAGGAGGGAGGGAAGGGGAACAACATACGGCAGCCTGAGATGAGTCACACGCATAAGTGTGACGAGTCGTGCATGCATTCATGCCAATAGACCAATCAACAGACCAATCGGCCTAAAGGTCGAGTTCCTAGTACATAGTAGGTACCTACTTGAGCTTAGTCCGTACGGACAACATGATGGGTCTGATTGGCATCATCCCCGGAGTCTCGCCCACTCAAATGGAGCAGCAACAGCCTGCTCCTGCCTCGATTTAAGTCGTGATCCTTCGCATCCTGGTCCTGTTTCTGCTCGCTTTGACGCTTCCCCACGAAGGAAATTAGAAGACTCCCAATCATACGTACAATAACCAGGAAGAGTGGGAATTGCGAGAGAATGTCTACGGTCTCTTTAGCAGTACTTGGGACGTCGCTGTGCTCAGACGCGGATCCTGAAGAAGCCTGCGAAGATTCAACCACAATCGATCGACTGTGAGTGGTGGCTCTACTACTCCCGTCGACTGAATTGGTCCCAGGAGGCGGCGTCCCGGGCTCATTTCCCTTGGAGATCGAAGTGGAGGCAGCGGATAAACATTGGGGCACTGGTAGAGTGGCCATGCTAGGGCCGTGTCCTGCACTCATATCCTGAAAAGACACCTGCTGGGCACTTGGAAGCTGGACCGATGTTTGCAACATGTTTTCTCGTTCTATTGCGTATGGCAGGCCTTGAGCAAGGGCATCCAGCCGGTGAGGGCGTGACTGTTTCCCGCTACTGGGGTGAACGAGAATCTCACTGACTCCCTGGCCCTGCTTGAAGGGATCGGGAAACCTCATCTGGCGGACCCGGTTCTTCAGACGATCTCGGTGGCGGTGAAGCTTTCCCTGAATCTCGACCTTCATGTGAAAGGACTGATTGTCATGGTGGAAGGCAAACGCGGTGTGGAACATGCTTCTGCGCAATGCTTGGTGATCGGGATCACTCTCGTGAAACTCCCACTTCAGCGTGCGATATGCCGAGGAGTGCGGCGGGGTGGGTAACAGACGGCCGGTGAACGACCACCGACTCTCGTAGCTGGTCTGCTTCGCTTTATTCATGCCCAACCCCCCGCCACCGCTGCCCAGCACGTTCACTCCCGGGGTGAGATTCAGTGCTTTCTTGACCGTCACCCGAGAAGGCTCTCCACTTAAGCTCTTGGGGCCGTAATAGTCCGTCATCCGGAGATCCAGGGGGGCTGGGAGATGGATCTCCGACTGACGGCGCCGCCAGGAGAATCGGTGGCCATCGGTTGGCGCACGGCGACTGCTAGTGATGTCCTCGAGCGATATTGTCACACTGGCGCTTCGGAGAACACACAGGGGCGACTGCTCGAACGCGAGATCCATATAAACCACCCCGGCGGAAGTGTTCTGCTCTCCTAGCTGCCCCCATTGCGACTTGGAGACACGGAGACGGCAATCAGCGTTCACATTGCCGACCTTCCGATAGCAGAGATTGGCATCCACTGTGTCCAAGCCTTGATAAGAGCGACCGTACCGCCGGGAGTACGTCACTGATGGTGGTTGCGGAGCATGGAGGGGTGGGGACATTGGCAGATGTTACGCAAAGGGACCAGGATCATAGTACCCGAGTACAGACACCAATGCCTGTCGCTGTGCTATGTCTGAGTTCCAAAGATAGAGTAGGGAAGAGAAGTGGACAGTAAGTTAAGGTAATAAACCGTAGAAAAGGAGAGGAGAGGGGCCACCAGGCACTGCCACAGCCACGCGTCAGCAGGCTAGCCTAGCTCAGCTATCCATGTTCGCTTATTGATTCATGCAATGCGGGGTTACATTCGCGGCATTAATATTATCCCAGCAATGCATTATGCCCCGTGCGATACCGGCGTTCCCTAAACGCTCGCTCGAGTCTCCGGTCTCTCATCACCTTCCCAGATACAGTGGTTTCTGCACTCACTCACCGGTAGCCCTCTATTTCTCATTGTAGATAGATCAAGCCTTTTAGTGACTCGGAATGGCTGGCCATTGGCCCGAAGTATTCGCAAAAACTCGGGAATCCGCACCAGGTCGCACCTTCAAATTCCCCGCCCAGGGCTATCAGGCGACGGAAGGCTATGCGCTGGTCCGCCCAGGTCACTCTGGCGATAATAGCCTCAGCGCCACCCACGATCGCGAGCTGATACGCCTCAAACAAGACGCATCAGAGTTGGCCCCAACCAAAAGAGAGACCGATGCCCTAAGTGGGAACAACGACGAGTTCGTCTTCCGACACCCTCAAGCAATTTGGACGCCATGCTCCGCCCAGGATATCACGATTCACTACGAACTAGACGTGGTCGATGACGTGCCTAGTCTGCTAGAAGAGTTCGCGAGACTGAAACGCCTGGGAAGGTTTGAAGTGGCCGAGGAATTCTTTGAAAAGTCCCTTGCGGAGTTTGCGAGCTTACTGCCAGTTCTACTCGAATATGCCGACATGCGGATTGAACAAGGTCTGTATGAGCGCGTTCGCCACATCAAGTTTCCTCGAGATATGGAGGATCTTTCTCTCCCGACCGTCAACGTAACAGAAAAGCCATCCGCCTTTCTTTACCATGCTAATTTGGCACTGATCCAAGCGTTCGCGGCCATACAGTTCCAGGGATGTATGAGTGAAGCGTACGCGAGCGTACGAGCACTGGAGACTCCAATGCGCAAGCTGCGGCGATATCGCCGACGCGAGCATCTTCCCCTGGACTCTGCAGAGGTACTCCGCAGTATCCCCCACCCAAAAATTACGGCGCCCCGGTAGTAATGAGCTCGATTAGGTGCAGGTGTTTCGGTATGCGCTCAAGATTCTTTGGCAGGTCGAGAGGGATTCAAATTTGATTCCGGAGCATCATTTTGACTTCTGGTCGAATGGCACCGATCTGTACCCATTTCTGCTGGCAGAAGGCAGGGTTTGGGATGCTCGCGATCTCATGATAGCTTCCATTGAAGCAGATGGCGCGGCTAATACTTGGAAGTGGATATTTGACCTCAGCATTTTCGCCCACAGTTCTTTCAGTCGCCTGCTGGATGACTGGAACAGCCAGCAGTATGATGAGCCCACCGCCCTCGCACTCTTAGACATACTCGTCACTGTCAGTCAACAGTTCCTCTCGTATGCAATTTCGACCCCCAGTGAGCATGACCTGTCGGTCGCTCACCGAAGCCTTCAGCACGCCGAACCCCTCGTCGCTATGCTCCGGTAAAACCACGCGGAGCTTGAGCAAACTAGGTCTTATTGCCGCTGGGTGACTGTCAAGGCCGAGCTCGGAAGAAAGCGTCAGGGGCAAGACAAGATGAGCTTTGGGTTAGAGAATCATCTCTCAAAGTTTCCGGGGCTCACCATCTGGAGTGGCGCAGTGCCGATATACCTACCCATTAAGACTGAGAATCCAGGCTGGACCCCCGAGGCGAGCATCACCACTTCTTCGCACATCGAGCTCTATGACGCCGTCTCTAGAATGCATAGATTTGGCGACTACGCCACCGAGGCCCTTTGTCGAGCGGAATTGCTTCATCATTGTTCCCCGCTCGGCGCCATGCAGCAGCTGGTGCACCTCGCAGATTTACAAATCACAACGCAGGGCGATCGCTTCGGTTACCATAAAACTTGCCTGGCGAAGTTTCTCTTCACCAGCACATCGCTCCTGCGTCAGTCACTACTCGCGGACTTGCGACTCACACCATCCACCCGGATATCGTTCTCCTTCCCGGGCCTGACTGCGTGGTGTATTGCCACCGTTGAGCGGGCTCTCCTGGACGCTGAGAATCACCAGGAGCGCGCGGTGCATCAGCTCACCCTTCAACAAGCGGCAGCGGGCGATGTCGCCCTTCTCCCTCAATATATCCAAGATCGGCTGAGGAATGGCCTTGATCGGATGTACGGGCTCGACTGTGGGCCTCGGGAAAAACCAAGCACCCTCGCCTTATCGCCGATTTCAACCAAGCCTGCGCTCAAATATGGCCCAACCTTTACCGGTCAGCGCTCGCTGCCGATTAGCAGCAGCAGCAACAGTGGCAGCAGTGATGATTCGCTCTTCTCCCGTGCTGATCCTGCGGTCTCCATCGGTTCCATTCCTCCCACCCGGTTACTTAACGATGATGACGAGGATAGCAGTAGTGGTGAGAGCTTTGGCACTGCGGACTCGGGCGCAGATGAGATCGGACGCCAGGAAACGAGTTCCCGACGTCAAATAGTAACAATAGAGGATGTTGATGAGGATGAGGATAGGAACGGGGATATAAATAAGGATCTGAATGATGGGAATGTTGGTAACGGATCAAACACTGGAGATCCCCGGCAAGGTCCAGTGCGATGACTGTTGACATTTGGGGCCTTGGTCACACGAAGAAGGTAAATGCTCCCTTCCCCTGGGGCTGAGGGCATAAATCTGGAAGCGAATCCCGAGAAGACACAGTTGTGACTAGTAAGGATTTTGCTCGTTCAGGTCAATGTAGAAGTTATATCATAAGTATATCTTTATTCAGTAGAAGACTGGTGTACTTTTCCTACAAGTGCAAGATAAATCCTATAGAAATACTACACCTTTCGATATAGACTTATGCATAGTCATGAGTTCTTCGAACCTGTATCCCATTTCTACCAAGCTTGACATGTTGAGAACGCGGCTACGGAACAAGAGTCTGATCGCGATACACACCCTGAGACATCCGGAAAGTAAAGCGTCAATTGGCCTAATGCGTAGCGGTAGACGGCATAGTCTTGGAATTATGACGATATATAGACAACAACAATGATTAGAGACAGAAGTATAAGGCATAGTTGCTGGTGTCTGGAGCTAGCTCACAGCAGCCCTGAGAAAAGACACTTTCTTCACTGAGCAGCCTAGAGTATAAGATTGATTGACTACGACGAATGCACAGCGCCAGGAAGACGGTCTATCTGCGCGAATACCAAAATCGATGATGTAAAGCAAACGCAGGATACTTGAAAGCTTTTAGCTCGGAGTCCCCTTGGCATAGTTGGTCAAATACTCCGCCATTGGCTTGTCTGAACACATCGTCAGGTCAACGTCTACCCAGCTTTAGCAAAAAGACGGAGACTTACAAACGGAGTTCGCACTCTCCAAGTCCCACTGCATCCACTCCGGCATATCCTACAACCGACATGGTCAAGATTCTTTTCCTAGTCATGTTTTCATGGACACATACCGCAAGCTCTAGCGCACCATTGAGATAGCCGGAGATAAGGCGTGTATCCGCCGCCACACTGGTCCAGACTGACTGCAGCACATTGATGTTGACGCGGAAGGCCTCGAGCTTGTCCTCGCCCACGTCCATGAGCTCTTGGCGGGTCAGGCGGATCTGCTCGATCTGATTCTCGAGCGAGGCTTTCTCCCGCTCCTTGGAGCGGATTTGCGACTCGGTAGCTAGTTGTCTCAATTGTTGATCAAGCTTGATACTTTCGGGGGGGGGGGGGGGGAACTGACCGGCTTTGGCGACTGCAAGCGCCGCCATCGAGACAATTGCCGCGACACTCACTCCAAGCGCAATCAGCCCACCAATCTATGCAATATCTCTAGTCAGACTAAATCCTACTCGATTATGGAAAAGGGTTGTTCTTTACCGCAAGGAAAGGCCCGAGGATGCCACTTGCGGCGGCCAACGCGGTGATGGCCGGCAGCAGCAGCGCGCCACCCCCGAGCGCGAGGATCGAGGTATTCAGCGACGTTAGCTTGTCGCGCAGCTCCTCGAGCTCCTCCAGCACCCGGGCAATCTCCTGCTTGAGCTGCTCTTCCCGGTCACGGGCCCAGACAGAGAAGTCGGCGATGAACGAGGTGAAGTTTGTCTGGAGCTCGCTGAATTTGTGCTCCATGGTACGGGCATCGGCTTGCGCTGTATCCATTTGCTGCACATTCGTCAGCCATTGCCAGTCCAAAAAGTACATTTCTCGTCTTTCCTATTCTAATTTGCGGGGCTGCAAAGCGGGAATCACATACATCAATAAACCGGTTCAGCACTGTGCGTCGACTATCTACGGAAATGCTTTCATCGAAGCAGAAGGGGATAATCATGTCATCGAATCCTAGGCAGCGTGAGCTACAATCACTTCCCCTAAAACCCCAGAACCTCGCGGGGGAAGAAAAAAGCGCACGTACGATTGCCATGAACCGCGATATCGGTCGCAAGGTTCCGACTGTCGGCGAGAAGCACTCGATATGCCTGGCCACCGTTAGCATTTGTTAGGGCACAACAACTGACCACCCACCACCTGGTTCTCAACCAACTTATCCTCAAAACCGGAATGATGGATGCGGTCGATCTGCGCGATCTTGAGGTGCAGGCTCACGAAGAGGCGCTCGATCTCGTTGGACGCCTCAACTGCCGCGTTCGACGCTGCGCGCAGGTGCTCTGTGCACTCGGGCGACGCCAGCCCCTTCGCTGCGCCCGTGCTGAAGACTTTGTTGTCCCTTTCGTTCTTGATTGGGTCGCTGAAGTCACCACCGTCCTTGAGGATCTCAATCTCACTCTCGGAGAGCGTGGCGGCGGCATCGATGAACTTCTGCGGAGTCGGGTCCGACCCGACCAGCTGGCAGACTTTGTCGACGAGGGAGTCGTAAGACGGCGGGGAGCTGTGGGGCTCGTAGGCTGGGGGGGCTGTGGCGGACATGATCGTGGTGATTGTATTAGGTTGGATGATGAGTTTGGCTGCTAGACACCAGTAGGGACTTTCTGCTTGCTGCTGGGAACATGACGTTTATATTTACTAGATCACGGATCCAAAAAGCCCAATGACAAGGTGTGCTACAGTATACGTAAGAGCAATATGCATACTGACTGGACTGCACGATCTTCTGTCAGCATTAGGGCTGGCTGAACGACCAGAGCGATCTCCAGTGGCAAAGGCATGCTTTACAGGTAGAGTGGGGTATGATTGATAGATTATTTTTTTGCCACTGCGCCGAGCGAAGGAAGCGCCCCGCCCCGCACATGCATGCAATATAAACAGGGAAACGTACCCCTGTCATTGACGCTAATGTATGCATAGAGAGAGCACGGCTGAAGCGTGCAGTGCAGACTAGCCTACTCGCAATAGATCTCCGGGCACCAACCCCGCTCGATGCCTGAGTTAATAGAGGATTTGACACCCAGGTGCATAGCTTCCACAAACCTGTTGCCTTAATCTGAAGATCAGCTAGAAACCCACAAGCGTGGCATGAAATTCACCAGTCTTCAGCTCACGGGAAGTCCAGCCAATGGACCATCGCATCACTGTACTGTTGAAGGTAGAGCGCCATCTCCGCGTCTGAAATGAGAGATGTCAGCTTTCCCCGCTCCTGGTGTGCATGGATCGGGATTTGACCGTGGAACGTACAAATCTCCATTCCGCGATCAAGGCAGAGTTGCATGTAGACTGGATACGCCTAGCTACGGGTCAGCATACGCGTATACTTGGTGGAAACGTGTGACTTACGACCATGTCGGCGGCGGTCTCGAACCACACCGTAATCTGCCGGATGTCCACCAAGACCCATTGCCAAACACGCATGAGGATGGAGGTATGCCGATCAAAATTTACCAGCATCATTGGGTCTGGAGCTCGTCGAGACCCTACCCGCTGTTGTTTTGAGACTGGTATGCTGAGGAGATCCATAGGTAGCTCATCCTGAAGTTGCCCTATCAGCCATGGAAATTGACACCATCGGACAGCATGAAGGCTTACTTTGTAGGGTAAGGAGTCAGCCATGCCACGTAGTCGGTCAATTTCCTGCTTATAGCTTCCAGTGGAACCATGACCGCTGCTACTCTCTGCCTCCGTCTCCACTGCATCAGAGACGCTGCGCACGACTGGGAATTTGGACCAAGCACTAGCCAGGTTGTAGGCGATCTCCAGCAGGCGGTACTTCGTGAGTGTCACAAAGAATGTCGGGAATTGGATTCGCTGCCAGCATCTTAAGTCAGCATGTTGATCTTCTCCGCACTGGAGCCAGTGTGGTAATTTCGATTTACCGCAATGAAATTGTGAATGCGTAGCACTTTCTGGTGCATCGAGAGAGATCCATCAGTGGAAAACCGAGCAACATCATCCTTCACCTCTGATACAACGATAAATTAATTCTGAGTCTTAGCCTAATGTATGGAGATGGGTCGAAGCGCCGTACCGTCATAGATGGCGCAGATGTTGTTAGAAAGTGGGATATTATGACGCAGCATAATCCTATGGTCCTGTATTCTTGTCAGCATGTTTGGTATGCGGAGTAATGCTTGTGGGATTGAACTTTTCAGCGTGGCAAATACCTCTCGGATCTCACGGATTCGCTGCTCATGCAGGGCGGTTCCTGGCCATCCGGACATGATAACATGGGCAATCACCGCAGTCAAGATGATCTCATTGCTCATCCCAGCGCGGCTGGCTTCTTGTGCGAAGGCGATGTACGTGCGACTCTGCTTTCCCAATACTTGGATGGTGGATGTTTTCTTCACTGGGCCATCATTCGTTGTGTGCCACAGCTGAAGCGTACTTAGGACTGAGCAGAGATTGTGGTCGATGGGTACCCTGTCAGTACTCGGTGGCGATTTGGGGGTGGGGATGGAGCTCGACGAGAACATATTGTTGGGTGGGCAATGGCAATTCCGAAGGAATAAAGTGGTTTGCTACTCATAGGGGAAGAATGAGAAGTGTTTGCCTGGTCAACAAATGAAGGCAATTTATCTGCGCTGGATTCCTGGGAGCAAGCATGTGAAAGATGCGGATGGGGAGTGGTGTCTGTCGTACAAGTTAACAGGAATTCGATTCTGTGCGAGGAGTTTTTGGCTTTGTTCGAGAAAAGCGGGGTGTTATCAGCTTGTTTGGAACAATGACCTCAAGGTGCAGGACGCTTACGTCCGCTGCATGAGCTCGGCATGCACGAAAGACCTTTCAGCCACGCCACAGCGGAGATATTCAGCTGTCGGATCCCGATGTTCTCCGCTGTGCTATGGTGTTCTGTAATTGAGGGCACGTAGTAGATCTTATTTCCCACTTGTGCTGTACAGTATATAATAGAACTCCTTCCACCTTCAGGTAGTCTAACGATCAAAACACAATTATCATAATGGATGACGCACCCCCCACGTACACAACCGGGGACTCCCCTCCTTCCTACGACGAAGTCGCCAAAAAACTGGAGGGCCTCGTTGGCGACGATGTCACGCCCGATAGAGTCCTCGACGCGACGGACAAGCTATCGGATGCCGAGATCGACATCCTGATAAACGGCGCCGACGGCCACTGGCCCCTGGAGACCGACCAGCAAAAGACAGATTTCGCGGTGGGGTGCGGCCAATGTCTATCCTCCCCCGAGGGCAAGACTCGATTTGCAAGCGCCGGCGACGAGGCCACGCAGGCGACCCGCGACATTGAGAACATCTTTGTCAGCTTGCATCTACGCATTGCGCAGATCGATCGGATCCATCACTCCGCATTCGAACCCGAGATCATCAATCTCCAGCAAGCGTACCGAGATGTCCTGGCCGGGAGCCGCGACTTTGCGGCCACGGTCAGCGTCCAGTCTAAGCGTGAGTCCCGCCCCCGTCTTAGGGCTCGATCTAACAAGGCTGGGTCAAGGGTTCGACGAAAGCATCCTCAAGATTTGCGCAAATGAGAGCATCGCCATCCAGACACGTAGGAATACTCTCGAGACGTACATAGAGGTACGGAGAAGGCGGTGGACCTTCTTGCGGTCATTCCGACTAACCCATCCTAGGGAACTACAGCGTTCCAAAGCGACGCGCAGAGAATAACCGATGGATTCCGCACTGTGACGGAGGACTTCGCTGCGTTTGTCGCCTCCTTCTCCACCTGGGCAAAGGACAAAGAAGGTGAGATCACCGAGCAAATCCGTCTTGTCGAGCAGGAGCTCGACGCTCTGCACCAGAAGCTGTATCAGCTCGAGAGCTCCCTCCGCGCCTTCGAGATCGTCTTCGGCGCGTCAATTCCCGCCACCGGGACCTTTGTGAAGATGTTCCCCGCCCTCGCGCCGTGGATCGTGGTACGTAGTAAGCCATTCCCAAGATTCTCGATCGCTGATGTTTCATCTCGAACATCCAGCTCGGTGGCGTAATTACCGCCCTCGCTTCTTTTGCCGCTATCGCCGGTCTCGCGGCTGGCATATCCAGTACGGGCTGACCCCTTTTCTCAATGGAAACCCCCGGTTTGAACGCAACCACTAACCGTGATTTCTGTCACAAGAAACGAACTACCGGATCCACCTCAAGACGCAGGAGAAGGAGAAACTGCAGACGGAACTGGAGAACCTCCGCCGCACGCGCGCCCAGCTGGAGGACTTCGGCCATGACTCGTTGACGCGGTTCGAGACGGCCGTGGGGATTCTGACGGGGGCGTGGGAGCAGACCCTCGCTGACGCGCGCATTGTCCAGGATTGGCTGGTCCGGGGCGCGAACGTTACTGTACGATGATCTCTTCTTCTTGGTGCCCATCTTTGATCATGTTGAGAAGCATTCACAACGGGATTATGTTCTAACATGCTGACTGGTAGCACCGACCGGAGTATGTGGAGCTGAATATAAGGCACGGTGTCAGCAAATGTAGGTCATGATCTATTGTTCCTTGTGCATGTGGCTGACACGGATGGTGGTAGACAGCGCACTGTCGGAGTATTTGGAGAGTTATGCTCGGGGAATTTGAATCTCGAGGGCCCGCGGCTGTGCTGGAGTGAATCAAGATTATGTAGCTTTTGTCATTGATAGGGTGCTGAGCTTTATTGCATTGCTAAACGAATACCAATCCATCTGTTCAGGGGCATCAACTCGGGTTACTTCCCGCTGTCGAGGACGGGGATGCTTTGCGCAGGCTGTGGAGCTCATGAAAGCAGGAAATGCAATCCGTGCGATGCAAAACAAGGGCGCACAAGTCAGCACCCTGTAAAGACCCACGACCGATGTTGTCGCAGATAATGGGTGCTAAGGATGGTGCGATGGCTCATAAGGCGCTGCCCGAATCTTCCACCTGGCCCTTAGGGCGGCCATCTGAGGGGACATCAACCATCGCATCTCCATGCCGGCGTAGATGAACCATTTGGGTTTTACATTAGGTATGACTGACTTCTGTGATATGTCTTGCTTGTCTTCTAGTCTCATCGGTCTGTGACAAACGCGCTAACTAGTGATAGCAAGCCTGATTGTGCCTGGCCATGGTCACATGGTTTGCAGCTTAAACCCTCGCCACGCCTGGCAGATATCCATCTATATTAAAGCTCCACGGGACACTCCATGGGCCGCGTCTGGTTGACGGGCGTAACATGGACTTGCCAAAGTCTCGCCAAACCCGGCGGGAACTCCCTTTGCCGCTCCGGACTCACCCACTCGTCGTACAGATGGTGGGTTGCTTTCTCGCCCAGAATGCCGCGTTCTCCACCCTCGCGCACATAGTGGAAGAAGTCATCCGTGACTCGAACATATTCACGCAGAGCTTCATGCACGTTCAAAGTGGCGCCGGTGGTCCAGCTGAGAAGCCACGGCTCGAGGAGCGGCGCATCGGTGATGCTGGGATGTGCCGTCCCGATGCTCGTGAGGAACCAGGACGGGGCGGGGACCGCGCGGACGAGGTCGCGGACGGTGTCAAAGTGCGGGCGGTTGTAGAAGGGACTGACGGTGCGGGACCACGAGTTGGAGTGCACGACCAGGATGGGCACGGTGACATTGGGGTTGAGGGGACCGCTGGACTTGCCCGGATCGAGGATCACTCCTGCCGCGGGGGAGGTGGAGCGCGTGGTGGTGAGGGCTTGCAGGGCACCAGTGGCGCCAAAGGAGTGACCCGCCAGGGTGAGATGGGTCATGTTGAGGCGGCCGGTCCAAGAAGGGAGGGTGGTGATGGGGTCCCGCGTGTTGAGGATCGGGGTGCCGTTGTTGATGGCATGTAGGAGGTCGACGGCGGCATGGAATTCGGCGTCGCGGAAGGCCAGCTGGGCGCGTTTGAAGTCATCCCGGGCAAACTCGGTCGGTAACCCTGATGGCGACCGTATATCGGAGAGACGGAGCGGCGGGACCGGACGACCCGGGGAGCTGGCGGACGACTTGACCAGGGATCCGGGCCCGCTCCCGTCGCGGTGTTCTATGGCGATGATGACGTGGCCACGACTGGCAAGTTCGGCGAGGAACTGGGTGTAATCGGTGCGCGAGCTGACATCGCCGTGGGAGAAGACGGTGACGGGGAAAGCATCGGTAGTATCATTATTATCGTAATGACGGAGAAGAAGCGGAGCGTCGACCTCGGCGGGGATGGCCACGGCGCCTCCTACCACCCATAGGACCCCGGTGAAAATAGTTCGGATGAGGAGGTTGTCGATCCCGGCCAGGCGGGCGTAGCCCTGGGCAGTGAGGCTGATGGGCCGCGGAATCCAGGGGTACCGGGGCTTGCGCGACCGGAATCGCCGGTCGGTCGGGTAGTACACCGTTGCCAGAAGCGTCTCGACGTCAAAGACCGGTTGTCCGGTGGCCTTGTGAACCGCCTCAGCCACGCGTCGAGGCCCGCCCGGTAAAGGCACTTCTAAGTCGATCGCACCGACGCCATGGGGGCCGGTATAGGACGGAAGTGGAGAGGCAAGGACTGGTAAGCCATAGATGATGCAATAGAGGGCGTAGAGCATGTAGAGACAGGGAGCGCTGAATAGAATCAGGCGCCAAGTGAGACGCGGGCGGGGCTGGCGGGAGGTCGTCGTCCACCGGGGTTGCGGTATCGGCGTGACGGGCGATTTGTTGATACTGCTCATTGTGCTTTTTTTCCGATGCTGACACTGGTCGGGTAGACCCAGCAGGCGCGGATGGCAGGCGTACTTGTACTCCCGCGATATCGCGGGGAATGAAGAAGGATCGATGACGTAGTGCCGACGTGATTTGCATCTGATTTGTCGCCACAGAGTACTGAAAACCTCTACACAAGGGGAGGGAAGTGTGAGGCTATAAACAGATGATGAATCAACCAGACAAGAGAAATGGCCGCGAGGCCTTTATTCTGAACTATATACACCGATAGAATTATAGCTGTTGTCACAATGCAAGCTTAGCTTTCTTTTCTATCTTTCCTGTCTTTTTGGTCTCTATATAGTAAATCTGCCAAGAAGCGGGCCGGTGTCTGGTTCTTAGTCTGGCTGGGTGATAGGAATAATAGCTCTAGCTGGGTAACTCTTTATAATAATATCTAGATTCTTTATTAGCTACTCTAAACGTAGAACTCGGGCTGTTGGGTCTCCTCGAGGAGCACGGAGTAGGATTCGTCGGCGTTGTGGAGGTCGGTCTGGGCGTTGCTGATGACGCTGGCTGAGCTCGTGTATACGAAGCATTGGGTGCCTGATTCTTGGGCGATGTGGATCAGGGTCTTGGTGCCCTCCACGTTGACTTTGTACATGGTATGCTTGGGGGCGTCGAATTTGGGACTGGCTGTGTGGATCACCGTATCGGGTTTTATCTGTTGGAAGAGCTGGCGCATGGCGTCGGAGTCGGTGAGGTCTCCACTGTAATACTCGACACCAGAGAGACAGTGAGCTGGTTGTCGGAGGTCGATAGAGTGAAGCTGTTTGTAGCCGCGCTCTGCAAAAAGCTGGAGGATTTGGCTGGCCAGACCACCGCAGCCACCGGTTACTAAAACCGTGCCTAGGCTAGAGCGGGAGTCTTCTTCTGACATGATTATTGCTCGCGCCGAAAGAAGGTGGAATAGACTCAAAGTACCAGTAACTATATTGTAGACAAAGTGGTAGGGGAAAGGTAAAGAGGAAGGCGTTTAGGGAATTACACAAAGGGGGTAGGCGGATCATTACTTTACCGATATACGCCAAATCCGGAACGGAGAAACATGTGCTGACAGACTGATAGTAGTCCCATAATGCCATTGCATAAATCGACCAGGGTCTGAACAGGCAACGATGAGAAACAGGGTGATTTATAGGCCTGTTGGTTGATGCTTTCCTTAATTGCCGTCCAATGCTAGTACTGGGCAAAATTGCCTAGATTTTGCCCTTCTAATGAGGTAAATATCCTAGCTTAGTTGTTCCCAGCCTGGTAAAAAACGCTAATACCTCTGGTTCCTGAGGCCAGCTTTCAAAGTTAGGGACTGTTCTGTCCTGTGGGCAAGCCTGTGGGTAACAACAGGGATCGGGCCCCTTTTCATGCATTGACCCTAAATCTAAAGCAATTAATTCGGTGTAATATGTTGATCCCGCCGCCGTAGCCGGTTGTGCCATAAGCCAAAGTATACCTCGAAATGCTAATTCTTCGCTTGTATGTCTCAATTGCCTTAATGTGTTGTTGGTACTCTCTCCCTCTCGTAGTGCCAAAGACCTTCGAGACCTTTATTTTGATGCTCACTAGCTGAGCGACCTGCATATGGCATATATAGCACAAAGTGCTATGGGCAAGACTCCATTTTTTGTCAGCTGCTATAGATCATACCCCGAAATGCATGTGGATGCAAAGAATCATCTCCTGAGCTCCTCGCCCAATTCGAATTTAGTCTCGACTGCTATCCATTGCTCGTCAGCGTCGTTTTCTCTACTCAGATTATTCATCTCAACCTGCACGTTGTGCGTTGTCAGCAATGCATCGTGCCAATCCAAGACTCCTCTTCGTCGTACAGTCCGACGGCCTTCCGCTATCGTAGTAGAATCCTTTCCTCCGGAACTCTGCAGAATATATCTGCCCACCCGAGAGCTGGCAAACCGCTTAACCGCGTAACGCAACAGGGGCTGTAAGGTGGGTAGGCAGGCGCACAGGATCCCCACACACGGCTCCACGCTGGACCAGATGAACACGTCGCCGATGACCCAGGTGATGTCAACTGATGTCTTCAGAAATGTCAAGTAATACAATCGGATAACACTTGCAATACAGACACTACTCACATTAACCGGTCAGTGTTCCGTAAGATGGAGTTGCTAGAAGGAGCAAGGAAGAAAAGAAAAGGTACTGACAATCCCCCAAGCATAAATATGCCGCACACCAACACCTTCTGTGCAGTACGCATCTAGAGTTTCCAAATGACAGGCCCAGGAATCAATAGAATGAGCACATCCGTGATTAAATTGGCGACTGCATTGCCGATATAGAATGGGTAGAGATTGAAGACACATCTGCCGCTGCTGGGATCGGCGTATTGCCTCCAGTAATAAGAGACTGGTCGACAGCAGACTAGAAATGCGATCGTGCAGGACAGCCAGTATCCAATCGTAAGCACTGCGCAGAACCAAATCGCCTTGCTCATCCCAAATATTCGCCGGTAGAGGAGTAGTATTGATAGCTTGATGAGTGGGACAGTGACCACGTAGATCAGAACATATGCGAAAAGAATTCGCATCAGCTTCATAATGTCGGTCATTGCAACACTCCAAACATGTTTTCCGAGGCCGTAGTTTCCTCCTAAATCGATGCCACCGGTCAGCTTCGTTCTTCGAATACAAGGCATTGTGAAATATGGGAATTGATATGTGGTGCACAAACCGATAATTGTACAGACAAAGCTGGCTGTCACTGATATCTAAGAGGCGTTTCAATAAGTATTGTGCGTCAAAAGACACAGAGTATTAAGGCGTGTCATACCCATGCGGCCAGAATCATCCAGTCATCCGCCGCGATCGCCGCGTCCTGCATTCGGTATCGTGTAGTCCATCGTAGGGCAATCGCGCCTGCAGCAAGAATATAGGTTGAAATCACAGCCGCATTATTCTTCGAATGATGACTGGCTGTGAGATCAAGGCCGGATGGTGGTGGTCCAAATGAAGTGTCGGACATCGTGTTACCTGAAAATATGATGCATATAACGAAGTACCTGGCGGAGAATGGTGAGCCTTGATCTGACCTTGGTTTTCCGCAACGTTCTCACGCAATCCCCGGGTGGCAAGAACTTCATATGACCCATTCCATGCACCCCTGCTTGTTTAATTTGCATAGTGCATAAGCTAAATCCAGTTGCGAGATTACGATGGGGAGCCGACTACACGCTACTTTGTCGGACGTGGATGCTGTGCTCCAAAAGACGAGATCAAAACGCTCTTGAGCAGCACGTTCTCAACTTCCAGGCCGGACGCTTTGGAAAATATAATTCATATTGAAAGTTGTACATACCTAACGCTGTGACTATTTTGCAACATCTCCTTCGAAGATTTGAGTACGGAGCAGGCTCCCGGTGGCCCGAAGCCCAGACCCACTACACTTGCTTCAATAAGTTAGGTCAGCAGTTAGGGCTAGTCGGCCGGGGCATTTGTTCTGCTTAGTGCTTACTTGGGCCGTTCTATTTCGTTTGTTTAATATACGTCTGTACTAATAGTCGACTCTAAAATATAGTATATTAAATTTACATGGATGGTGAACTAGGGTGTCAAATGTCAACCACTCAACCATAGCCGGCAAAGGGTCGGCCCACGTCTTGCCGGCCTTCTCCACTCTAATCGCACGAGTCGGATATTGATACTGGCAGCTGCTTTTCTTGTTGGAACTACGCTAAGTCACAGCCCTGAGACGATGGAAAACCATTCGATCTGAACCCATTTCCCCATTTCCACATTTCCCCCTTTCTCTCTCCCCCCCCTCCTCCTCCGCGCGAACCGTCGCAGGATGAGTGTCACCACCCGCTTTCCCCTTCCCTTCACTCCTATAAAGGAACGCGATACACGCCATCTTCGAATCACGATATCACCCAGTTTCCCCTTGCCAGTCTCGTTTATCATTGCCCATTTTCCCCATGACAACCACAACAATGCAATCTGTCCAATACCCTGTCGATCTCCAAAGATACGCTTTCGCATCCCGGAAGTTGCGCGTCGTTTGCATCGGGGCTGGTATTTCCGGCCTGAACCTCGCCTACAAGCTCCAGCACGAAGCCCCGCTTGATTTTGTTGACTTTGTGATATACGAGAAAAACCCGGAGGTGGGAGGCACATGGTTCGAGAATATCTATCCAGGAGTCGGGTGCGATGTACCCGCCCATAGTTACGTCTTTCCATTCAAGGCAAACCCCGAGTGGTCGCAGTGTTATGCTGGGGGACCAGAGATTGAGAAGTATATTCTTGATACCGTGGAAGAGTTCGATTTAAAGAAGCACATTATATTCAACACGCGCTTGACAGAAGCAATCTGGGATGAAGCCAAGGGGAAGTGGAATCTCAAGCTAGTACAGAATCATGAAAACAACGACAATTCAACGGATGCCTCGCTGAGTGATGAAGCAGATATTCTGCTTAATGCAAGTGGTATCCTGAATCAATGGAAGTGGCCAGAGATTGACGGGTTGTTGGATATGTATCAGGGAAAGTTGATACATACGGCAGCATGGGATAGGAGCTACGACTGGACAGGCAAGAGAATTGCGGTGATTGGGAATGGTTCCTCAGGATTGCAGATCATACCAGCACTGCAGCCCAAGGCAGCACGAATTGTGAATTTTATCCGGCAACCGACCTGGGTCTCGACCAATTTGTGTCCCGATATTACGCCAGATGGAATGGGAACCAATTTCGAATATACTGAGGAGGAGAGGAGCCGGTTCCGTAATGATCCTGCGGCATTCCTCGCGTACAGAAAGCAGGTTGAGTGCTCGTTCGTCACCCCTCTATATTGTCCACTTTGACCTGCTGACAACTTCCAGTGTTAACAGTGTGTATAAACTAATGCTTGCCGGAACTGAGCCCAATGAATCACTGAAGAAAATTGTTGAATCAATCATGCGGCAACGTCTAGGTAATAATCCGGAACTTATCGATAAACTCATTCCCAAAACCTCAATTGGATGCCGGCGTCTCAGTCCGGGTGACGGCTATCTTGAAGCTATGCAACAGCCCAATGCAGCATGGAACTTTGATGTCATCCAATCGGTTACAGAGACTGGGATTCAGACTACAGAAGGGAAAGAGGAATTTGATCTTATCGTTTGTGCTACGGGGTTCAACACGAGCTTTATTCCTACCTGGAAGCTGGTGGGTCGGGGCGGTCGACAGTTGTCTGAAGAGTGGAAGGATACCCCCGAAGCATACTTCTCTGCCTGTGCAGCTGGTATGCCAAACTATTTCATCTTTGCAGGCCCGAATTGCTGCATTGGACATGGGTCTGTGCCGCAAATGCTTGCCTGGACAGCAGATTATATCCTGCAATGGATTCAGAAGATTGCACGAGAGGATCTTCAGTGAGTGACTTTTCCCACCCGTCTGAGCAAGACTAAGACGTTACAGCTCGATTGTGGTTAAGGACAGTATACTCAGGCAGTATAATAGCCGTGCGCAGGCGGCCCTCCGAAACACTGTCTGGGCGACTGGGTGTCAGGCCTGGTACAACAATGGAACGACCAAGGTCACGGCTATGTATCCAGGAAGTGTATTACAGTACAAGGGCGAGTTCCACGATTGGGTATTCTAGATAAATATGTAGTGATGCTAACACTTTCCCTTTGCAGAAGCTATCTCTTATATCCGTGGCGAAGATTTCGACATCAAATATCGAACCTCAGATCCCTTTGCATATCTTGGGAATGGCGAGCTGGAGTGGGAGCGAGCAGAAGATGCTGATCTGGCTTTCTACTTGAAGTAGTCTGAAAATTGGATTCCAAGTTGGCAGAACTACCGGAAGAGTTGTACTTTAGGTTCCGTTCATAATTTGACACCATTCCATAGGCAAGCATCATGGGTCTGATACTTAGCAGTACCTTACCTAGTAGTACAGATATGCTGACTATACAACCGTTGGGATATACCCTTCTCTGCTGTCCGTTCCTGTGACGCATCGTCTATATCGAGAAGGAGAATTGACGGTTGGGGATGCACTGGCATCCTTTCTCATCAGCCCTGACCGAACTATCCGCGGTCGATGTCTTCTCTCCCACGCCGACATGGCTCGAGGAGTTGAGTGGTGGAGCTATCCATCTACCGGTTTTGATCGTCTTCGGATTAAGTTCTATCTTAGAAGCCATCGCCCCCCTCCAGCCCTACTTTGCCTCTCCTCTCCAGCTTCCCACTGATCCCATTCTCCCAGCTTCATGATCTGCATTATAATCAAAATATCTCTCACTTACGACAGCATCGCGCACACCGTCCACTTATCCTCGGGTGGTGGCGGCGGACTGGGACTTGGATGCCCCTCGCGGGCCAGTGCAGTGCGGCGCTTGCGGCGCTGTGTCATCCGGCGGTTGGGGATGCGGACGCGGAGTTGAAACTGGTTATGTGGGGCGGGGTCCCGCTGTATTCTTCGATTTACTTGCATGATAGAGGGGGCTTAGATGAGCTCAGGGGAGGGTTGGGGGAGGGACGGCTAGAGAAAGATGTCCAAGGAGATGAGCAGCAGCCATCAAGGTTAGTCGAAGGAACGGGGGATCCAGGTGCCGCTGGGCCTGCAAATCAGAGGATACGGACATTGTTTGTTTACGTCTTTCGATGTGGTGCCCCGAGTCAGACTCGGTCATATGTTTTACTCTGCATGAGGATGTGTCTGTCTCGTCTGGTGCGGCTCTTGCATATGGCTGCAATGTTTACAGACACATCCTCAGTTAGTAAAAGCGACTTTCACCTGCCAGGCAGGTACAGCATAGCGAAAAACTTCACATAGGCCTTTCCTGTGTGTATTCTCATATGTGCTGAAGGAGACCTTGATGCGCCACAGCATATCGCACATCAACTAGCACCAAAGCTGTGCCCGAGCCAGCCTTAATACACAAAAGGACACAAGAGAATAGGTCATTCTTCAACTACTATTCTTCCCCCTGTTCTCCATTTTTATAACAATCGTCTTTCGACTCTCGGTCGAGCTCTTCTCCGGGCTAGTATACTTTGGTTTATATTTTTACTCTCTGTTATTAGATTAGTAATATTTATTATGTCTTACAGTACTATATTTTCTACTATCTATATACTATAAGAACTGAGATAAAGACAGTCCAAAGTAGAAAGAATAATACAAATAAGACAGGCCAGTTCTTATACCAGGACGGGATATTATCGGGTTCTGCTGTTGGAACCAGAAGCAGAAAAACATCAGTGTGTGCGTGTAACACCTCGCTTCAACAAGTCATATAATTTCAACTTAAACTAGATATATATAAATATTATAAAATCCGTAGCTAATTTCTTTTTTTTTTTTGATAATTAATAATTCTTAAAGTATCAAATTTTTCTTTTTAAATAAATAAATCTATTAGCATTATATTTATAATCAACAGATTAAAAGCCCGGCTGAAGCTTAAAACTAGAGTGGCTAACAGCCAGGTCAGGTCAGGTTAATTAGAATTTTTATACCTGACCGCCAGGTTATAGCCAGGTTAAGAAAATTTTTATATCTAACTGCAGTATAGCTAAAAAAAAGACAGTTAACTATTTTAACTATTTTTAATACTAAAATTTTTTTATTATATTTATTTAGACTTTAATATAGTTAAGATATATCTAGATTAAGTAGTTATTAATCTAACTATTTTAATTATTATCTAAAAATATATAAAAATAAGCTTTTTAAATTAGAAAATAATAATTAAGAGAAGTATTAATATCTTTTTTATCTCTATTTAAAAAAATTAATTAAAAAATCCTAGTAATATTAATAAAATTTAGTTTTCTATAAAACTATTATTTTTATAATAAAAAATATATATAAATATATATAATTACAACTTGGTTTGGACTATATATATTAATTATATTATATAATAGTTAAAAAACTATATATTTATTACTAGTTAGACTACTAAAAATAAATATACTATTTTTATTTTATTATTTTTTTTTTACTCCAGCTTAGATAGTCTATTATATTTTTATTTTCTATTTAAAAAAGCTGAATTATCTGTATTATAAATTAAATTTAAAAAAAAA